TGCCTACCTAGTCGTGTATGCGGTGCTGGCTGCATGACCATTGACCACCACCCCTCCGACACACCCCCGACGACTACCCCTGTTCAGATACCCCTGTTAGGTCAGCGCCTCCGGGTCTTGTCTTTATCTTTTGCCCTTGATCTTCGGGGTTTCCGGTATAAGTGTACGATGGGTTTATGTATGTATGACGGTATGTCCGTATGTACATACTTGCCTCCATGGACAAGCTAATAATGTCATGGGTACGTCGTAGAAGTACCTTTGTAGGAAGGCAGTTTAACCGTTGATGTTTCCAAAGTAAATCGGTATTATTGGCCATTGTAGCAGGCAAGAATGTTCTATCCTAGGGCTAGGCTGGGGCCTTTGCTTGTTTGCTTTTTATTTTTATTTCTTGTAATTCTTTAGTTAAAAATCTTCCTCTTGGTCCCGCTCTGCAGCTTAACAAGGATTATATCCGGTCGATTTTGGCTCTCATCGCCCGTCTGCGCACACCCCTCCCTCTCCTTTTCTCTCTCATCTTTCCCTGATCCGCCTTTCCCCGTCCCCTTTCCCTTTCTTCTAAAATTAAAAACCCCGGGGTCCTACTGCTTTCGCCGCCCCTTTGCCCTTCCATCCTCCACTCCGTAATCGGTGACTGCTACCACGTCCGCCCCCTGCGGGCATCTCGTCACCGAAGCCCGACGGGAAGGCCGGTCCGCCTCTCAGCCCATGGAGCTGCGAGGTCTCGTCGCTCTTGAATCCTTCCGCGTCGTCTAGGGTGGTGCGCCAGAGGGTCCGAAGCGATGCGTTCCACTCCTCCAGAGATCGTAGTCGATCCACGTCGCTAGTACTCTCCACTAACACGGTTCCACTCTCTTGGTCGATTTTGGCGTTGAGCTTCTTGTCAAGGATTAGGAAGCTAAGGATATCCTGGACTTCGGGCACCGAGATCTTGATGTGCTTGGAAATGAAGCTGAGCGAGAATCGGGTGTAAGGCGCGATGAGTTTGAGGACCGCTTTGGTGCGCATGTTCCGGCTCACTTCGTCGATGTTCTCCGCGATGAATGGGTCCGCTAGCACGTCGGGGTTTTTACTGAGGACGGCCTCGTAGGCGTGGATGTCGTCTCGTTGGAAGGCGTCGACTAGGTCGGTCATGGCAGAGATGCGCGGGTCGCTCTTATAGGGCTTGGTCTCTTGCGAGTAGAACGGATTAATGTCCGATTTCATCAACATGGTGGTCAGCACGAGGTACTTGAGGACCTGGATCCGTTGCATCGATCCCGCCTCGTCGTAATTGCGGAATGATTCGAAAAAGTCACTTTGCGCCTCCTCCCAGTTCTCTTCGCTCATGTGCATTTTGCCTCCACACTCTCGGATGATACCCATGATCTTGGGGTGCGGCACGGCGGACCGCACGCGAAGAGCACGTTGGTATAGAGCCTTCAGTCGTTTGTTGTTCTTCGTCTCCGCGTACATCTGAATCTCGAGCGCATACAGTTCAAGCAGGTACGTGCCCTTACTTGGGTCGTCCGATCCGTCTTCGCGTTGGCATGCTCGATGTAGTTCCCGCACCTTTTTACTCAGTTGGCCGTATTCCTTGCGCTCTAGCCAGAGGCGGGCGAGTTTGATGTTGGTTTTCAACCATAGGCGTTCGTTATTCGTGTTCTGGAACGAGTGGAGGGTCAGCGAATAGAATTCCTCCATGCACTGGTAGGCCTTGTCGTCGTCCGATCCCTTCTCAATATAGTCGAGCATGTTGTTGATGGACTTTTCGGAGTAATTTCGCGTGACGGCCGATTTGACGTAGGTAAGCAGTTCCCTATAGTGTCCGACAGCCTGGAGAAGGATCAGTATCGCACAACGAGCGACAGAGAGGCCGAGGGGAGGAGCAGCGTACATCGCTATACCGCCCGAGTTTGAACTCCAATTTGATGGCTTGTTTGAGACCTTTGAATCCCCTTCCGGACCATCAGTATTGGACTTATAATTCACGGGCGGAATGATGGTCATTTACCAGTCGCCTTTCTCCTCCTCTAGCGGCGGTACCCCTAGAAATTCCACGATCGCCTCCTCCGGGGAGTCTATCTTTATTTGTTTGGCATTGTAGTATTTGTTTTCGATCCCGACGTCGCCGGACTCGTCGTCATCCGCATCTTCGTATTCAAAGTCGTATCTATCATCGAGATCGGTTAGAGAGGCTGTTCCAGTCTCTTCACTGCGTGCAGAATGGGAGAGCGAGGGGGAACGCACTCCTCGTCACCGGAATCTTGCATGAAATCGTCATCGTCCGACATCGTGAGAGTTGCGAAAGACTTTTCGCGCAGGTTTCGGATCGTCTCAACTATCTGCCAACAACGAGGGATTCCGGATCCTCCGTGTAGGTAAGAATAATCGAGGGTCGGGAGAGTGTGGTAGATGGATGGGAGTCGCAGTGTGCAAGTGATAAGTAGCAAGTAACAACCAAAGGAAGCTCCCGCACCTATCGGAGCCTTGGGGCCTTCCGACTACCTTCCCCGCTTGACCACGACTGATGGGTCCGACCGTCGTCCAGGACCTGGCAGCCGTAGTCTCCTATGATTTCGATGTGTCTAGCTTGATCCCTTTCTAGTTTTAATGTACTAAGGGAGTAGATGATCAAGTGTTTTGCTGGATATTTAGCCAGAATCGATAGGTCTAATAGTACCCTACGCAGAGGACAAGGCGCAGGACAACCCTTGGTTCAGGTTACAGTATCGGTAGCTACGGATATACAATCAGGGAGGGACATTTAGAGTAACCCCCCGAGAACCTCGAGAACCTCGACTCCCTGGATGTTACTTTTAGCTTCCTTTGTTTGTATTTGTTCCTCTCTGCCGTGAGTCCCACTGTTGAAACGTCCATCTGTCCCGTGGAACTGCCGATTGGCGTAATGGTCGGGCGCTCTTTGTTTTATATGTTGCGCTACTCATACGCAGTGTACTCCGGAGTAAATCGATAAAGACCTCCCGCCCGCGAGTTTCCAGAACTGAAAGCTGAGCACTGAGCCCTGAACATTCCAGGAAACCGAGAGCAACGGGCTGCATAATGCGCCGACTAAAGCGAGAGCCTCAGAAGTCAGGCACCGCGCGGGAGGCGAAGGCCCTTGGCGGATGACGATCACCTTATTCGCTGATCCTTTTCAGGACGATGACATCGACTCTGCACGGCCCACGACTCGTCTTTCTCAACCTTCATCTCCTCCTTATTTCCCTCTCCCTCCCGGCCGCTCTCTATCCTTAACCACCGCCTATCCCGATATAATCGATTTTCGCCCTATATAATCGCCTGCATCCCGATCCCCTCGACCCTGGTTCGCGCCGACCCCCTTCTCTTATCGCATACTCGACCGAGCAGTCTTGAACGGATTCTCTCTTCACAATGGACTTGTGTGGGCGTCAAAAAGTGGTTCGGCGCAAGATGGTGCTGCTGTTAGTGACCTCTACCACGCGATAATAATACTTGAAAGGATCAGGGTCTGACAGCTATTCCAAACAGAGGTGATGGAGCTTGCGGCAAGACGTCGGCCCTGAATGTCTTTACGAGAGGGTCGGTCCCCGTTTCCCCTCCCTTCGCTCGACGAGCCACTCGCTAACTTTCCACGTCCAGATACTTCCCCACGGTTTAGTAAGAATTACCCTTCTAGGCAGTGTAGGTTTGCATGGTCATGCGATATTAACATGTGCATTCATCGCATAGTGAACCTACTGTTTTCGGTACGCGCGTTCCCTAGTCTTCGTTGATGATCCTTGCTGACGATCCCGGCTTCTAGAAAACTACGTCCACGGTAATTGATTCGCTACCTACGGCCTTTGCAACGCATGCTTATGCTTCTCAGATATCTTTGTCGACAATGTACACATGGAATTATCGCTCTGGGACACGGCTGGCCAGGAGGAATTCGACCGACTGCGCGCGCTGTCTTACGAAGACACACACGTCATCATGCTGTGCTTTAGCGTAAGCGATTCTTACACCTCATCTAGTCAGAGTACATCATCTAACTGCACATCTAAATATAGGTCGACAGCCCCGATTCGTTCGAAAATGTGGCGAGTAAATGGGTGGACGAAATATCGGAGAACTGCCCGGGCGTCAAACTGGTCCTGACGGCGCTCAAGTGCGACTTGAGAAAGGATGAATTCGAGAACAACAATGCGAACGCCATCGCATACGAGCAGGGCCTAGCCAAGGCCAAGGAGATTGGAGCCGTGAAGTATCTGGGTATTTAGATTCCCCCCCCCCATCGCCTCCGATGTTTTGATGCGCAATGCTAACGTGACGATAGAATGCTCCGCTGTCCAGAACCGCGGCATCATGGAGACCTTTTATGAAGCAGCCAAGGTTGCTCTAGACGTGAAAGCCCCAGGGTCGACCGGATCTAAGGGAGGATGTGTCATTCTTTAAACTTTTTTTTTGTTATCTTTTCAGGTTTTGGAGGTGATCTGTCGACCGCCTTATTTCCTTTTTTTTATCTTTCTTATTATTTCCTATACCCATATTGGTTTTTTGCATTCCACAGCGGACACCTCTGCACCTGCTGCGACCTATGAGTTTGCCGGGCAGAGCGCTTTCTTATGTTCCTGTGACACTTTAGCCTGATGGTTTTGCTTCATTCTTGGCCTGTTTTCTTCTTTATACATACTTTTGTTTGCTTCGCTTGATAATCCGTTCGTCATCGGTGCTGTCATTCGGTGGCCTCCGCAGAAGTCACCGGTTTCCGGTTGGAAGTATCTGACACCTTTGCGCAATTGGAACTCGATTGGATTAGCTCCTCGATCAAGACGAGGATCGAATTTTGCTTACTTTATTTCCTATAGAGAATCATATGTACCATCTATATGATGGCATCTAATCAATGAAACGTCTTTTTGTTTATCTGCGTATTTCCCGATATGTCCGATGACAATCATTGCTTGCTCTGAACCGGTAACTCCAAACCCTAGCTATATACATACATCAACAACCGCCCACAACCGCCCTTAACCCGACCTCAACCCACTCCCTCACTCACTCTCCCTCAGCACCTCCTCCCCAACCGTATACACCTCATCCACCTTCTCCCCCGTCGCACTTCCCCCGCAGGCAAAATCCGCATTCAACCTCCTCACAAACGCCTCCACAAACCCCCCCGCCACCTCCCCCACCCCGACGCCCTTCACCCCCAAACCCTGCAAACTGGTCGCCTCCCTCCCTTCCAACCCGCACGGCACGATCTGCTGAAAATACCACATCGGCTCCTCCGTCACGTTGAACCCGATCCCAAACGAGCTGATATTCCGACGCAGATGCACCCCCACCGCCGTGATCTTCTTCGCCGGCTCCGTCCCTGCCCTAGTAGATACCCACACCCCCGGATCCTCCGTCACTTGGCCCGTGATGCCGTAGCCGCGCAGGACGTCGATCACGCTGTTCTCGAGGAGTCGGATGTGGCAGCGCGGTGTGAGTCCTAGCCGTCGGAGATCTAGCACTGTGTATGCGACCATTTGCCCGGGTCCGTGGTAGGTTGTTTGTCCGCCGCGGAGGGTTGGGTGGTATTCTGCTTTCTTTTCCGGGCTGTTGGAGGCCGTTCCCGGCGCGGTCAGGAGGGATCGAATTGGTTCGAGAGACGGGGGGAGGGAGAGCGAGGATGATGACGGGCAGGTGTTTGAGGGAGGTAAGTCGCGTCGACCGGTCGTGTAGACTGGGTTGGGCGTGAAGGTGATGATGGTGGGATCCGGGGGCGGGGAGGTCGGGTGGAGGGTCTTTTTGTGGGCGAGGAGTCGGCTCGTGAGGGTTTGTTGGAGGGCCGACACGCGCGTGAAGGAGGTTATGCCTGGGAGGTGGAGGTGGGCAAGACGCATTGTGATGGTCTTTCTTTTTTTCTTTCTGGTGTTGAGGCGGTTGAAGTTAAGATGAATAGCTGGGTGATATAGGTGGGTAGGTAGGTAGGAGTGAATGAGTAGTTCAGTGTCGAGAGGTAGGTAGGTAACTATGTCGCTAGTGCATGTCTTTGTGGAATTGGTATCGTCAATTGGGCTGGAGTAACTTATAGCGAATTGACCGGTTGGTGGACTGTACACTGTACAATCAAGAGAACATTAGGTTGTCGCACGGAGATCTCGTAGTGCTTGTTAGTTCCGATAAGATTTCGACAGACGTCACCGGCTCGGAAAAGTCATGTGATTCATGGCAAAGACTATGGCGTTGTTTCTTTCTAGCGGTATGATTTTTGTTTTCATTGTGGATTGACTATGCCTATTCACTTGGTAGATACAAAGAATCTTTTGTAGATAGTTTTCTTGAGTTATAACTTAACTACCATACGGAGTACTCCGAACAGTAGTCCTATGAGGTCATCGCCACGCCGAAGCCAGAGTTCCGCATTTCCCGCTATCGTCTGGAAGGATTCAATTTTTTTTGTATCGAGTATATAAGACAGTAAGTATCGGAACAAGAATTTGAATTTGAATACAGGTAAGAAGGTAAGTTGCACAACAGTCATAAATTCATGACATCCCTGCTTGTCCCTATAACGACAAGGTTTAAAAAGAAGAATAAATAAAGAGAAAAGAACCCGGAACGGCGAAGGATGTCAAGCATCCAAGTCTAGACCACAAAGGCCCTATATAATACAAGTCCCTAAGCCTCCAGCGTTCCATTGACCAAAGGAGTCTGTTCCTCGCCTTCCCGGACCACCACCCAATCCCGAACACCTCCCTTCCAGTCCGCAATGCGGCCTTCGCGCACGCGAACCGTCACAACACGCACGTCGCTATCTATGGACACGCTGGTGCGCCGTTGGCCCAGTTCTTGCTGCTGTTGCTGCTGCTGTTGACCAAACAGACCCATTTCCTCCTCGAAGGTGTTGTTCTCCAGGTGTCGCTCCTTGCACCAGGCTTCTTCGGCGGAGCCGGGCTCCAGGAAGCGGGCGGCGCCGGTGATGGTGGTGGAGATACTCGAGAGAGCGCTCGTGTTGAGGTTCAATAGCAAACTGGCCAAGGAGGATCGCGTCGCGGCCGGTGGGGGGGATCCCTCGCGCTCGCCGGCGTTGGAGGCTCGGGTGGGCGGACGATGGGAAACCCAGTCATGGACCAATAGGGAAACTCGGGGGTTGGTCAACAGATGATTGGTCTTGCGCGAGGACGGGTTGGTGGTCATGATAATGGTGGGATAAGGGTCGAAAGGCGTCGATGGGAGGTAGGTATATGACATGAGAGAGATGTGGGGGGTCAGGTCATCACATGTTGCAAGATGAAGCTAAAAGATGTAAAGGTTAGTTTGTGTGCACCTCGAGACAGCTCGGATCTGCAAGGGAGCTAAGCGTACAAACCGCGAGTTCTTCAAACACGCAATGACCTCGGGAGGAAGGGTGGTTGCGACATGGGGGTGGGTGGTGGTGGCCGATGCCTCATATGAGAGGGGCGGGTTGACAGAGTCGGTCATGGCGTTGCGGAAGAATCAGAAAAAAAAGGGAAACAACAAATAGAAATAAAGTGAGTATAGTATTAAAATAAAAATAGAAATAAGAGCAAAAACAAATCCGAGCGAGTCTCCGACAAAGGTCGAGGACGAGGTTTCCCTGGCGATGGAGGGGAAGAAGGCAAAGCCGTGGCGGTTCCGATCCGAAGAGGACGAAAGAGCCTTGACCGATTTGGGTCAGTCCCCGTGCTAGTCCCGATTCAGCCGGGGCGGTCGAGGCTGGTCGGCGCCTTCGCTAGTCGACGTCATGGCTGGACTGCCATCCACCGCAGGTGTGTACTCCTGAGTCGGTAGGCCTTCGTTGTACTTTATAAGCTGTGAATTTTACTTAGTACCAGAGTTCTATAGGTGAGTAATACGGCCCCGTAAGGAGAGTATGTTTCATGTTGTGATCGCGCAGAAACATTGCTTTCGTCATCGTAGCTTCAGGAATGGTGGAGCAACGCGCAATGATGATCGACGAGGGACAAGGGTTATCCACAAGTTATCGTACAGAGGGATGAACATCGGGGCTATCATCTGGGATAGTGGATGTGAGCGTCCCAAGTAGCGTCATCATGAATTAGTATTGATGATACTATCGAGCAATTACCTGCCGCGTATGCTTAAATACCACCCCGTGACCGCGACGGGCGCACCTTCAGGCTGCTTCCCCGCACTGCCAGTCCCAGCTTTCCCCAGCTTCCCGTCGATTCCTCTTCCCCGTCTCTCCTCGTCTTTGCTTTCTCCTCGCTTCCATTGGCCTTTCAATTCCTCATCCTCTCACTTCCTCGACCCGTGAATGCTATCAGACCGTTAATACGGACTTTTTCTTCTCCGCTTGACCAATCCCTCGAAGTTCACTGGTAGTTGCTGTCACTGCGACAATCTTACTCCTCTCTTCTGCAGCAGCCTTTCCATCCTAGCCGTCTGGTCAGACCATCGACTTCACCCCTGCTGGTTGTGTCGCCCTCGTTGCTGCTGCTCCTCCTTTCCCCTCCCTGTGCAAAAACCCTTCTTTACCCCCCTTTAAACTGTTCTTCGCACACTGCTCGCGCAATTGCATTTTATTCTTTGTCACTCGTCCTTTTTGAAGCCACGATCTTGAGATTGCCTGGTTTGCTACGATAGCCGCCTTTTACCCCCATCCCTTTGCAAATCTGTCCTCTTGTGTCGCTTCTCTCTTCCGGCGTCTAAATTTATTGAATCACGATCTCCTGTGTTCGATTACCTACGATGTTTCTAGCACGCATTGCCCGACCGGCGTCCTCGCTGGCCCGGCCCTTCACCACCTCTGCCACTGCCTACCGCTCACCCTCTATTCGTGACCTAACCCCCGATTCGGCGGAAGAATTTAGTGCGCGTCAGAAGGAGTTTCGCGAGAACTTGGAGGCGGCTCGCAAGCAGCGAGAACAGCAAGAGAGTCAGTCTGTCGATGCTTCTGCTTCTGATACTACCTCATCCCCTATCTCCCGTGATCGTTTTCGTGAGTTCGCCACCGCTCCCACTGCTCCGCATGCGAGCAATGCGAGCCGTAACCACGGCCGTGCTGTATTTGATGCCGCCGAAACTCTTGACCATCAGGGATTGGGCTCACTTTCTTCCCACCGTTCTCTAGGAGACGAACAAGTGCTGGATTCCTCGCAGTCTCCCAAGCGCGGGCCTCTATCCTCTCTGATATACGGAACCAAGGAAGGCCAACAGCTGGATAAGGACATCGAGCGGTCGTTCTCGCAGGTCCTCGCTCGCGGCAAATACGTCCACTCCATCGTTTTCCACGAGGTGAAGCCCGACAAAGTAGACGAATATGTTGACCTCGTGGGCCAGTGGTATCCCCGGATGGCCGGCACTGAGGAAAACAGGGTGAATCTGGTCGGAAGTTGGCGCACACAAGTGGGCGACAACGACACTTTTGGTACTTGAACTCAAGACACCCTTTCTCCCTTACCCCAACCCGTATGCCTGTTGACCAACGGGTCCGGACTGTTATTTCTCGAGCTAACCCGTTCCGTGTTTATAGTCCACATTTGGGAATATCAGCGATACGAGGGTTACCATGCCTCCCTTCACAACATTTCCTGCCACCCCGAATTCCCCGAATTCGATCGGAAGCTGAAGAGCTTGATTAAGAGCAAGAAGACCTCGCTGATGCAGGAGTTCTCCTTCTGGCCCACCACTCCGCCCCGACGTCTGGGCGGGCTGTTTGAACTGCGCTCCTATACCCTGCACCCCGGAAACCTGCTTGAGTGGGAGACGCACTGGCGCCGTGGCCTCAAAGCTCGCCGCGAAGTTATGGAAGGCGTCGGAGCGTGGTTTGTCCAGATCGGAGACTTGAACACGGTGCACCATCTCTGGCAATTCGCCAACCTGGAGGAGCGCAAGGTTCGCCGGGAACAGTCGTGGGGCATCGAGGGCTGGGCGGAAACCGTGCACAAGACCGTGCCTCTCATCCAGACTATGCAAAGCCGCATCTTGGTCCCCATGCCCTGGAGCCCCGTGGGATAAGCGATCGAGGCCCGTCCGATGCTGTATCGATCTGTGGTCACAAGCCAGATTTCCCAGCCGTGCTAGCCAGCCAGACACCAAACACCAGCAAGCTTAGGGTATCCTAGCGCCAGGCCAGAATGAATGAAGGAACGAGGGATCGAAGAAGGGCACGAGACTTGCGGGCTAGCAGGGGGGACATTTTGCCGGCATGAACGGACTTCCGCTGATGGTCCACGCCCACTCGGATCTTTCTAGTTCCTATTCAGCCATGTAGGGCTCTTAGCGCATCAGATCTAGCATTTTTTAGCATTGTTTTTGTCTCATATGCCTATCCCCCTGTACCTAGAAATTAAATTGACACTCTTGCGGACACAATTACCCCTCTTTTTGCACGGTGCCTCTTGTAACTCTGTTTTTCTTAGCCTCGTCATATGGTGCCTCGGATGTGCCCTCCCCAGGTAGAGTATCTTCTGTGTCTCTCAGCGCTCTCTCCTTTACACTTTACCCCACCCGCAGAACGACGATCCCAAATGGGCGTGTCGCTGGGAATGCACCGAAGCCCGGGAAAAATGGATGCCTTCGCCCCTCCAAGCCGACGGCAGAGGAGCAAATGAAAGACCACACGTGGGCAGTCGAGGCACAACTCCCATGTCATCATCCTCGTCCATCCCAATTTATCCCAGTTTGTCGAACTGCATCGTCGCGGTCGGGTCCTTTTGCATCTCGTCCCCGCGCGGGAACTCTTTAGGGCCCCGTTTTTTGCCGGGCAGAAAAATAATAATAATAGCGATTCATAATAAATACTCTACTCAAATTTTCCGGTCCATCAAACAAGAGCGCCCATCTCTCCTCTTCCCCGACGTGTTGTTTTCCTGTCCTTTTGTCCTCTTCTTTTCCTTTTTCTGTGTCTCTCCGCCACCCAGTCTCTGGATCCTCAACAGCCCTATCACATCCCGGACTGTGTCCCCCCTGCAACTCCTGGCTTTGTCTCACCCTTTTCCCTCAAGTGTCACTGAGATTTCGCGCCTCACTTTGAATCCATTGACAGCTTGGTGTTCCCCGTAAAAAACCAGAAAAGAAACAAAAAAGAAAAGGACAGAAAACTCTTCTTTTATCCTCTCCCCAAGCGCCTACGTATCTCGCAGGACTGCGTGTCCGGGATAAAAAAAGGATCCAACAACCCAGAAGCACGATGGTGTACCTCCGCCAGCATCAACTTCCCAACCTACAGGAGTATCGCTATGCGGGAGTCGACCACTCGTTAATAAGCCGATATGTCCTGAAGCCTTTCTATAATCATTTTGTCATCAAATGTTTCCCCATGAGCATGGCGTGAGTAGTAACGCCGGTCTTCATGTCCTTATTCCTCGTCAGTGCTGGTCGGCTAACGGCGTTTCTCTGCTCTTTAGTCCCAATGCTGTAAGTTCCGTGTCTGCGCCTGGATCGGTCTGGTCGTGACGATGTGAATAACCGAGGACTGGTAGATTACCCTGACGGGGTTCTTCTTCGTGGTAGTCAACCTCTTGACCATTCTTTGGTATAACCCAAACCTAGATCAAGACTGCCCACCTTGGGTCTATGCCAGTTGCGCCTTGGGATTGTTCCTATACCAGACCTTCGATGGAATAGACGGAATGCAAGCGTATGACCCCCAGTGCAACCACTTTCCGGTAAATGAAATGCATGCTAAGATGTTCTGTTGTGCAGCCGGAGAACCAAGCAAAGCGGACCGTTGGGTGAGCTGTTCGACCACAGTGAGTATAACCGAGCATCTTCGAGTTTGGGAGGTCTGCTGGTGTTAATACTTCTTTCCCTCTGCAGGCGTTGATGCATGCAACACCGCCCTTGGTGTGTTGATCTTCGTAGCATCGATGAACCTTGGCCAGTCATGGGCTTCGATCCTGACTCTCTTTGGCTGTAAGCCATTGTAACCCAACCGCAACCGACTTCCAGATGACTGACCCAATCTAGCCACCATGACCTTCTACGTCCAGACGTGGGACGAGTACTACACCCAGGTTCTGACCCTGGGTATCATCTCGGGTCCCGTCGAAGGTGTTTTGACCTTATGCATTGTCTTCGGGTTCACGGCCTATATGGGCGGCGGTAGCTTCTGGCACCGCCCTATGCTCGAGACCGTGGGTATTCCGAAGTTGGACTTCATGCCGGAGCAGGTATACGATATGCCCTTTACGCAGTGGTACCTTGTCTACGGCGCCTTCGTTCTCTTCTTCGCCACCAGCTCGAGTATTGTGCATGTCATGAAGGTTCGCAAGGAACGCGGTCAGGACCCCTTCCAGCCGCTCCTTGGCCTCCTGCCTCTGGTTGTGATGTGGACTCTTGTTCCGGCTTACCTGTACCTCCAGCCCTACATTCTGGAGAACTATGCCATCCCCGTGATTCTGTTCGTCGGCCTGATCAATGCGTACGCCGTCGGAAGAATGATCTGCGCGCACTTGGTCAAGACTAGCTTCCCCTATTTCAACATTCTCCTTTGCCCGCTCGCCTTGGGTGTGTTGGATAGCGCCGGACCGGTCTTTGAACTCTGGCCTAGCATCCTGGGCGACGGATCCGGTCAGGTTGCTTTCATCTTCGTATGCCTGGGACTGTCGATTGGTATCTATGGCAGCTTTATCGTGAGTGGCGATCGCCCTATTCTCGTTCCCTCTTATGACTTCTATGGCTGACTATCCGATAGCATGACATCATCACGACGATATGTGATTATACTGATATCTGGTGTCTCAGCATCAAGCACCCCTACGTCGAAGAGACGCAGACCGCCAACGGCGATGCGTCCAAGAAATCCCAGTGATTTGCGCATCTTGCGCATGTAAACTACTATGCGACAACCGCCGCGCCTTCCTATCAGAAACTGGTGCGGACAACCTACCTAATACCGGAGCGGCATATTTCGAAATTCATTCGCCAAATTTGCAATGTACATCAAAGCGTTGAAGCGAGTTGGTTTTAAAGCAGAAAAAAACAAAAGGGGTCGAGAACTATATGTCCGGGACATACCATACCAGGTCGGCGACATACGTGGGCTGGAACACCCTCGATGTTAGTCGCGTCTGATGCCATAATATGTTGGATTAGCGATATAGACACCATGTCAGATATGTGAGATATGCGATTGCGATGTTTGTTTTGTTTTGCTGCGCTTTGCTGCCTGTTTTGTCTTTCCTTCGATCTCTTTCGGTCTTGTTCATTTCTCTGCCACCTGGAAAGATTCTTCTTTTCTGTTTTTACTTTTTCTCGTTTCATTCTTTATGCTGTTCACGCTGTTCACCAAATAATGTGCTAGGATAGAAAATGTCAGATGATTGAAGATAGTTCTGGAAGCGTCGCATGATCTTTGCCCATGTCCGGAGTATAACTCTATCCCTCTGTAGATGGAACCTTTGGAAGTCTGGAGGGCCTTCGGGAAGCATGTCATCAAATATGCAATGCTGATTGGCCCAGACGGGTGGGGCGTGCCAAGACTACCCGGAAGGGCAGCGTTAGCGAGGGTTGCAACCCTATTCTCCCCAAACGGGACGGTGGGTGAGGCCCGGCGAGAGAATTCCCTTCAGACCTTTGCCATTTCCACGAGAGTACCTTTTCGCTTTTCACCCTTCAAGCAGGCCATCTCCATCAGCGCCATTCTTCAACCTATCTCGCTGATCGACTTTTTGTCTCGTCAAGATGGTAGGTTTTTCGTCTACCCTTTTTCCCTTCGACTACGTCCCCGTCAGATACCGATCGCTCTACGCGCAGATAAGGGTCATGTTGCCCTGATCTCGTGCTCGACCTCGTCGGCGCCCGTCGGCTACGCTGGACCCTTCATCTCGAAAATTCCGAATGGGACAATACAAAGCGATATGAGAAGGATTGTGTGTGCTGATGGATTTGTGATACTAGGTTCTCGCGGTCGACCTTCTCAACCCTGCTCCTCAGGCTGAGGCCCGTAAGCACAAGCTTAAGGTATGACCATTCGATATCGAAATTTCGAAGTGTCGATCGGACAAAAGAGGACTGACTCAACCCTCCCCTTGTTACAACAGACCCTTGTGCCTGCTCCTCGCTCGTTCTTCATGGACGTCAAGTGCCCCGGCTGCTTCACCATCACCACCGTCTTCTCCCACGCCCAGACCGTCGTCGTCTGCGCCGGCTGCTCGACCGTCCTCTGCCAGCCCACCGGTGGTAAGGCCAGACTTACCGAGGGATGCTCTTTCCGGAGAAAGTAGATGTCTCGACGCAAATCAGGCCGAAGCGATGAATGAAAGAAATGTGGCGTTCTTCGATAATGGATTAATATGATTCTTTTTGAGCAAATTTAACAACAAAATACTCAGATAGAAGATGGAATCCTTTGCCCATTTGCGAGCAAGACACCCCCCAAATACAAAAAAGGTTTCGAAGGGAAATGACCAGGCATCAATACTTTTTTTTCCGTTTTGTGTTATACCACCAAAAAAGCGTGCCCAGTGATTCAATACAGGCTTTTTTATTTTCTTTTGACAGACAATCGAGAGAAAGGGGGAAGTTCCGGATATCTGGCAAACATTGATCGGTCCAAGGCTTCTGCATCGCAATCATCTTTGTCTTCTTCATTATCGACCTACTATCTTCCTGATTCTGCGGCTCGGTTTGCGCACGACGACTTATCTACATCGCTTCGACATGTAATTTTTCTTTTCCAATTATCTTTTGTTTCCATACAACAAACGGGGCACGACGGGATGACACCAAAATGGGCACATCAGCATGAGCTTTGCCAGCCGCAGGAATTCGAATGTCTAGGTCTCGAGAGACGAACAATCCTCCACCGATGACGACATCGCATGTCTGAGTTAGGTGACATTGCTAGGAAGGCCGATGTGCCATGCGGATTGGACGACTTAGCAGCAGCTATCTGGTCCTGCCAACCGACAGCTTGCGTGATTCCTGAGAAGGGATAGGTACTGTCTGCTCGGGTCGGATCTGTCTGCTATGAGCGTCCAATCCGGCATTCCTCGTGCGCCGTGCAATCGTATTTGATGTTTGCTCGATACATGGTGTCCCTCGTAATTGTAGACCTATCTGTACTCTGTATGCGTAATGTGTCTGATAGAGCCCCGCTCAGTCCAAGTCTTGACAGTACGGAGTATATAGTTTGCCATTTACCCCATACTGTAGAGGCCCACATGGATGTACTATGTGCATTGCCAATGGTCATTACCTAGTAGCCGTGCGTTATTACTCGTTAGCCCGTGAAATCTCCGTAGACTACAAGACACATGTACGTCGTAGTCAACTCTGGCAAATGCAAGTCATTGAGGATCTATTCCAGCATATTAATCAAATCAATCCTCTTGAAGCCCTAGTGTGCATGAACAACAGCGATTCTCTTTCTAGCCCCAATATCCGGTAAACAGTTTTATTTGCATCCACACCATACTACCCCCTATTTAAAAGTGTCAATGCTCTCGAGCATACTGTGCTCCTTTTAGACATATTCAAGTACGATCAAGACGGTTGGAGGAGTGATTGCAGGTCAAAAGACCTGTCTTTACTAGATTGATGGATCTTGGCCTTGGGAGACAAGTTTTTGTTTTGTTCATAGCGGAGGGAAGTAGTAACGAAGGAAAGAGAGGAAATATTTCTATACGATGTCTTGACCAATTCTATATCAACCTAATGACGGAAATTATTGGATAGTAGATGGTAAGAGAGAGAAGTATGAAATGGGGGGTAGTTAGTTAATTAGATAATTGGTTCTTATCTTATCGGGACAGCGAGAGGTCACTAAATTCTAGTCTAGCCTAACTAACTAACTATCTAGAGACTCCGACTGAACTTGGCTAACTAACTCGTTCATTCAAAACAACACTCCTTCAATTCTTCTCGTTCCTACCTTTTCTCCGATTGAACAGAATCCTTTCTTTCATCCTCATCTTACTAGTTACATGTCCCACCCTTAGAAAAAGAACGAAGGAACCGAAAGATTCAAAAAATGCCCCCCCAACCCCTCAAACTCCTCATGCTGCACGGCTACACCCAATCCGGCCCCCTCTTCCACGCCAAATCCCGCGCCCTCATAAAACACATCACGAAAGCATTCTCTGCCTCCCACGAAGTGGCCGCAATCTACCCAACCGGTCCCATCCGTCTCGACCCCGCCGATATCCCAGGCTACGAGCCCCCCACCACCAACGAGGAACATCCCACCCCGGAAGCGCCCGAAGCGTACGGGTGGTTTCGACGATCGAACACGGCCAATCCGCCCCTTTATATGGGATTGGAAGATGGGCTGGCGGCTGTCGCGAGGGTCTTGAAGGAGGAAGGACCGTTTGATGGCGTGATTGGGTTTTCGCAGGGAGCTGCGATGGCGGCGATGGTGGCGTCGTTGTTGGAAGGGAATGTAAGGAAAGAGGCGTTTGGGAAGGCCAAGGCGAAGGGACTTGGGGACGCAAGTGACGGGGACAAGGAAGGGGTGTTTGGGTATCCGGCGTCGTTTGAGGGATTGGTGCATCCGCCGCTGAAGTTCGCGATCTGTTATAGTGGGTTTCGGTCGCCGGGGGCGCGGTATCGTGGGTTCTATGAGGAGCCTGGGGTGCAGACGCCGATGCTGCATGTTCTGGGGACGTTGGATGCCGTGGTGGAGGAGTCGAGGAGTCGGTCGTTGATTGAGGCGTGTGTCGGGGATCCCGAGGCTGAGGGGAAGGTGGTTTGGCATCCTGGGGGACATTTCTTGCCGAGTCAGAGGCCGTATTTGGATGCTGCGGTGAGGTTTGTTAGGGAGTCGGTGGAGGAGAAGAAGGGGAAGGCGAGCGAGGAGGAAGAGGATGTGAATGATATGGATTTGCCGTTTTAGAAAAAGACTTAGATATCCCCTTGGCAGATTTGATAGATACAATAGAGGATAGAGTGTTGCGGTCGTCTTGTGATTGGTATCAGGACGACATTGGGTTGGTGATAGAGCATGCAAAAAGCATTAATCCATTTCTACGATCGTATAGTTTTACACGCCATATGTTTAGCGCCAAAATTCATGCCCATCTCTCCGTCCGTGTCATCAATTCCTTAGCGAGCCTTGCCCTTCTCGCCGCGGGAGGGCAGAATCCGGGCCATCATCTCTTCCTTGGTGATCAAGTGATCGATGCGCTCCAAGAGTCCCAGGAGACTCTTCATGTCGCTGCTCCATTCGTTCAGGACGTCATCCGCATCACGGGGCTTGGCGAAGTTGACCAGCCGCGCCGGACGGTCGATCTTCGCATAGATGGTCTTTAACGTAACCAGTTCACTGATGTACTTCTCCGTCTCTTCCTCGGTCAGATCGAGAAGCTCCGTCAACCGACCCATCTGGATGCGAGTGTAGTACTTGGCGACCACCCGGACGTTATGCTCGATGACGCGCTTGCGGAAGTCCTGCCAGCGTCGGTGCGGCTGGTCGTCGGCGGAGTGGCTAGGTTGGGCACTGAAGACATCCGTGTTGCAGATGTGGGGTCCGAATTGCTCCGAGACCATCGGCCAGCGCATCAGTTCGTGGATGGTAAAAAGCTTGATCAGCCGGGCCTCGACGGGAACCGTAGAAAGTCGCGAGTCTTGCTGGATGCGATGGAGCAGGTCCGATTGTTCGTTGTCGTAGGGAGACAGGACAATGTAATACACGATGCGGGCGAGGACCTATAAACATTCGGGTTAGAGCGCAGGAACTATGAGGTGGCAACGAGATGGTGACGTACTGCTCGCAGCTGTTCCGGGTTGTTTTCAACCGACTCGGTATCCAGGACTTCACGGTAATGCTTGCACACATCCAGGTACTTGTATTCGTGGTTAGAGAGGATGATCTGCTGCTCGAAATAGCGGAGCTTCAGGTCCGTGACGTCGTCATCAACCTCCATGGGGGCCTCGTCGGGAGAACGCGTCTTCTCCCGTTCCTCGGCTTCCTTCTTGAGCTTCTCAATTTCTTCGGCGCTCTTCTTCGGCTTACGGTTGAAATACCGCTTGTTGATCTTGCGGCTGAGGATAGTGGCTTGTGTCCAGTCACCGCGCTCTATGCAGAGAGCCACCTGCTCCAGAATGAACTCCGTCTTTTCTCTCCTGGTCATGGACCCGAACGTCTCCACCTGCAGCTCGCAAAGAGTGTCGGCGGCGGCATTCAGATCGCCTTGGGATTTCTTGATATTAGATAGGATTCGGGTGACACGGGCTCTCTCGACTTCGACGAAGATCTGTGATAGTGGGCATTAACATGAGCCGGAGAGGCGTAGTTAGTCAAGGAGCACCGACCTTTCCTTCAGTCACGGTCCGCAGAGTCTGGATCACCGATAACTTCACATCCAAGCTAGGCGTTTCGTCCAGGAATCCCATCACCACCTGCACCATTTTCGTCACAGCTTGTTTGAGTTGGCCATGCTTTTTCGAGAGAAGCAGCACCTGATCATTGAGGAGGTTCCAGTCGCCGGAGTTCTTGCTGATCGTAACGATGGTGATAAGGATTCGAGAAGTAGTGGGCAGGTCGGAAGCCTGTCAATCGAGACATCAATTAGCGTGATACTTGGATGGAATGAGCAGGCGGCGCGCTGTATGTCATACCTGTCTTGCTTGTTTCTCCAGGACCAGAAGCTTGTCGATCGCACCCTGGACGTCGGTCTGGACATCTAATTAGCATCTGTAATCGGCGCAATAGCAAGGAGAGCCTCCAACCTTAGCCAGTTGTTCCGTCTCAGGAATCAGCTTATCGGCATCCTTGGAGAAGTCCTTCTCCGGCTTCAACAGACCTCCGTCGGACATGATGACGAATGCAGGACGTCCCGGTTTCGAGGTTTTTGATCAAATATAGAGAGATGAAATCTGGGTACGAGTAATATGGTGAGGTAGGACGATGAGAGATTTGAAATGGCGATTCGGATGGGGTAGGGAAGGGCTGGAGATGGAGAATGTGGTCATGGAAGCTTGACGGGCAACGCCAGCTCGAGCTGGCCGAAGCTCGCTCACGTGATATGCGCTCACCGTCCGCCCGCCAGAGCGCTCTGTTTACTCTTCCTCAACACCTTTCAATCCTGTCTGTATGACCAGCGTAACATGGACTCGAAAACCATTTGAGAGATTACAATGACTATGGTTTTCTATGAACAATGGCTACTGTCTTGTGCTTGACTTGGTGCCATTGCTAAGAACAAGCGATATTGCTCACTTAAGATGAAGCCACTAACTGGGAATTTAGCGATATCCGAGCATAATTCTTCGCCCATAATCGACACGATGGCAAGTACGGACGGAGTACTTCGTACAGGGTGCTTGATTCATATCAGGGAATCTCATTCTCTGCCTGATTGCCTGACCTCTGCTCTCGCCCTGGATGCCTGAAGCCACTATGCTTAGATAAGCCACACAGCACGATCACGCAATATCGCTTTAACTGCATTGGGGCTGCAGACCAATGTAGATGGAAAAAGAAGAGTCACATTTCCACACATTTATATTTTGGAAAAGTGACATTTGGGTCATTTGGGTGATTTCCTTTTAATAATTGTCGATAGGCTTATCGGACTCTATCAGTTGCCAATTTTTGGGGACGAACATTATTCGTTATCGCCAATTTGCCTCACGTCCAATAACGCTGGGCTTTTTCCGCGGACATCCCAATTACCGCATTCATAAGTGGCCGATAGCCCACCCACTTTGTCGAAGGACTGTGGGAGATCACACCTGATATTTACTTACAAATTTGCTCTGCTTTTTCCATACCGAGGCAAAAACTTGTGTCTTGTCCCAAGGAAACTCGAATATTGCGCTAATTGACTCTTGTGGGGTCTGGCACAATGCGGGATGCATCAAACGATAAAGGCCCGTTGGCACCTTTGCTGGTGGCTATGAATGCAGACTCTCAGGTGCATCTCATCATCGGCTCAAGTCCACTTGCCGCCGCTCGTTGCATTAAGAGTCTGGAAGCTGGCGCAAAGCCAGTCATCATCGCACCGGATACCGGGGACCTGCAGTATACTCTGGCGGAGCGCATAGAAAATGGCTCGGCCCAGTGGATTCGCAGAGAATTCCAAGACACCGATCTGACCAGCTTGGGGAGGGAAGAAGTCGACCATGTTGTGGACACGGTCTTTGTCACTCTGGGCGGGGCTCATCCTCTGAGTATGTGCGCCGATCTCATTAAACGCGGGGAATGTCTCTTCTGATCCTTTTGCAGGCCCTCATATATCTAAGCTCTGTCGGCGACTAAGAATTCCGGTCAATGTGTCGGATGCTCTGAACCTTTGCACTTTCAGTCTTCTCTCAACCTACTCGGATGGCCCTCTGCACGTGGGAATTACCACCTCTGGACGTGGCTGCAAGCTTGCTTCTCGGCTAAGAAGGGAAATTGCGTCGGTTCTTCCCCCAAATCTTGGATCCGCCATCGATCGTTTAGGGTCAGTGCGGAGACGTCTATGGGAGGAAGACTATGCGGCAGGCCTATGCGAAGCCTCGCTGGAAGTCGACGAGGACGACTCAACGGGCCAGAAGCACACTTTCAACAACCTAGTGACGGAAGACGACGTTTCTGCTGCCAAAACCCGGCGCATCCGCTGGCTGTCCCAGATTTGCGAGTATTGGCCGCTCCGCAAACTTGCCGCCATCAACGACTCCGACATCGAAAATATTCTTCAGGCGTACTCGTCCAGCAAAGATAGTCTCGAGGATGTCAATGGGGTCGACAATGTCCAGAAACATGGCAAAATTGTGCTGGCTGGTTCTGGACCAGGACACCCAGATCTACTCACCCGAGCAACATACAATGCCATTCAAACCGCCGACCTCATCCTCTCAGATAAGCTTGTCCCGGCGCCGGTGCTGGAATTGATTCCTCGAAGGACCGAGGTCCATATTGCACGAAAGTTTCCTGGTAACGCAGACCAAGCACAGGAGGAGTTCTTGCGAATGGGTCTCGATGCTTTACGTCGTGGACGACACGTTCTTCGTCTAAAGCAAGGTGATCCTTATCTCTATGGCCGAGGAGGAGAGGAGTTTGAGTTCTTCCGGAACGAGGGCTATACGCCTCTTGTTTTGCCAGGAATCACCAGCGCGCTGAGCGCTTCGTTGTTTGCCGAAATCCCCGCAACCCACCGCGGCGTATCCGACCAAGTTTTGATCTGCACCGGAACAGGAAGGAAAGGAGCGGCCCCCAACCCCCCTACGTATGTGCCGACCCAAACGGTGGTCTTCCTAATGGCACTGCACCGACTGTCGGCACTGGTGGAATCTTTGACGGCCCCGCCCGAGGACGTCTCGCATTCCCGAACGCTGTGGCCCAAGGACACACCGTGTGCCATCATTGAACGGGCATCATGCACGGATCAGCGGGTGATCCGTTCTACCTTGGAGCATGTCTGTCTGGCCTTTGAAGCCGAAGGGTCTCGTCCTCCCGGTCTGTTGGTGGTTGGGGCCAGCTGCCACATTTTACATCAACCTAAGGATCAAAAGTGGGTTGTTGAAGAGGGGTTCAAGGGACTCGATGAGCTGCGGCATATTCCTGAGGTAGCTACGATGTCAGAGAAGGAATAGGTGGGAGTGGTGGCCCTGGAAAGCTGCAATTCTACATGATATATATGTGATGACGGTGGACAAGGAGGTTGTTTTACAGCATGGAAAAGGAAAAAGAGATACCCATATAGATAGAACCTTGACGAATTATCATGAATGATAAATATTTCGAATTTTAGATTCTGTTCTCATAATTTTCTAGAAAAAAGCGTTAATATAGGTCCAGAATTAGGCCTGTGTATACTGTAGTTACATATCGTTATGCCAAACTGCCAGCAAGTCACGGGAACCTCCGATGCCAAGAGTCTCCACCAGGCTATCTTATCTCCCTCTCTCATTCAACCTTCAACTCTCCAGTCATCTCCAAATCCATCCCATCTCACTCGCTTCCATCATGTCGTCAAAACCGCAAACTTATATGTCCAACGGACAAGTCCTTGGAAGGTGAGAACCCATCATTCAATCCCTCGACGGTAGCGCCTCGGAGAAATGAACAGCCAACTAACCTCCGGCCGCAGCCCCCCGTTTTCTGTCCGCCTCGCTCGCTTCTTCGACAATGTCTATCTCTTTCTGGGTCTCTACCTCGTGAGCCTCTTCTCGGTACGTTATATTAAATTCTCTTATCGTGGTTATACTTCTACGGATGAAGACTTCTTCCATGCAACCTCTCATTGCGGATCTCTTATCTATTGCCTCTATCGTGTCGCAACCACAAACTAACAATACATCATTGTAGGTTGATCCTTACACTGCCGCTCAAAACTCCAAATTCAACGTCACCCGCCCCGGAAACAACCCGAACACTCGATCGCGATGGAGCGGAAGTAGTGGCTATGGAGGAGGAGGCGGCGGCGGTGGTGGCGGCGGTGGGCCTGGTGGGTTTGGACCTCGCAAGATTGGTCGCGTGGATGATGTTCGCGGACCGGAGTGTAAGAGCTGCCAATGAGGGATTGATTGTGGGTGCGATGCCAGGCGGCGTTGATGCTTTGATATACCAGTTTCCCGATAGCAAGTCTCTGTCTCTTGGCTAGCCACTCTCCCCAAGGTTTACGGTTGTCTCGATCTCTCACCAAATTATAGTATCCGGATCCGCGTAGTAGTGATCACTTATGTATGATGATTGTAGTATGGTGATCAAGTATCTCGACTTTAACCTAGATGAGACCCTTTTGGTGCAGGCGTTGGCGATTTCCCTCTCAATTCTCCGACCCCGACGACTCGTCCGACTCTTATGAGTTATCTTCTGCTTGTTCTTCGCCTCACTTGCTAGTCTCTATCGTCGTTTGAATGGATATACTCTCTAGTCTGGACAGCCTCTTGAAAACATAAACATGTAATGATGCGAAAGTAGAGGTAACGTTGTGCCGGTCGATTTGGTAACATAAATATAAAAGTTCCTTGCCGTCGAGGTCGCGATACTTGACTGGCAATCTGTCAGATATGACATTCAAACCAGCTAGTAAGGTAATTGATGAATTGGTGCTTCCTTTTCTGTCCTGAGTTCTCGTAGCTTGGCCTGGGTTTGTGTCCCTCAATTGATGATTGATGGGCGAGTAGATACGGAAGAGGTAAATCCTGGGGACTGGATTGGAGATGCAGTGGGATTTCATCGTCAGGGGGTACGCGGGAGTATACGCTCTACGGCTACTGGCTGGATGAATATCGAAGACGATCTCGAGGGTTGCTTCAGTGAAGACAGTCTACCAGGAGTCTAGGATATACTAGAGACTAGAGTAGGGCATCCACCTCATGATGATGATATCATCACGTGACAAACGGGGCGCTTCTCCGCATTTCCAGAGAATCAAATTTCGACGTTCGTCAATCGTAGGCGCGAACGAATTCACAAGCAGAACCAGGCCGGATTTTGACAGAATCGGTCTCGGAAGAATTGAAAACCAAACACCAAAGTACGCAATCCATCCCAGACACAATTCGGTGGTAGCACTACGCTTCCAATTCCCTCGCGTCTAAACACTTGCATATAGCGGGGTTAACGGGTCCGGATCTGTGCTACAGGACAACAGGTCACCCAAACACCACAATGTCTGAGATACCACGGAACAACGAAGAATGGGCGGCCCAGATCTCGACGATCAAAGACCAACTCCCGGAGACGTTCCCCGTGCATCAGACCCCGTTGCCTTCGGCCATCAGCCAGACGATTGATCACACTCAATTGGCACTGGCCGCGACCGAGCAGCAAATCGACCAGCTTTGCGACGAGGCGTCAAAGTACCGCTTTGCGACGGTCTGCGTACGTTTAAACTACGTCACCCGGGCTGTCCAGAAGCTCCAGGTGTCGCCCGACGTGGGCGTGGCCTGTGTGGTGGGTTTCCACGAGGGCATGTACGAGACCTCGGAGAAGGAGCAGGAGGCGCGAGAGGCAGTGAAGCAGGGGGCCTCGGAGCTGGATATGGTGTTGAAGTACCCGCTCCTGAAGGAAGGGAAGTACACGGAGGTCTACGAGGATATCCTGGGGGTGCGCAAGGCGGCGCCGTTGCCCACGAAGCTGAAGGTCATTTTGGAAACAGCTCAACTCTCACGCGACGAGATCATTGCGGGGTCATTCCTGGCGTGTACGGCCGGCGCGGATTTCATCAAGACCAGCACCGGGTTCAATGGGACCGGAGCCAATGTTGACGACGTGGCACTCATGCGGGCAATTGCCGACTTGGTGGGCAAGGGATGCAAGGTGAAGGCTAGTGGAGGGGTGCGTTCGACCGAGGACAGCGTCCGGATGCTGAAGGCAGGCGCCGAGCGCATTGGTAGCAGCTCGGGGGTGAAGATCATGCAGGAGTTGGGCGGGGAGACGGTGTCGGGCGCGGCGACGGAAGGGTATTAACGGAGAGGACGAGAATTCGAGAAGCACTTAAGACCAGGGGGGAAACCCTAGGAGTCGGAGTCGGAGGGGAGTCGAAAAAAGAAAAGTGTTACTTAAAAAGTGGACTGGAATTAAAGTAGAAACTCCGCCGGGCGGTGGAGCATCGACGTCATCAGGAAGCACCCTCATCGGTCAACCACGAACCGCCAGGAAACCAGTTTTGCTCATTATTAGCGAGTGTTTCTAGTCAATTCCTTTCATCTCGCAAGATCTGCGCTCCTCCTCCCAATGAAGCACTCGAATCCCTCCCAAAAGTCCCCTGACTTCGTCGCTCGTTCGCTGCCCTCTACCTCCCCTGTCAATCCCAGGATGCGCCGTCCCAATAACGTCAACAATAACGTCAACAATAACGTCAAGGTTCCACCTCCTTCCCCTCTGCTGCTCTAATCATACCACGTGATCGAGTGCTAACCCCTGGCTTCGGCCTCATTAGAAGCGCAAGACTTTCCACGAGCAAAGTCCGCCCAGGCAAGGTGATTCTGCGCAAAGTGATGTCTTCACGGAGAAGCCTTCCGCCGTCTTTGAGCCCACCGGCGGCCGCTCTCATACTCTGAGCGTGGCTATTCCCGGTAGTATCGTGGCCAAGTAAGTCATTTCTCCCATCTCCGTGACCAAATTCCGTGGGACAAACACTCACGCGACTTTGCGACAGCGCGAAATCCATCGAACAGAAGACCCTTCTCGCGGGAGCCATTGCCCGTGCCCTGGCGGTCTTCTGCGTCGACGAAGTCGTGATCTTCGATGACGACGAGGGCAGTGCGCAGCATGACTTCTACGAGCAGAGCGACGAGTGGTACGAGTCTCCTATAGACAAGACCAACGATCAGCTCAATGGCAACGTTCCCTCCACTAAAGGCTATACGGCCAATTCGGACCCCTCGCATTTCCTAGCGCATATCCTGTCCTATCTAGAGACGCCGCCGTATCTGCGCAAACACCTCTTCCCCATGCACCCGAACCTGCGTGGCGCTGGCCTGTTGCCCAGCCTGGACATGCCGCATCATCTTCGGGCCAACGAATGGTGCAACTACCGCGAGGGTATCGTTGTCTCGAACGCCGATCACTACAAGGCGCGTCGTGGCAGCTACACGGACGGCTACCCTCGTCGGCGTAACTCATCCAGCCCGACTGGCCCTCCTGCCACGATCGTGGACACCGGTCTTTCTCAAAAAGTTGTTCTTCCGGAGATTCAGCTTCCCGAACATGCGCGAGTCACCGTGCGATTCTCGCAGGATGGTCCGAAGCAGTACGCCGAGTCGGTTCATCCGTCCGCGCCTCGTTCGGAGGCGGGCTATTACTGGGGCTACTATGTGCGCCGGTGTCAGTCGCTGTCTTCTGTTTTCACCGAATGTCCCTTCGATGGTGGCTATGATCTGTCGTTCGGGACTTCCGAACGCGGCGCTCCCGTGCGCGCGGTTCTGGAAGAAGACGGTGAGGGTGCGGTACCTCAGCACGATCATCACGCGCAACCACCCGACTACAACCATTTGCTTCTTGTCTTTGGCGGCGTTGCAGGCATTGAGGCTGCTATTCGAAACGATCCTCAACTCCGCGACATGGCCATCCGCCCCACCGAGGCCGGCAAGCTGTTCGATTACTGGGTCAACCTCCTTCCCGGCCAAGGGAGTCGCACCATTCGCACCGAGGAGGCCGTCTGGCTGGGCCTGACGAGCCTGCGAGGCTTGGTGGAGGGCACCCATCGTCCTAGAAGATCGTCCAGGTACAACGGATCCAAGGAGGAGTAGAGAATTCCATGAAAGCTGAAACTGGGCGCCAGACGCCCTTCGGAAGGGGTGCCGCAGAAATTATCTGTTACATCGCCACATTCCAGGCGATGTTTCGTCCTTTTTCTCTTTTCCTACTCCGGAGTACACTCTCAGACTTCATTTCTTCCCTTCCCCTTTGCCCCTTGCTTCCTTTCCTCCCTCCCCGTCTGGAACGGGGTTCCGGTACTAGTTTCCGGCATCTTGCGATTTGATGTCGATTTGTGGCTTTGGAAAAAAGTTGTTACCTCGCATTCGCTGGATAAGCCGTCATACTTGCATATTTGACATTGTCTGGCCTGCGTCGATCTCGGCCCTCCTACCAGTGTCACTGTGACACGCTGAGCATCTGCAACGGTCCTGTCGAACCTCTGGCCATTTACTATCTTGCCCTACGAGATGGACATGTGACATGACATGCCGGTATGCTGAACGTTGCGATTGATGATTCTTTGCGTCTTTTCTCGGGATTTTTCTTTTTCTTATCTCTTTTTTTTTTCTCGTTTTATTTGATATCACATAAACCAGGCAACGGAGTCATGGTTCATTTATCGTATTCATTTAATGGGTATATCATTGCATCGTCATCTCTTATTTTGTTTATTTCTTCCCCCTTTTTAATAATATCTTTTTATCTTGTCTTTCTCTTTCACCTGTTATGTGTTTGGAACGACTCACGAATGATGAGTCTTGCATAGGTAAATTATGGTTTCGATCATCTAGCATAGCGCGGGAGGGCAGGCAAGACAAAAAGATAATAAAAAGGTTTCTATTCGATCAAGTATAAATTTCACTGCATGGTGACAAATTTTCTCTTACTCGGCGCAGTTTCATTGATCGGGACGAAATCCATCGAGTACCCAGAAGGGTTTGAAATAGATGTTAATCTGGATCATCTACCCTTCCCCTAGCTACTCTGTCTAAGTGATTTCACCCCAACCATTGGCAGCAACATCGATCATGCTTAGCTAGTCAACTTAGCACTCTTGTCCATCTCTCCCAGAACCCAGCTCCTAGACATCAGCATTCATAAGAAGTGCATTATCAATCAGTATCCTTTTTCTCTGCCTCGCATCCGATCGAATTTACAGCGCCATAAATCATGACCGTACTGTAGTGACCGGCATAGTGCTCACAATCATCAATTGCATAACGGTAAACAATGACCAAAGCGCCCTTGGATCGCCCTGATCCCCCTAATCGTAGAGGTCAGAACTTATCCTTGAAAAAAAGTTGGAAACATTAAATTCCTTACGGTGTCTCATCAACGGTCAGCTTGTCCTAGGCTCATCTCCTTTACTGATGTATTAATTTTATGGATGCCTTTTCTTTTTCATTTCAAGACTGCTTCAATGAATTCATTAAGAATAGGGCAAACGGTGCAACATTCCCAAGTAGATGTCGGTCTAGCCCGAGGGATCTACACATTCCTTGTTAAATATATCTTTTATTTACAAGTAGGTTCATTTGGTCTAGACTATACTATACGCTGCATTGCCCATTCCAGAGTGATGAGCGCGGAGATCTTCGAATAGCGCAATCCAGAAAAGAAAATGTTTTTCCGACCGTTGCTAACGCCGGAATAGGATATCTGGACACCGCCAAAATATGTGTTACTGCTATACCAGGAAATAGAGCATGAGCTGAAATCAAAGCGAGGAAGAACGAGACAGATACGATTATTGTTCGTCACTGCTATGATCGTCCGAGTCACTCGTCTGCTCGCTTTCCTCGGCGTCCATTTTCCGGAGCACGGCGTCTCCTTTCTTGCCCTTCTTCTCGGCCGCGAACCAGGCTTCTCGGCGCTTGGTCTCGCGCGCTTCCTTGCGGGCTTGTCGGACCGCTTTTTCGCGCTGCGTCTGCTCTTGGTTCTGGTGGAGCTGGTTGATGTGGTCGTGCATATTTACGAGGTCGGAACGCAGTTTGGTCACTTCGTTGGTGGTGGCCTGGCGGGCGGTTTCGTTGATCGATGCTTTCTTCTTGAGCTGGGCGATTTCAGCTTCCAGGGATGCGATGTGCGAATCCTTGGCGGTCGTGTCTTCGGTCGGTGCTGCGTAGGCCATGGACGGGATGGGGGCGCCGCTGGCGCCGCCGCCCTGGCTGAACAGGGATAGCTCGGCCAGGCCTTCTTCGATCATGGATTCGGGGAAGGTGGCGTTGGTGAAGGCGTCGGAGAATTGGTCGGTTTTGGACTGCGTGGGGGTAGATGAGGTCGGGAGGAGGTGTGTGCTGAATGTGTAGTCGGCCGGTACGACACCGGCGGTCTGGGATGTCTCAGAAAGAGCGCTGTCGTATCTGGGCTTGACGATCGTGTGCGCCGTTCGCTTCAGCTCAAAACTGGGCTGCGGGAGACCATTGGGCGGCAACATGAACAGGTTCGTTACGGGATGGGTATAATCGGCCACGGTCGAGGCGTATTTCCGTCGTCCGACATTCCATGAGAGGACTTTTCCGTTCTGGTGACCGGATAATAGCGTCATGCCGTCGTAGGAGAGACAGAGCGTATGCGCGGCTCCGGACTCGGCAGTTGGTGGAGCCCATCGGTCTTCGGCTGGTGGTTGGGAGGGAGTGGATTGTAGCGACGGATCGTGAAGAGGATGTTGGAGCGAATTGCTCTTGTAGAAATCTACCGACTGAATACTGCCATCTTCATATCCCACATAGAAGGCCCGGTCCACGGGGTCGAGCGTTAGAGACGTCGCACTCAAAGGGAGGAGGTATGTCCGTAGAACGCGGCCCGTGTGATAGTCCCATGCGATGGCGGTGTTATCCTGGGCGGCGGAAACAGCAATGTTATACCGGCCGGTGCTATGTCCGACTGCGATAGAGGTGATAGCCGCGCGATGGTTCGAGAAAGTCCGGATCGGAGAGTTCGGAGGTTGTCTGTCCCGACCAGAGGGGGCCTTTGTGAAGGATAGAAGGTCGACTAAGGACCAGACATGGACGTTGGCATCTTGAGAGCCGGAAAGAATGAAGTTGGAGCTGGGATCGACCACCAGCGCGGTGACCGGACTTAAATGCGATGCGGTCGTGGCGACTTGTCTGCCGGTGCAAGTCTAGACAACAAGAAAGAGAACTGTTAGGATACGAAAACAGCACAACTAGAGCCGGATCTTCAACATACCTCCCATAGAATCAATCGACCTCCCTCAGTACCCAGAACCACAACGTCTCCATTCTTACTCCCCGCGATTGCGATACTGCGAATGCGCTCCGGGAAGGGGACGGTAGCTTCTTGGTTTCCCTTTTCTCGGCTATACACGTGAAGAATAGCCTTCTCTGATTGAGCTGCGAAAACGTGCGACGGACTTACGGCCAGGCAATTGGCCGCTGTCGAGCTCTTCTTGAAGGAGGAGCGTAGGGTGGGAGCAGGTTGAAACTCATGGACGCAGATCCCTACATCCCTGAGACTATTTGATGTCGGAGCTTTGGCCGACGCCAATGTGGACGCGATGAAATACTCTGAAAGCATGAGGAGCTGCCAAAGTGGGGGTGATTATCGATTGACGAAGGGGTGTAGAGGGGAGAAAAAGTCGCTATTTTTATCCATCATTTTTTTTTTCTTTTCCTGTCGGCGATAAAAAGCGATAAACGATAAAAGTTTGCACTGTTTGCAGCGGCGTCCCTTGATCTCACGGGACCCGGACAGGACAAGGAACGTCGCCCTCTACAACCGGACAGGACAAGGAACGTCGCCCTCTACAACTTACTCACCACATCAAGTTTTCCACCCGGTCCCTATCTTGGGCAATCATCCCATGATCCCTGGGCTCCTTGCTAATTCACCTCCTTATGGCCCTTGGGGTCATGTGGATTGCCGACGTTGCCCTGCGGCAATTACTGTCATTGCGCAGCTGGACTCGCGGCAACGGAAGCAGATGATGGCAAATCCTCATCAAGCACTTCTTTCACCCCATCGAAGAATTTCACGCCTTCGCACGGTATTTGAGCCATCTTCATACATTTCAAATCTCCGCCACTCTCCGTTGATTGGGACTCTCGCACATGCTGCTTAAATTGCGGCCTCCTCCAAACATGGGGGTAGTCCACCACACCCACAGCAACCAATGCAAGGGGGTCTCTCTAGGGGGTTCGGCTTTGATTGCCCGTCGCAACAGCTCAGCCATAGACAGAAGGGTGACGTTCGTTTCCGGGTCCTTCTAGGGACTCTCCCCATTTCCCTCCCTCTGCATGTCTCATTCCTCCTGTAGTGACGAAATGCAGAGAGCCTGAAAAGCGGACCATCCACGTTGTGCTGCGCCTGCAGGTGGCGCGCATAGGGCCTTCCACCCAATGATTCTCGATCTTGTCGGATCTCACCTCGCTCTGGAATGCAAGGACGGTAGACGTAGTGGCCCTTTACAGTTCGCTCTTGTTCCAGAGTGTTGAGTGACCCTCGCGAAGGGGGAGATCACACATGCCCGATGTCTGGCTATCTGTCACTGCAGGTAGCCAAGGGATGTCTGGGAAGCAGGTCCCTTGGCTAGTATAAGGTCTTGTTTGGCCGCTGCTGCGCACATTTCCGGACCTTCTGCTCATTTTCTCTTATTTTTGCTTCTTATTTCACACAACTAATATACTATTTTCTGTTTATCCTACATCTCCATTATTGTTCCAACACTACTTGGCCATGTCCACGATCGACTGCGATCGTGCAAAGATGCATCTCAGGGCACACTTTCCTCTTCACCAACACACGGTATCTGCGAATAGCGTTCCAACGTACGCCAACAGAACTGTGCCCTCGTATAGCGTAGCCGGCGAAGAGGGCCTAGCTGAAAGTCGCAGCATGGCTGCTCCTCGCTATTCTCCCAATGTACAACCATGGAGGAGACAGAACACGCAGAATTCCCTCTCTTTTGTTCCTTCAACCTCACCTCGTCTAGAACAATCCGAATATACTACGTCACAACAAACACGACGACCAGCAGAACAAGCTCCTGTCATTATTTCACCTTTCCGATCGGTACGCAGAATGAAACAGCCATTCCAGCTGCGTCTACCATCATCTCCTTCGTTTGAAAACAACCCTTCTTCGGTTAGAGACTCTCGAAGACTCTCGAGGGAACCGTTTAACAGCAACAATCACGGTTTGCGCACATGGCGATCCGACCAGAACCTCACGACTACCAGCATGGAGACATTCGGTCTTCTCCCCAGCCCTCCTCTATCCGACCCAAGATCATCACAGCCTTCTCCTTCTTCAGCCTATTTTTCTCCAAAATCAGAATATGACTCGGACGCTGACCAAACAACACCGAAGAGCTCTTCCACTTATAAGCCCGAACCTAAACCATCCTTTGCTGCCCGTGCGCTCCGATTGAGAAAAACCACCGAAAACCTGAGGAGCACAAATGAGTCCACAAATGTACATATGGCACATTCCAACCTAGTGCGACAATGGGACTCGGATGACGGAAAACTCACGCCTGTGTCTACTGACTCGGAGAGGACTGCATCTCCATCCCCATCTCCGTCTCGCTCCCCCTCTCTATCGCTTTCACCCACGCCATCCACAGATATAGACTCCCCAGATACCCGAGATTTCTCGATTAGCTCTACAAACTCGCAACGAAGCCGATCCCGAACGGTCTCTAGCGAGAGAAGCTGGGTCCCGAGTAGCCTCTCGTACTACGAGCCATGGCTTCAGGGAGCGCCAGCGGAAACAGCAGATTCTGGAGAGGAGAAGCCAAAGGAATTCAATCGGAGGAAATGTCAGATACTTCCGCCGGCTGACAAGCCTGTGGTAAGTGTCCTAGTTGTTCATCGTATCCGACATATACTCATGTTTTATAGGTATTTGCCGTCGCCAGTAAGACGAAGCCGAAACTGGTGGATATCTCACGGCAATCTTCCCCGGCAATGAGTTATTCTATGCCAACGCCAACACAGCGAACAGCTCCTTCAACGCCCGATCACCGTCAGCATGAAATATCGGCTTTCAGTCCAGACACGCCACTAGAAATGTCAGATAGTGGTTATATCACGCATCACTGCCCTTCTCCCAAAGAACACCAGACGATCAAGGAGGAGGATGAATATACTGACACCAGCTCTCTCAATGGGGAGAGTGTCGGTGAAACCGTTATCTGCGATAAAATGGCTACAAGCCAGGAAATTCCGAGGCTACCGCCGAAGTCGCCTCAGAGATCGCCCCAGCGGTCACCTGCCAAACCGGATCTGAAACCCACGACGCAGTCATCACCCAAGGCACAAGCATCTCCCGGGCGTTCTTCCAATACTTCCGAGAAAGAAGAACTTGAGAAATGGTGGGACCATGAGTGGACGATTGACCAGCTGGAGCATTCGGCCAAGGACTTCCCTCGAAACATGCTCAAGTTGACTTCCCCAGTAATCATGTTCCTCCGTCACAATAACGAAAAGGCGCTGATACGACCTTTTCGAAAAATATTTCCCGAAGTTGCCGAGAATTTACTCGACAACCTCTGTGCCGTGCTGATTGCACGCAACTATTTGATTTCCCTCGCGTCGATCAATCGAAGAAACAGCAACTTCTCCCATAAACCAAGCTTGTCTCGCCTCGACACGGTTCCCGAAAAAGCAAGCTCTGGGTTGGGAATGCAATATTCACAGCCAACGCCAGCACGGGTCAAGAATCGCATCCTAGGCGCAAGGAGCACAGAGCTCTGCAAAGACCTCGATCGGATTGTTGACAACCTGATATTTGCCATCTGCGGCAAACACGATGAGCATTTGAAGTCTTCCGTACTTGTGCTGGCTCAGGTTCTTGAGACAAAGTCCTAGACCAGTCATTTCTATTGTACTCTATAAATGTCATTAGACATATCCCGGATCACTACCAGTCCTTCTTTCCATTATTTCCTATCCATTTTTCTCACATTCTCTCTTTATCATATCTCAAACCACGTTCACTTCGCTTCTCGTTTCTCTCTTATTATGCAAGACACAGATTGCACCAGCTCGTGACTTTCTCATTTACTCTACTGCACATCCTCTACAAACTCGCTGATTCAATTATTTTCTATTTCATTTTGTTTGCAACCCCATTCTTTCGTCATATATCCCATTTTCCTTCTTGTTTCCAAAATTGTGACATGTGCCGACATAGTCGCCATTCTATCTATCCCATTTGTATAATTGTGTACTGTTGACCCTAGTGGTTGATATAATTACTGGTCGGACATAATATCCAGACCGAATGATACCCTTAGAATAGTAATATAATACTGGCAATTCAAACAACACCGTGTGCAACTTGCGTGATATTCTTGTAGATCAACGCCACCTTAGGGCTACCTTCCCATTGCGGACATCATATCTAGTCCCGATTCGGGTTAATGCAGCATGACTAAGACGCGGGCAATTCGCCGTTATCTCGCGGAGCGGCTTCGTCTTTCCCGCGGAATTCCTTTCTTGCAAACTGCACAAGTTGGATAGCTTCACCATGGCCTCTTCGACGAACCGCTTGAGATCCCTTTACTCCTCTACCTCCAGAGCTGTATCCCACCCAGGAACAGTCGCCCCAATTACGGTCCGCAGCTATGCCACGACCGACCCTGCGCCATCCGCCACCGGCGCCCCGGGCACGACGCCGCGTCGCCGAACCACCTTCAAGGATAAGCTGAATGCTGGTCCTTCGTTCTCAGACTTCGTTTCCGGCGGCGCCGACAATGCTCCTCTCGATCCCTCCGAAGCCTACGCCCTCAAAACCGCCATGGTCGGACCCGCCGGCCGCAAGAAGGAAATGACCCGCCTGCCGTCCTGGCTGAAAACACCCATTCCCGACTCCAAGAACTACCAGCGCCTGAAGAAGGACCTGCGCGGTCTCAATCTCCACACTGTTTGCGAGGAGGCCCGCTGTCCTAACATCTCCGACTGCTGGGGCGGCAGCGACAAGTCCGCCGCTACCGCCACTATCATGCTCATGGGTGATACCTGCACCCGTGGCTGCCGCTTCTGTAGCGTCAAGACCAACCGCAATCCGGCGCCGTTGGACCCCCACGAGCCCGAGAACACCGCCGAGGCTATCTCGCGCTGGGGCTTGGGTTATATTGTCATGACTAGCGTCGACCGAGACGACCTCGCGGACGGCGGTGCTCGCCACTTCGCCGAGACGGTGATCCGCACCAAGCAGAAGGCGCCGAGCATCCTCGTCGAGTGTCTGACTGGTGACTATAGCGGTGATCTGGATATGGTGGGCTTGGTCGCGAGGTCCGGGCTGGACGTGTACGCACACAACGTCGAGACGGTGGAGGCTCTGACGCCGCAGGTTCGGGACCGGAGGGCCACTTTCCAGCAGTCGATTCGCGTGCTGGACGCTGCCAAGAAGGCCCAGCCAGGCTTGATCACCAAGACCTCGTTGATGCTGGGATTGGGCGAGACGGAGGACCAGCTGTGGGATGCGCTGCGGCAGCTGCGCGCCGTGAACGTCGACGTCGTGACTTTCGGCCAGTACATGCGTCCCACGAAGCGTCATATGGCGGTGCATGAGTACGTTACGCCGGATGCGTTCGAGATGTGGCGCCAGCGTGCTCTCGATATGGGCTTCCTATACTGTGCGTCGGGTCCGTTGGTCCGCAGCAGCTACAAGGCCGGTGAGGCGTTCATTGAGAACGTCTTGAAGAAGCGACGTGCTGCCGCTGCCGCTGGAGCGCCGGGGGAGCAGACAGTCAGCAGCGATACGAAAACTGCCGTCGATGAGGCAACGCGCTGATTTTGCTCCTCTTTTTCTTCCCCTTCCTCCCTGCCTCCCTGCTCCCCAGCTCTACCCTTTTTGTGTATTACTCCTGTTTCACCTTAGATTTTGGATTTGATTGGTTCTTTGATCGGCGCAGGTTATCTGGTTTCCTTGTTCTTGTTCCAAAGCATTATTGCTGGTTTACATTTGTGACGATTTTCAAAATATTAAGAAGGGGAAAGGACATGACCAAATGGGTTTGTTTTTTTTTCTTTTCTCACTTTCTCACTTTCTCAGATATAGAGATGATAATAGGTATCGAGAGAACATAGGTTCAACACATAGATTCAAATTCGAATCAACTTCATCATAACTAATGGGCACGTAAATCTCAAATGATATCCATGGCTGAGAAATTGAAATCATAACATGTAACCAGGGGGGTAGCTTCGAATCTCCTTCGCTCTCCTACGCCTCATGAACAACGCTGTTTCTCTCTGTGTCTGTTTGTCTGTGTCTCTTCCTCGTCTACTTCCTCTCACCCAAAATGATATGTCCATCACGTACCTCATCCGAATGTACTAGCCAGCCTAATGACAAATTGCAAAGAAGAGATGTTGACGTCACCGAAATAGGAAAGAAAAACCAAGAATGAAATGGAAAGCAGGAAAGGCAGGGACGTGGGTAGGAGGATAGGGGAACGCAGATTTCAATGCTGCTCCACAACAAGAACCACTTCGAATTGCTGCATTTGGCAAGGAAAAAGGAAAGAAAGGCCGAGAGAAGAGGATAATACTCTTGACCTTTTCCAAGGAAACCAACAAGAAATGGAACTACCTCCAACTACGGGTACTTCTTCAGCTTTCACAAGCCTTCCGCAGTCAACTCCTTGACGTCCTCGTTCGAGAGACCAAGCAGGTAGAGAATGTCGACAAGGCTTTCCCCATTCAGACGGGTAGGGGCCTCCAGCTGCACCATGCTCTTGGCGCGCCAGGCGACACCAAGTCCAGCGGCATGAAGCATGAGCAGGTCGTTGGCGCCATCACCCACAGCAACGGTCTGGGCAATAGGGATGCCGTTCGTTTCGGCGATGGAGTGCAAGAGTGCTCGCTTCTGGGAGGCGTCAATGATAGCGTGGTCGGGTACAAGTTTACCCGTGAGAGTCTGAGTGGTCGGGTCGACCTCGAGCTATTGAAGTAACACACCACGGATTAGCCAGCCGGGTAGGTAGAAAGCCTCTTTTGATGACCCAGAGTGGGGAAGGTAGTTCAACAGTGAGCATTAGCAAGCCAAGGGACGGTGGGGCATACATGGTTCGCGTGTGCGTAATCAATACCAAGCTCACCAGCCAGCCATTCGGCCAAGGGCTGGAATCCTCCACTCAGCACCGCCATTTTGCAACCAAGAGTCTTCAAAGCTTTGCACAATTCACGCGCACCAGGAGCAATCGTGATGACGGATTTCAGCTTCTCGTAGATGTCCGAGGGAACCCCCTTGAGCAAACCAACGCGCTCCTTGAGCGACGCCGAGAAATCGAGCTCGCCATTCATGGCACGTTCCGTGATTTCCTATCATTGTTGTCAGTTAAGCTAAGGTAGACCAGAGCGTACAAACATACCGAGACCTGCTTCTCCACGCCAATAGCCTTGGCAATCTCATCGATCACTTCATTCCGGATTAAGGTGCTGTCCATATCAAACACGACCAGTCGCTTGTGTCGCCGGAAAACGCTTTCCTTCTGCAGCACCACTTCCACGTTCCACTCGCGCTCAAATCGCCATATGCTCTCATGCTTGCGAAGATCGGTGAACGTGAGGTAGTCAGGGTTAGGAGGAGGGGAGATGGTGACCTCGACAACGCGAGGCTGATCCTGGCGATCAAGACAGCGATGGGAGGTGTTCATGCGCTGATAAGGGATCGGGAGAGACTCCATGATTTGGAGGAAGTTCGTCAAGCATAATTGCGACACAAAGGGGCCGTAGAGATGATCGAGAGGCTCGGGTTCTGGTGCCGGGGGTTCGCGCGGGATCTTCTCGATATCGATAGTCGGTGCGGAACCCACGGGAACCATCGGGGAAGGCAGTTTATTCCCGGGACGAGGTGACGAATCGGGATGGAGATGAGGGTGGATGGGATCGGAGGATTTGTAGTATATGGTCGCGACAACTTGCGGAGTTCCGGTGGGCAGGAGATTGCCTTGGTGATTGAAGATGCTGTGGATGATGCCACTCTCGGTCACCTTCTCGGGATCCGGGCTGATGGGGTTAGCGTTGATGGATAACGAGCCCATGCCAGTTTCGACCGCATTCCCCAGGACATTGCCGATGGTCTGGTTGATCGGCACCGAGGGCTTGTACTGCTGATGATCTTGAATGAAGGAGTTACTGCGCAACGTGTGCTGCAGCATTGGCCGCTGTGGGCGAGAGGGTGTGGTGGTGGGGTTAGGCGCCTCCATTCCGCAGGGTCTAGAGTGGGAAGTTGCGAGGGGGAGGAAGGAGATCAAACGCTTGACAGTGGATGAGAGTTGAGCGGAAGACAAGGGGCCAGTCAGCAAACGGACTCTGGAGAGCTTGACACTGGAGACTGCAGAGCAAAGCCTGACGTTTGCAAGAAAATCATGGATTTCCCCTGCAGTATCGATCGGCGGGCACGTGGCGGGGTGCTCAGAAGGGGAAGGCGGTCAGGTCTTTTTTGACCGCCCGGCATAAACAGCGGCAGTTCAGAAGCCGCCGTCCGTTCCGACGACATGGCGGACATGCCTTGCCAGCAGATACCCACACGGTGTTTGCTAGACCCAGCAGACCTCCGACTACGGGTGAATCATCCAGGATCCCGAGCTATTATTAATCTTCCCAGATGGAAGACAGTTTATTTGACTAGTGATGGGCTAAAAGTAGGTGGTCCTCCGGTTGTTACATCATTCAGAGACACTGACCAGGATTAGGGCTCCAGGCGTTCCCCTGGAAGAACATTGATGAGACAAGAATGATGACATGGGGAAGATATAATAGCTTTGTCACCCGCATCAGAGGGAACTCTCCATGATTATCCCCGGGGTTCCAGAAGAACCGGTTGGAAGGTGGAAGGCAGAAAGGGCAGGCATTTCTCAGCGGTGATTGCCCGTGCAAGCCCGTGCGGCGGACGACAGGCACCTGAAGCGCAGGTATTGCGTGCTTTCCTGGGGACATGAGCAAATTGAATTTTTCAGCAGCCTCCCCCAACAGGGTAGGCGGTCATGGGCAATGTCGTGATTGCCAGCGGCAGAATGTGCCGGGCAGGATGAAGGGTCTCTGGCAGTGAAGGACAGGCTCCGGTTGCCGGTGATGTCGTGATTGCCCCTGTCCTCTTATATGAGACTGGCGGTGGCTCTCTCGTCTTTCTCACATCATTCTCCTCTCAGATTTGCAATTTCTGGGCCAAACGTCGTCATTCAATCCAGTCCCGTGTTCTTACTTATAGACTGCTTGGCTCCCTCTAAACAACTCTAAACAATCATTGTCCCACTTCGTTTACCCTTTGCCTTCCCATTAGCATCGGTCTAAGCAAAGATGCCTGCTAAGATGCCTGTCAACTACCCCTCCGAGTCGGAAGTCGACTCCAGAACCGAGTCTGGCTATGTGAGCGGCGGCTCGAGTGATGACTACACCCCGGAGATCATCTTCACCAGGACTCACTTGCAGTTCCTCAACCGTCAGCTGCAGTTTCTTGAACCTCAAGGTCAGCTACGGATGCCTGCCCCTCTAGTAGTCCACTCGGCCCATGCTGACTGATCCTCATGTAGATGTCTTGAGATGGTGTATCACTTCGCTGCCTCATCTCTTCCAGACTACTGCTTTTGGCCTGACCGGTCTTGTCACTCTTGACATGCTGTCTAAGTTGGATGTGCCCCGTCCCCAGATGGTCGACCTTGTCTTCCTCGACACCCTTCACCACTTCAAGGAGACCCTGGCTCTGGTCGACCAGGTCCGTAAGAGATACCCTCTCAACAATGTTCATGTCTACAAGCCTGCTGGCGTCGAGACCGAGGAGGAGTTCGCCAAGAAGTTCGGTGCCCGTCTTTGGGAAACCGATGACCAATTCTACGACTGGGTTGCCAAGGTCGAGCCTGCTCAGCGTGCCTACCGCGAGCTGAACGTTCATGCCGTCCTCACTGGACGCCGCCGCAGCCAGGGTGGTAAGCGTGGCGATCTGGACATCATCGAGGTCGACGAGGCTGGCCTAATCAAGGTCAACCCTCTTGCCAACTGGTCCTTCGATCAGGTCAAGAAGTATGTCAAGGAGAATGACGTGCCCTACAACGAACTCCTTGACCGCGGCTACAAGAGCATCGGTGACTACCACTCTACCCAGCCTGTCAAGGACAACGAAGACGAGCGTTCCGGTCGCTGGAAGGGTCAGGAGAAGACCGAGTGTGGAATTCACAACCCTCGATCCAAGTACGCCCAGTTCCTCATGGACCTGGAGCGCCAGCGCCAGGAGGAGACTCTCGCTCAGGCTCTGCAGACCTCCCTCGCCACTGCTCAATAAGCGTTTCGCGTCCACTGGCTTTTTAACTTGCATTTACACTGGCGTTCTTTGAACGGGGACTACCACATCTAGCGGGATTTCACATGGCGTTGCCTCTATTTCAGACGGATTCGGAATCTGGAAAATCATGTCGTTATGAATAATTTGCGTCTGCTTTTTTTTTTATGGTTGAGGAAAATCCGGAGGGCCCAAGCCACCTGTCAACCCCAATCCCAAGGGGAAGCCTGTACATAGTGGGTTGACGGGACATGCTCAGAATATGACCCGATGGTCCGGCTACGATAATGACTAGTATGATAAACAAAAGAAAACTAGAGCCTTTTTCTCAAAACTCACCTTTTCCCCTGCGTAGTTTATTTATTTGCATCCTTTTTCACTTTTTTTGTTTGCTTTTTCAGACTTTCTGTTACTGTTGTGACCTCCTGAAACCAGGGAACTTCCCGATGCGGAGGAATGTTCCGGAGGAACGTTCTGGTTAGTTAGTATAGGATCGAGGGACCCTCCGGTAGGCATTCCTGCCTGAGGCGAAGCCTCGAGCAGTATATAAAGGCTCTAGATCCTCCCTCCTAGATAGCCTTTCTTCCCCATGGGAAAATTCTTTGACTACGAGTCAGAAACAAACTTGTCTTATACTTAGTTCCTTTGTAGACCGTCACAACTGTAAAGTGCGATGTCGGTTTGGTTGTGTGGGGCGTTTAGCCCTAGTCCGTAGAATTCACGATACCGTTTGTATATGGGATGATTGACAATCACCCCCATCATTATTAACTGAAAATTCACCAAGGGCGGGGGTTTGGACCCTGGCTTCTACTCAGGGTTCAGGGAACAAAGACATCTTCGAAGTGTGGACACGATGAGAAAAAAAGAGGGGAAACGCCCTGTAAGGCAGAAGAAAGATCATCCCAAACATGATCAACCGTTCTAAAAGAAAGCCGACATCGTTCTCCACCAACAAGCATCCTTCAGAATAGATTGCTCAAAGAGATCATTAGTGGTAGAAGATGTTACTACAGTTAATTAAAAAGCTGGAAACCTCACCCCACCATCCAGGAATTATGAAGTAATAGTCGCCTTCTACAACCAAAGAATGCAAGACTCCAATCCCCGGAGACATGGGACAAAGTCACAAGACAGAGGGCGAGTGGGGATGGGGACTAACTTTAATCGAATTTTCTCACGCGGTGAAATAAAGTCACGAGCAGGTCGATTTACAATTCTCTGACGGGATTGCGCCATCCAAGACTCTGCTTACACTAGACTTATTTGGGGAGCGGGTGATCTGGCAGGAGATCTAATCTTATCAATCTTATCTGGACGTCTGCTTATCGGCTCAAATTCCCCCCTTTGTAGGTATGGAAGTTGAAAGGTGACAGCTGTCTTTGCTAATTGTTCAAGAGGTGGATGTACGATGTGAGTTGTCTATTTTCTCCTTGTCTTGGCTGTCAATTTAAGTGTTTTGTCAATGTTGTATTGATCGGTATACTGCGAGTAGTACTATCACGATGCGGGCAGGGAGCCGTTTATTGTGAATATTACTTGCAGGGTCGGAGCATCGAGTCAGTGGTTTTCCGGAGTATTTGGGAATACTACTAAGTATGAGGTCCATTTCAGACTTTGTAAGTGACTACTCTGCTTCCCAAATCCATTCCACTAAAAATCCCCAATAGTGTACACGTATCTCATCCCCGGTCCCAAATGGCCACCGTTGCTTTTTCACACCCGACCGCCACCCCCTCTCTCTCATGCAACGATCTCCATCTGGCAATTCGCAAATACAGAAAAAGAATAAAGAGTTTGAAGCCGTTCTTTACTGATCCTAGTAAAGCAGCAAAATCCGGGGCAAGCCAAGCACGCAACATACGTAGCCGATGACGCGTTAGCTGTCAAGCTAATTAACCTGCGTCTCAGGGGCAGGTTCGCATCTGTCTGAGCTTCTGATACCGATCTCTTGTCAAGCTTTCCGCTCGTTTCAAGTGTCGGCGTTCGTTACCCCATCGGGTGGCCTAATACAAAGAAGGCAGGATTTACTGGATACGTGTTGATGGAGGGTGACTATCCTTGCTACAGTCGGTATGGAGGACGGAAGACAGAGGAATGGATGGGTGTGACTTGGCATGTTCCATCATTGATACATACTCAGACGATCCTGTTGCAGAGTGATGTACCTGAGATGATACTCATAGTCACTGCCATTAATTATGGTTAAGGGTTACCGCGGCGATATGAGGAGACCGATAACCTAAGTCCGACCACCGGCCCGTCACCTGATCTGCGCTAACCCTCATTTGGAACCGGGGATGCGCAATCACGCAAGCCATGCGGAGGATGTCGTGATGCGATCCACGTGATGACGCCGGCTGCCGAAGACGCAGCGACTAAACCACAATCGGATTGAATCCTCCAGAAGTATACAGAGATCAGGGTGAGCATTATTGTAGAGAATAGCTTCCCCTTCAGCATCTGTGCGCAGACAACGTCATCCCTCGTCGCAGGTGCTGGCAATCATGTAAAAGAAACGTCCGATCGAATTTCCCGACTCGCCCCCTGAAAATCATGTCTCGTCTGGGCGTTCGATGATCTATAGCATCAGGTCGCTACGGCGCGGCGACCAGGCCGATCACGCCGGGCCCAACGGGGAAGTAAGTAGCTAGAGAGACGAACTCACCAATGGACCGAAAAGAAAAAGAAAAGAAATGTAGAAGAAACAGGACGAGCACGATCCGATAATGACAGAAGGCCAGAACCAGAAGGGCCGCGGAATTAGCAGTCGAAGCCAAGACCGGATGGACCAGGAAAGATCATCGGAACTCCACCGACTGACGACTCAACGAGTTGTGTTCTTGCGACACTTGGGACTGGAATCGCATGGTGAGATTTTACATTGGATCGCAGAGTGGGATGCGATATTTTTTTAATTTTTAATTTTCGTCTTTCTGGCTCATTCTTGTAATCCGTAATCCAGTCGAGGTCTCCATAAATAATAACTGGACTCTGCCTACTTTTCCCTCCCCTCAGCCACTTTTTTTCCCCTCCCCCTCCTTCACCTTCTTATTTCTTCTCTTGTGTCCCTCCTTCCTCCCTCTTTCTCTCCCTTACAACCTCTTTCCACCCATTTTCTTTCCCTCTACCCCCATCCCCTCCCCAATCCTCCAAAATGGCCAACTCTCCTCACGGTGGTATCCTGAAGGATCTCGTCGCCCGCGATGCTCCCCGCCACGACCAATTGTCCGCGGAGGCGGAGAAGCTGCCCGCCATCGTGCTCTCTGAGCGCCAGCTGTGCGATCTTGAACTGATCATGAACGGTGGCTTCAGTCCTCTGGAGGGTAGGTTCAATTAGCCAATTACTTTCCCCGATGGTGCCTTTCTTGGTACTATGACAACAGCGCTTGGCTCCTGCCGGTGATTGGGAACCGCAGAAGGCTAACTCGTATATCTTCGCCCAGGCTTCATGAACCAGAAGGATTTCGATGGGTATGCCTCCCTCTACTCTCATTTCCCCTCAACCCAAGACATTGGCAGGGAACATGTCTATGGGCAATAGAAACCCATACCCTCTCTCGCAATCGTTCTGCGATCGACCAGACGGCTGACCCCACCTCCCCTCGTTTAGTGTCTGCGAGAACTGCCGACTTGCCGATGGCAACCTTTTCTCTATGCCCATCACCCTCGATGCCTCTCAGGAGACCATTGATGCTGGCAAGCTCCAGGCCGGCTCTCGCGTTACCCTGCGGGATTTCCGTGATGACCGTAACCTGGCCATCCTGACTATCGATGATATTTACCGTGCCGACAAGTAAGTCGACTTTTTATTTACTCCCTGCGAAACTCTTAACATGGATTCCTTAACCGTGCTGGTCGTGGTGTTTGGCTTGACTCGTTTGGTCTCGTACAATCCCGTGGTCTTAGCGGGGCCAGGCCGGTGGCCATTGCGCCGTCGAGCCCGGCGCCGTTTCGGGATTCGTGTATAGTGGGGCTGCATGACGCGGTATGGCTGACATTCTGTTACCACCAATCTAGGGCAAAGGAAGCCAAGCTGGTCTTTGGCGGCGATGCGGACCACCCCGCTATCAAGTACCTGAACACCAAGGTGCACGACTTTTACATCGGTGGAAAGGTTGAGGCTATCAACAAGCTGAACCACTACGACTATGTCGCCCTCCGCTGTAGGTCTCCCCGCGGTTGCGCACAGCCTCTTGACATCTAATTAACGGATTTGCGAAAATAGACACCCCCGCGGAGCTGCGCATCCACTTCGACAAGCTCGGCTGGAACCGAGTTGTCGCTTTCCAGACCAGAAACCCCATGCACAGAGCTCACCGTGAGCTGACTGTCCGCGCCGCTCGTGCCCGCCAGGCCAATGTCCTGATTCACCCCGTTGTCGGTCTCACCAAGCCCGGTGACATCGACCACTTCACTCGTGTCCGCGCTTACCAGGCTCTCCTGCCCCGTTACCCCAACGGAATGGCCGTCCTGGGTCTGCTGCCCCTGGCCATGCGTATGGGTGGTCCCCGCGAGGCCCTCTGGCACGCTATCATCCGTAAGAACCACGGTGCTACCCACTTCATCGTTGGTCGTGACCACGCCGGTCCCGGTAAGAACTCCAAGGGTGAGGAGTTCTACGGCCCTTACGACGCTCAGCACGCCGTCGAGAAGTACAAGGACGAGCTGGGCATCGAGGTCGTCGAGTTCCAGCAGGTCACCTACCTGCCCGACACCGACGAGTACAAGCCCAAGGACGAGGTCGCCGCCGGCACCAAGACTCTGGACATCTCCGGTACCGAGCTCCGTAACCGTCTGCGCACCGGCGCTCACATCCCCGAGTGGTTCTCCTACCCCGAGGTTGTCAAGATCCTCCGTGAATCCAGCCCCCCTCGTGCCAGCCAGGGTTTCACCATCTTCCTCACTGGCTTGTTGAACTCGGGCAAGGATGCCATTGCTCGTGCTCTCCAGGTCACCCTGAACCAGCAGGGCGGTCGCTCCGTCTCCCTGCTGCTGGGTGACACCGTCCGCCACGAGCTCTCGTCCGAGCTTGGCTTCAGCCGTGAGGACCGTCACAAGAACATCCAGCGCATTGCGTTCGTTGCCGGTGAGCTTACCCGCGCCGGCGCTGCCGTCATCGCCGCTCCCATCGCTCCCTACGAGGAGTCTCGCAAGGCTGCTCGCGAGGCCGTGTCCCACCTGGGTGGTTCTTTCTTCCTGGTCCACGTGAACACTCCCATCGAGTACTGTGAGAAGACCGACAAACGTGGAATCTACGAGAAGGCCCGCCGTGGCGAGATCAAGGGTTTCACCGGTGTCGACGACCCTTACGAGGCCCCTGCCAACGCCGACCTCACCGTCGACGTTTCCAAGCAGAGCGTCCGCAGCATTGTGCACGAGATCATCCTCCTTCTCGAGACCGAGGGTTACTTCGACCGTCTGTAAGCGTGTTAAAATGGGTTAGGAAGCGTTTTTATTTTTATCTTTTATCTTTCCTTTGTTTAATGGATGGCGGGCTTGAAAAGAGTTCCACGAATCGGGTTATAGAATGTATGCTTTGAGTTGCAATATTTAGATTCCCCTTGAAAGAATTTCAGGAGCCCAGTGTGCTCTATTCCACCAAATTTGTCGTCCTCAGGCCCAACTCAGTTGATCGTACAAATTCCTATTAGTGCACGTGACCCGCAGTGCAAAATGCAAACCGGACAAACACCGCAAACACCCGCAGAACTTCCTCATCGCCAAACCGGCGGAATCTACAAGTTCCTCGCAACTCCGCCAGCACAGAAAGACGAAGCATCGCAGAATGCTGCCACCTCAAGCTGCACTCGGTCGGGTACCGGGGGCCGCCCTTTTATTACGGCCCCGAAGCCATTATGGCCTGCGCCAACCGTCTCGCCCCTTCACGCACAACTCCCGCCTCTCTCTCGTCTCCACGCCATACAGCCGTCCTCAGCTGCCTTTCCTCTCCCCCGTGACGGGCACTCGCCCTCAGCCGCCCCTTTCTATTCACCTTCGACAGCATTTTGCGCGGTTGATATCGACCGAGAGCCGGAACTACTACCGCCGACGGATTTCCCGGGGTTTTCGAATCGGTCTGTCGTTCTACGCGATCCTGGTCTTGTTCCAAGTCATGAAGCTCGGGGTGCACCAGGAACAACTCGAGCACCAATGGCCCACTCCGCCGGAGTGGTCGTGGAAAAGCCGCTGGTGTCTCCGTTCGGCCGAGGCGCAGCAGCACCCCGAGCAGATCGGTCAGCTGTTGGCCAGTTGGCCGATGGTTGCGGCATACGTGCGGGAGCTGATCGAGCGGTTGGAAAACCCCGAGATCGAAGGACAAGGCGTTGTCGAGCAGAGCGATGGCGGGTTCTTGGTTGAAGGCGTGGGGAAGACCGGCTTCGACATCACTGCCAAGAGTGAGCCGTGGAGGAGAGGGTATCATCAGGCCCTGATGGGCGCTGCCAGGGCGGCGGAGAATCTCGACGGCTGGATGACGGATCGCAAGCGGCGCATCTCCGCGCCGGCGGAGTACGTCGTCGGGCCATCGAACCCTCGTCCGAAGCCCATGCCCTTGGGCCAGAAGACCACGCTGCACGAGGAGGATTGTGAACCGGCCTCCGCCGGCCCCGAGACCTTCTACATGAAGATCCTGACGACGCGGGGTTTCGACACGAGGCAGAAGCTCGACGCCGCGCTCGCCTACGCCGAGTGGCTCAACTACAAGGGTCTCCAGGATACCGCCAGCGACATGTACAGCTGGGCCATGGACATTGCGACCTCCGCGTCCCCCATCGAGGCCTCGAAAATCGTGGACATGAAGACAGGCGTGCTCAAGAACGACGGCAAGCACCTACCCTCAGAGAACATCCTGCGCGTCTCCACGGCGCTCGCAGTCCATCACGCCCGTCAGAGAAACCTCCCCGTCGCCCTCTCCCTCTTCACCTCCGTCCTTCGCGCCCGTCGTGCCCTTCCTCCGCCCGGACCAGACTACGTCTTCCCCACCACCCCCTGTATCCCTAAATCCTCGGACCCGTTCCGCGCCCTGTTCAACGCCCTGAAAACCGTCCTCATCCCCGTCGAATACCCCGCGGCTCTCCCCTCCGGCGACGAACCCCCCGTCCGATCCCCCACCGCCCCCTGCGACGAAGCCGGCCTGATGACCTACATCGGCGAGATCCTCTTCGCGTCCTCCTCCCCTGAGACCGGCCTCGCCTGGACCCGCGACGCCGCCGACATGGCCGAGTCCACGATTCTCGACCTCGGCGGTCCGCAATCCCTCGATGCCCAGCGCTGTACCGAGTGTCTGCGCGTCGGCCTCGATAACTGGAAAACGATGGTATCGCATCTCCTAGCGCAGGCGAAGAAGGACGAAACCGACAGTCTCCAGAACGCCGAAAAGGCGTGGTTCGGTGGCCAGAAACGCGCTCAGGCCAAGTCCCTCGAGCGAAAGCGCTGGGACGCAGAGAAGCTGATCCTCGATGATCGCATTAATCAACTCTGGCCGGCCCTTGACGGGGAACCTGGACTGGGCTCCATGGCGCCGAATGCTTCGTTGTTTGCGTGATATCTCTCTTCATCAAAGGGTGAGAGATTCATGGTTATTATTCATCATTTCTTTCCTACTATACATCGCTTACATACATACCATGGTGTTCGTTTGCTATTTTCTGCTTTCATTTTGTTTTTGGATCGGGGTGTTAGCGGAAAATCTCATTTCTCATTTCTGTTCCTACTTTACTGTCTATCTATCGACCCTACCTTCTCCAATGTATGTATTATAAATTTACCAAACCAATAACCCTCACGGCCGTAAAAAGAGAGGGAAAATGAAAAGATATTGCAATCGATTCGGATGTTTCGTGCACAGAGAATATTCTTGATACATTGATAACAAATCCAATTTACCTCAACTTCGAGCACGTTGAATTAACCTCGGAATGAACCCGGAACATAGATGAATATAGTAATGCTTTTTATAGAATCGAACTAACGAGCTAAATAAATAACTCGAAGAAATATGACGCTGGCGTACACATAGAAACATACTAACCATATAATCCGATCCAATCCAATCCAACTCAAATAAACTTATAAAACCAAACGCAAGTAGATAAGAAATGCGATGCAAATGCGAATGCCATGCAATGGGTGCAATACAGTGCAATGCAAAAAAGCGAAACAGGTTACTGGAAATCGATCAGTACAGCTCAAACCGCCAATCACTGTCAGTCAGTTGGTAATTTACTTGCACAAAAAAAAGTAAGAAATGAGAACGCAATTTTCAACCAGAGCCGGGGGATATATAAGATTGAATGAAAAAAAACGCAAAAATAATATAAGGAATTTCTTCCTGTAGAATAATTAGAATAGAACAAAATAGGCCCCACGGGGACAAATAAAGTCCGGCAATCCATCACTGCATTACCGCAAATCACTACCAATTGTGATTAATTACCCCCAACGACATCTCCATTCGGCAAGGTGATCTTGTATTTCTCAAAGTCCAAAGAGAAAGTGCCCTTGACGCCGGAATCAGTGAGGTCAATACTGAAGTCCTTGCGGTCGGAGTCTGGGTACGACTTGGATAAGTATGTTTGGATCTTCTCTTCCGAGTAGGTAGCGGCTCGGAAGGCCCCGGTTTTCTCAAAGATGTAAAGCACAGCGGTGCGGGAGAAGTCGACGACTTTTGTGGAGACCGTGGTCGAGGTGGGTGATGCCGTTGCGGTCGATGTAGCAGATGACGTGGTGGTCGTGTGCGATGCCGGCTCGGTTTGGGTTGCCGTGGGAAGACCAGTGAAGGTCAGTGGTTGCATGGTTCCCGTCGGCACGGAGGTATCGAAGACAATGCCGTTCACAGTGCCGGCCGGGGCTCGAGCAGCGAGCGTCCGTGTACGCACGTTCAGAGTGGTTGGGGTTGGTGGCTTGGAGTCGGAGGACGATGCTTGGTCTGGGATGGACGGTTGTTCGGAATCAGGTGCGACTAGGAGGGTGCGACGGTCCTTGCTAGATCCCGTGCTCACGCCCTTGAAGGCAACGAGCGAGTTTTCGGTGGTGCAGGAGACATTGTTCTGGCTAAACAGGGCCATAATTGTGACCGAATCCAGAGGCACACCAAAATCACTCTGTGCGTTGTCAAACAAGCGTGGAAGGTTGCTGCCCATGGTGGCATTCTTGGACGAAGAGCCTGAGCCGATTTGAGTGGTGGTGCAGCTGGAGTCGCCGGCAATCGTGCATTGCGAGCCAGTATATCCGTTCGAGCAAACGCAGGAGCAGACATCTCCACTAGAAACACTAACACCCCCGTTGGCGCATGGCGAGTTACTCTCACAACTTGAACCGCTGTTCTTGTTGGCGACAAGGAAGACGGGGACGAGCACCGCCACGAGGATGATAACGATGACCAAGGCACAGATTAGAATGAACAGCCAAAGAGGCATTCCACAACAACGACGAGGGCGCTTTTCAACTTTCTCGTTACCTTCCGCCTCCGACACAGTTTCATTAGACTTGATGTGGTGCAGAGTAGACCTTCGGAAAAAGACAGGCCACGGTGACCCGCGCCCTCCTTCTGGTGTGGCGGCGGGTGGAGGGAATGATGCGAGGAGATCCTTGATTGATCCGGATCTGCGATATTGATTTCCTTTGGTCACAGGTCAGCATTCAGTCCCGTCGCTATGTCCTTCCTGATAGGTGCGGTTACTTACCGGCAAATCTGGGACCTCCACCAGGGTTAAGTAGATCATTCCTACTGGCCGTCCGCCCGTGTTCCAAATTCGAGGCCAATTTCGTCGCACGTCGAATCAAGTCGGGCAGACTTGTCAGACTGCCTCGCTTCTCTGCATCGCGAACAGCCGACATGTCCAACCGAGGGGGTCTCCGAGCGCCCGGCCTTTTATCGCTCATTGTTGGAGCGGCCTTCGGAAGAGCGCCTATCTCTTTTTCAAATGCTCCCATATGAGGGTTTGCGCGGTTTGGTACAGGGTGTGGGTGGCCAAGGTCCAATACAATCGGTGCTTTTTCCAGATTGAAATGGGACGAACTCGTGGATGTCGAAGAGAATGAATCTCGGTCAGTTGCGCCGATAGCAATCTCTTTGAGAGCGGCTTCTTGTGGAACGGGTTTTGGCATGGGTTCTTGTGGTGGCGGCAATGGCGAATCTGCGTTAGATCGTGAGATGGTGCGCAGAGCTGGCACTCCTCTCTTGCCTAGGCTTGCTTGTCGGACAAGAGTAACGTTCCGCTCTTCGCCCGTGGATTTGGGACTGTGTTCCTCATCAGATTCGCCATTGAGGTAGGTTTCTAGGATATCGGACTCGGCACGAGCAGAGCCCCAGCTTGAAGGGATAACTCTGCTCGATGCGAAAGATCCTTCATGAATGGTGGGGCTGTCAGATCCTTCCTCAGGTATAGGTGAAACGGAGGATTGACGGTTGATACCAGGATGCAGCTGTGCTAATGGAGGCGGGGCAAGGTTTGACGGCTGTTTATGAAACTGTCTTTGGCTTTCCGCGGTTAGAGGCTGGCCAGGAAAGGGAAAGTCTGGGATGGAAGGGATTGAGCCAATCGAAGAGGCCGCAGATTGTCTGAAAAGATCATCTGTTGCCACGGACATTCGAGGGGTCGAGGCTTCGGGGCTGGTAGGGCTGGGGGGGACAGGTTCTCTGATGACAGGACGGGGCGGCGGTGGCGGGTGTCCTAGAGGTTGAGAGAACGAGGGAACTGCTGGGCGTTGAAAATGCAGTGGGCTAGGCGTAGCATCCGAAACACTTCTCTCCGAATAGACTGACGGGGATGGCAGGTCAGGGCGCGGTGGTCGCTGAGGCGGAGGACCTTTGGGGACGAACAGTCTGGCGTTAGGGTCAACCATAGGGCCCTGAAAATTATCATTCGGCAAAGGCCATTGGGTCATATGAGCCTGGTTCGCCCTGATAGGACGCGGTGGCGGCGGCGGTCGAACGTTCGCTGGGGGGCCTCGAGCCTCTGGGCGTCTTCCAGCTTCAAGCATCTCCCTTGCCCGGCGAACTGAGCCCTTTCTTTCCATAGCCCCGTTGGGGTTGGGACCGGAAGGCTTCCCGGGATTCATTGGCGATTATGATGAGTTGTTAGCAATTACGGCGCGGTTTGGTGGAATGAAGTGTTTTGTAATTGCGCAAGCATAGAATAGAGCTTGCAACGAATGACTTGTATCAAAATTTCCTTCAGCCTTGTCGATAGATGAACGATCCTTGGTTGGAAAATGTCCAGCTCGACAGAATAGTCGAGATTGAATTCAAAAGTGAACGAGAGCAATGAGAATGGCTTAAGATGATAGGTTTGCAGATCCTTAACAGTGGTGACCTGTAGCAAGATACAAACACTCGGAAAAGAACGGGACTTGAGAACCAGATGCTCAAGATTGAAAAGAAAGACGTTTATAGAACGTTGCGGTGGCACTCAATGCCTCTGCTGCGGCGCAAGTATGGTAATGAGTCAATGCTACAGTCCAGCAGCGCATGATAATGCCATGAGATGAAGAAGGCATACCGCAAAGGGGTGAATAATTTTTGTTGAAAGAAAAGAATGGAAGGAGAAGAAAAGATTTGGTTCACAACTTCATCGTATCGAACTCGTGCAAAATCTCAACTCCAACGAAATCACTGGCAGTCCATTCAGAATCCAGCCCCTGAGGATGACGGCGAAAGCATCGGTTAGCCCCATCTGATCCAATTTATGTGATATAATTCAAGACTTACGGATTCACCAAACGAACGGTTCCAGAAAAAAAAAATGAATCAAAAAGCAGAGCTTCTAGCCCCTGGTGAATTAAAGAGAGAAATGGCAGAGAAGCAAAGAAAGGAAAGAAAACCAGGCCAGAATCGCGAACAAACGGGGCGTTGTGTGATAGCACCACCTGGGTGGGTAATCAAAATAAGGGTTTTTTGCCAGGACTCCGAGAAGTTAGAGCCAAAACTTAAACATTGATATTATTATTCCGCTGCCTCATCTCCGTTGGATGGGCGCATAAGACTCGGATAAGGGCACAGCCTGTCCAGGACGGGCCCATTTCGGTCCCAGTTCGATCGAGTGGAGTTGGGACCGAGTCAAGTAAGCGTGGAAGCTGACACCGAGGGCCGTTTGATAGTGACTCGAAAGCCATATCAGGAAGAGCCAGCCTGTCTACATGTACATCAGCATGGCGAAGGGGAGAAACCTGGTCGATACTCGAGGCCCCCATTATTATTACGTCGTTGCGTTACACAAGAAGCTTCAGATGCGTTCATAAGCTGTTGGGCTGCGAGGCAGCCACCCTTTTTTTCTCTCCTGCTCTGCTGCGTGCGTTTTGCAAGCCGTTGGCGGACCTCCTGAATAACTGCGACAACCATCACAAAGACGCGATATAGGCGAAGGACACGGATTGGCTGAAAATTGAGATCCGGAGTAAACGAATCAGTCGGATAACTGGAGCATGCGCCCGGAACGAATAAGAGGGACGGATCTCGGGGGAGGATCCACCAGGTACCACCACACCAAGCGCATGGCGGTTGACGCTAGGTCTCAGTTTGAGAAGAGGGGACCACTTTAAAAGCGGCTAAGCGGCCCCGATATTTCAACATGAAACCATGCATCCCGTGTCCGTGATCCAATAAAGAGGGGGAAGCCGAGGCTGGGACCAGGATTGACCAGGATTGACCTGGGAAGATCAATTCGGACGTTAGCCAGTCACTGAACCGATCGACTGCATATCACCAACGCGAATCACATCCGAGTGAGAGAGTTTCTGTAGAGAGTAGAAAGTCAAAAACAACCAGCCTCGTCGAGGTGGGAGGCGGAAGAACAAGAAGACTGGACGACACCGTCGGCGGCTAGTGTCGCTTCCACCGTTCGGGGTGGGCTGGCTTCGGTTTAGTCCAACGGGGTTATTCGCCGATAGCGCGCTGGGACTATATCTGCCGATATTAAAGGCGAGGGTGCAGGGGCCCTAGTGAGACAAAATACCGTATGACTATGATTATGATGTGCTGATCGCATTTCCCAAAGGATGACGAGGATGAGGAGGACGATGGGGAAGACGGAAGACGGAAGAGGAAGAGGGAGGGAGAAGGAAGAAAGGAAGGAAAGAAGTCATCGCTGCCTGAGGATGCCTTCCTGCCACCTGACTTTTTGCCATCCTCCCTCACCCTTTTTGTTTCTTTCTTCTACATTATCGTCAAAAAAATTTTTTTGAATAAAACAAAACCATAATCAATCGAGCTCATCGTTCAAAAATAAGAATCATGAACAGCAAAAAAGAGACATTGTCTATCGGAGTGGGCCCCAGCCCAGTCTAGGCAAGCTCTTCTTCATAGCTAAAATCAATAGTTCCCCAACTAAAGATTACAACGGACAACCATGTGGCCGACTGGTCCTCAAAGTCAGCACTTACGTCTTCCTCCGCCTTTACTCCGTTGTTACCGTCATATTCCTTCTTCTCGCTAGTCCGTACCAAACTCCGGCAGAGATACGGACTACCGTCCAGGTACTCCGCAACCATGCGCTCGAGGCAGCGGGTGTAACCAATATATGCCCATGCATGTACTGCTATGATTCGCAGCTGCATAGTATTGGTATCACAGCATATTCCTAGAGCAGGATTTCTTCTCCGGACTGTCGTCCCAGAACGGAAGAATTATGGGGACTTCCCTAAATATAACTTGGTTCACGGGCCTTGGTCTCTTAGACTCTTCGGAGCTCGAAGCCACTTAATCTATATCCCCTGAAAACGGTTAGTATCCTCCCAGACCAATAAAACGGCTCCTCTTTCCCTCGTTGCTTCTTTCCTTTTCCCAATAATAATGACTCAGACACTGCACAAACGGCACGCTCGCATGCCCAAAGAATCATGAAGACGCCACGGGCGGGTATTCAAACGGGCACGAAATGAACGAGGACGGCCTTTGTAGGCCAGATAAGACATGGCTTGAGACTCGATAAGTATCAAAATCCTTGGGAGAACTCTGTGGAACACATGATTGTGCTCATTCACCCCTCCCTCGAGTTTCTGATACAACTTATTCAAGAGAACCTATAGTCCGTGACTGCGGATCCCTGACCCATATGCTCGATCGATTGACGGCTCCGTTCCTGCCACCTAGTGATGCTATATTTGTCCAAATGGATCATGCTCGATAAATAAAGTCCTTGGGTAATCCAAAGCGCCGACTTTTTACATTGCTTTTGAATTAATACTCGGTGGTGTCCGAGTCTCCGAGTATCAATAGATCCTGAACTAGCAGCATCTTTATATTAATACCCACATTCGGCTTTCTCCATCACGATTTTATATCACTATGCTCTGGTCTATTGTAGACTAGATATATTTATAGAACAGAGGACTGCCGTCAGTAAATTATGTCTATGGACAGAGAGAAACATTTCACTCTGTACAGAGTAGTAACCTGGCAGATCCGTGTCAAACATATCGGGTCTCTAATGTCACTTTCTTTTAGAGATAATGCCGGTCGACGCTGGTCTATGTTTATCGAGCACAAATGAACAAGGGAGTAAGGGCAGATCCTATCAAGAACCTAAAAATCTTGAATGAAAACCCCGCCGAATTAAGAAGCCAAACCCTAGCAAAACCCAATTCACTTGGGGTGCAATCTGTTGATATATCAAGTACTACAAGGACTGAACCATCAGTCAGCCTTGCTTTTTGGTCTAGTTAGAAGTCCGAACGATTTTCAACATTAAATCCATACATTCTTTATATGGGAGCCAGATTTGACTTTTTTAACGCGCTTTTTATTGACTGCATAGCCATAATCATGTCCATGAGCGTTGAGGATTTCAATGACTTCATCATATGAATCGAATTGTTGAGTTTGTAGTCCGGGGGGAAGAGGGATACGATCATGAAGTTGCTCATTCAATTCCTCTTCTTCGAATTGCTCATTCCACTGCTCGTTGGGAGGATCGTCGCTCTCGTAGCCTTGAAGATAGCCATTTAATGAAGCCATTATTACTGTATACAGCAACGTGCTGCAGTAATAATGACGGCGACGGCGATAGCAACATACAATATTCAGCATACGCACTTGGTGGCGAATATATAGCTTACCCTATGATAAGAACCCTATAATACAGCCAAAAAAGGAAATGCCTGAATAGGACTAGTACATCACGTGGGGGTGTCGGTCTAACACGACCCTTCATTTATTGCGAGTTTATGAAGTATAAGGGTAGATACCTTAAGTATATATATGGTGGACCGGTGGTTTTCTTTTTACCTTCTCTTGCTTCACAGCTCTCTTTCGTGATCTTCCTGTCCGTAAATATCATGGCCAACTTCGTAGGTTAGTTTTCTCAAGTCATACATATGTGGTTAAGTGTGTACCAAAGACAAGCCATTGATGGTTCGGAGTATTAAGACTGATACAGAGATGTAAAACAGTCTCCTAGTCCTCCTTCTCTTCAGAAGCATCATCTAAGGACTTAAATCAGGGTATAAAACAATAGACTGTATAATTGACACATCTACCTCAGTTCGTAGATTTGCACTGAACTCACGTTTTAGGCATCTGACTCGAGAGATACATAGAATCCATCGTCAATGGTAAGCATCCCAATGCTCGCAGTGTTGCTATCAGTTCCAGCTGTGCTACCTTTCACGGGGAATTTGGGCTTCCTTGCCAGTTGCCTTAATAGAGATGGTTTGCCGACCGAAGAACCAACCTCAAGACGCCCACAAACGGATGACATGCTAGAAACTCTGCAAAGTTGACCATCATACATTGCAGCAATGTAATCGAGCCCTTGTAGTTGCAGTCAGACCACGAATTACCAGTAGAAGGGGCAGCGAGCCATTCAACCATTATCACCGGCAGCATCACCTTCTCACTATACTTCGAACAAGCTCCCCTCCTAGGAGTTGTGACGTCGAATTGCGGAAATCCAAAATTACTGCCTGGTCGAGTCGCCGGGCTGTGTAACTCGGTGAATACCTATTATTTGGCCCAATGCACCCATTTTAGGCCCTGGAATGGCTCATCGGCTACGCTGGCGTCATTAATATCTTCCCAGTGAATAATAAGACTGCCCAAAGACTGTTAATTTAGTCTCACAATGTCATATTGGTCATTCTTTATCAGCTTTTCTGACGACCTTGGACACGTCAATCCTCTTGCGTTCAAAAAGTATTCTATTAGAGAGCATATCAGATTTTATCGAGACGTTCTTTATGTAGAACAAAAGAGAAGTTCTACGATATCTTAGTGAAGAGCAGTTACTCGAATTATTTCTTGCTTGTTCACTATATAGAAACTGGGAACTCGCTCCTGGTAGATGTTTATGGAGAAATCTGTCTATAGTACACTTTTTAGAGTATGCTAATGCTAAGAAGTACGGATGTAATGACTTCAATGTTAAGCATCTACTTATTCTATGTGGGCTTGTTTTAAACAAATATTTGGTTCAATACTTCTTTTTGACTTGAGGTTGTGGACGGTACGCCTAAGAGACGAAATGATCGAGGTAGTGATGATTATGAGAAACATGGTACGATGAGAAGGAACCCTTTTTCCTGTATGCCCATACACAATGGATGTCAAAGGTGTAGTGAGAATTGATACTCTGGTTTCATGGGTAAGTCTGTGCATAGCTAAGAATGAGGAATTTAAGACGGGCAAAATCGGCGTATTCATGAATCTGGCAAGTAGCATCCCCAATCGATCAACATTATACTTACCTGGTGAGGCCTATCTATTGAAGGTTCAAGATATGGAGGCTCGAGAATTTCTCTCTAAGATAATAGAGATATTCCATAGGGGAATAGATTGTGCTGACATGTGTCAAATCACTGGGATGTATCTCTACAGGGCCAGGAGATTCCTTAAATTCGAAGAAAACAAACCCTTTTAGCGAAGCTATTAAACTTACAAGATCCAACGTAGCTACTAATTCATAAACCATAATATTTCTATGGCCCTAGAAGCTCCATGGGCCTGTATCTCTGGGCCTAGTCAACTCAGGCTAGAGTCTCGTCAAGCTACCTTATTTAAGCACTCTCCGCGCAACAAGAGGACTGTTCCCCGCTTTGATAATCGAAAAGTTGTGCGCGTCCAGACAGGCTTTCCGAGAGTTCTCCACCGACTGGCCAGCTCGTGAAGTCATATCCTTTTCGTATTCCCTGACGCTGTCGCGGATAGAAGCCGTGGATGATTGACTATATGGACCAGAGTTAGATACATTACCCCTGTGTGAAGCACATATTTACTCCGAGGGAGGAACAAACCTGATCGATGCTAGATTAACTCTCCTCGTGAAATCAAGCACGTCGACAATGGCGTTGTTTGCGCCTTCTCCGCGAACTATACACGCGTCAATACCGACATCACAAATATAAGCAATTGATCTCAAACCCTTAGAGGATAGTAGAAAGAGAGACTAGACTCACACATGGTCATTGAGTGAGCGGAATCACCTAGCAACACCGCTCGCGGCTGCTCGTTTGTTCCCTGCTCTTGCATCCAGTCTTCGATTTTAATGGAGACTACGTCGGCATCGTCGGGCAGATCGTGGACCAGGGATCGGAATGGCTCGGCCCAGTCTCCTGTAAGGGACTTCATCAGGGCGATGCGCTCTTTGTCTCCGGCTGGGATATCGATTCCTCTGTCTTCAGACCAGGAGACGATGACCTGGCAGAGGTATCCGTCCGGGCTGTCATCGAAGTTGAAGGGACTGTCGAGGACTGGGATTTCAATTATATCAGAAGGAGTTCGCTTGTTTTCATATTGTGATAAATACATGTGATCACGATAGCGACTGGGTAGCTCACAGCTGAAATAGAGATATACGTTCGACTCCGAGTGCGTTCCTTGGAAGAAGTATGGATCTAGAGCTCGCACGGCGGCCGCTTGCTCGACCGAGTACCTAGTTGAGGCTCCAAGTAACTGAATGGGCAAGGGTGCATTTCGATAATTCGATGGGTACAGAGACTTGCGGACACGAGAGTGCGAGCCATCGCAGGCGACTACGATAGCGCCATGGTACGAGGTGCCGTCTCCGAAGCGAACGGTGACTGAATCGTCGTGATACTGGACATCCTCGAGGGTTTTAGACCACTAGGGAGACGTACCCCTGTTAGAAACGATAAGAGTAGCAAAGGCAAAGAATACTTACCTGGACGTCCACCCCCGTCGTCAGAAGCTGTCTGAACCGCGAGCGACTCACTCGGATGCGCTCCGCAGCAGGGACGCTGCACAGCGCCTCCCCCGTGGCCAGGTCAAAGAACTGATAGCGGCCCTTGTCGCCATTTTGGACGGCCTCCTTGTTCACAAAGCTCTCCGGGAGCTGGACCTTGACATCCTCGGGCAACAGCTCGTAGAGGGCAGGTAGTGCCCAGTGCATAGTTAGGCCCCAACCGCCGGCTCGAGCGCTGATCGACGCATCGCGCTCAAAGATCTGATAGGCAATCCCTGATCGACGAAGATACTGGGCGAGGATGAGACCGCTGATTCCCGCCCCGATAATTAGGATCGGCAGCGATTCAGGTCTCGGGGCCAAATTGGTGGCCTGGTTCTTTTCTTCTTTCATTGTCGTTGGTTTTCAGAATTCGGTGGAATGCGGGCACGATGGGGAGGTGCGATAGGTACGATGCGATGACTTGACAGACGGGCGGTCAAGGCGCATCAAGGGATCTGCCCCGGATATAATCGGATCGACTGTGAGCAAAAGAAATTGGAGGCCTCCTCCGACATGATACGAAGTGGCGGATACGAGCCTGCCTTTCCAACTACTCTTACTATGACTGCTCTGATCTATGGCTCAATTACAGCCATACCCGGCCGAAAATGACGGCGACAAGGCTAGCCACTCAATTTGAATACTCCGGCGCTACTGATGCAAATTAAGTATCCAGGGGGAAAGAAAATCCATCCGGAAGGCTTAATCCGTGGCGGCGACGAGGAAAGGCCTCAATCCTGGCAGCATCCTAGCATCCTAGGCACTCTCGGCATCGGGATGTCCAAACAAAGCTGACGGAATGGTCTGTAGACTCCAGTCGGCCACCATTGTCCAGGCGCCAGAGTTTAATCTATAGTGGGTCCGTCATGGTGGTGATAGTGAGGTTGCACTGACAGGGATTGCTTTCTAGCGTCAACGCAAGTATCCCCAATCAGACCATATTCCGTGACGGAGGATGGCTCGTCGCAGGATTGTCTCGGTGATCCTCTCGCGCGAAGGCTTGCCACCGAGCATTTAGTGGCGTGGACTCCCAAGTCACTTGAGACAGAAGAAAAAAGTGTGTATTATGAGATTATCCCTCTTCAAGGAGTGTTTCCTAGCCTGCCGGGCTAGCGGACTAGCAAGATTAAACTGTATATGACTAATTCTTTTCAAGGCGTCGTGCAGTCCAGACTTCAACGGCTCTCCTCTCGATCAATGGAGACGCGATACTCCACTGTCATTTTGATGGCGCCGTTGTTGCCGGTGGTCTCGGAATCGCTGCCGTTGTCTAGGATCAGTTCCTCACTGGGAGTCCGTTTCGGTTTTGAGGACGCGATCTGAGAGACGTTGGAGACGTTGGTACCGTGCAGCCGGTCATCCTTTGAGTAGGACTGCAGGACGTAGTGCGAGTCGGTGCGGTATTTTCCTTTGGAGGCGCTTCGGGACTGAAAATCGCTGACGAACCCTTTGAGTAGAGGGCCGAGGAAAGGTAAGCACGTAATAATATTCTTAAAGGTCCGTTAGTGACTTCATCTAAGCTTCTTTTCCTTCGGCCGTTCGGGAGGCATCCGCCAGGCCTTGATTGGCGGGGAATGGCACCCTGAGGGGCCGAAGGGTTTAGTGTTGATTTAGTGCGAGGATCGGGCTGAGACGGTGGAAATGAATTGGATCAGGATCATCACGTACGCCGACATTGAACTCGATCGTGCCCCAGAGCACGAGCATCGTGGAATTTCCGTCCCCGTAGGCGATCACGCTGATCTGGGTGAGTCGGAGAATTGAACAGACGGTGGTGAACAGCCCCAGAAGGAACAAACACAGCAGACCCGCCTTCTGCGCCGGCTTGACGTTTAGTTCCAGCAAGAGTGGAATGGGCAGGAAGATGATGACCACGTCGCAGAGTATCGTCCACGCCACGAGAGCGTAGTTGGTGGCTCCGAAGGGAAGACATGTTCCTTCGGTGGTCGGATCCCACGATTTTTGAACCTGTTTTTATATCAGCTTCAATTCAAGGAAAGAGAGACAGAAGAGAGAATTCCCGACCGGACGACAGTTAAAAATGAGAACCAGTGTCGCAGCAAAGTGTCCCAACGTGGAGATAATCAAAACAGCCCAGATCACGGCCCGGTATAGTTTCTTCGATGTGCCCGACAAGAGACGCAGATAGCTGAGGCATAGCGCCGCCTTGAATCCAGCTATGCCCATCTGATAGAACGGTCGACCGGCGAAATTCAACTAGATGATTGGATCAAGTCTCAGCGAGGAAAGCATATCAAGAGACCCGAACCTTCCCACCTTCATGTAGTATCCGAGATTGGCCTTGGGCCGAAGAACCAGCGGAAGCCCTAAACCATATCGACTTTCTAACATCAAATCGGTCAGGACGAGGAACGCGATCGGGGCGAAGTGGTAAGAAATGAGGTCTTACGAGCCACGCAGAGACAGTTATAGATGATACTGAATATCTGAACATGGCGGGAATGGCGATTAGACACGAACAAACGCAGATGGGACTGGAACTCACCATCGTGACAATCATCACGTAGTCATCGACGGCCATACGACGAGATCGAATCCGGATATAGAGACGAAGACACACGACGACCATCATGGCCCCGGTGAGAGAGAAACATACTCCCAATATCGTAGGATAATTCGACTGTGCGTTCACCTCCGGGGTGGCATTGTGAACCCAGCCCATCGTGAATAGCAAGAAGGATCGGCGTATAGACGCAGAACCAGCAGTGGGATCAAAATTCCGCAAGGGATATCAAGATCGTGAGAACCCTACGTATATCAAGGGCTTCGATGCGGTCTGCCTGCATCGTCCCAATCCCACGGAACCCTGGCCAATCCTTTGCTTTTTTTCTCTCCTTTTTCCTTTTCCTCTTTTTCGTATGCTTTATTTTTTAATTTTATTTATTGATTTATTTTTCCATCCAGCACTCTTTCCATCCTTCTTCTTCTCTTCTGCGTGGAATTAATCTAGATGAAGAAGGCAAGTGGTCAACGAGACACAGGGATCTGATCCTGTGTGACTTTGAACAAGGCCATTGGTAACACAACTCTCCACCCTGAACTCTGCGTGGATCAGGGTCGAAATTGACCCAGTCAAAGTGCTGATGGGCTAATGCACCAAGGCAATATCACCATTGCACGTTCATCGACTACTGCCACCTATCGGTGGCCTAGACCGGGGGGGCTTCGGCGAGAGTACCACACTTGGGAATCATTTCATATTAGCCTATCTTTCTGTTGCCTCTTGTCCGGCAATTCGAACTTTTCATCTCCTTTTTTTCTCTGCTTTGCTTTTGCCTTCTGGCTCTTGCCCCTCGTCCTACTTATTTCTTTTTCTTGGCCTGCCTATCCTTGGTGAGTCTACTAGCACTTCCTACATTCCTTATATACATACAGTTTGGCCCCTGGCTGGCATTTTCTCTTCCTGATACTACCAAACTATAGCTCCTCTTTGATTCTGACGGTTTCAAGTCAGCGAGGATATTCAACCATGTCGGAAGTCGATTCCAAGCAACCTGATGTCGGTGCCAAACCGGTAGCCCCGGCCAAGGTCGACCAGGCCTGGGAGTATCTGGCCAGCCATGCCGATAACCAAAATACCGATCATATTGATCTGGCAGCAACTCGGCGCAAGATTGATCTACGCATCATGCCGTTCATGTTCTGCTGTTATTTCTTGCAGTTCATCGACAAGGTCATGTACAACGTGAGTTCCCTTCGTACTACCACAGACGAGGGTGTTCCGGCTAAACCGGCTATCCCCATAGTATGCTGCCGTCATGGGCATGAAAATCGATCTGGGACTGAAGGGAAACAACTTCAGCGATGCTGCCAGTGCTTTCTTCATTGCCTATCTAGTGGCTGAGGTTCCCAATGGTGAACTCCTCCCCTGTCCACCACTGGACGTCCTACTAGCAACAGAACTAACGGCTCGACAGTATATTTGCTGCAAAAGGTTCCACCGGCCAAGTGGTTGGGAATCAACGTCGCTCTCTGGGGTGTCGCTGCGGCCGCCGCTGCCGGTGCCAAAGACTACCCGACTCTTCTCACGTCCCGAATCTTCCTCGGTATATTCGAGGCCACTGTCGGGCCCTCCCTGATGCTTCTGAGCAGCCAGTACTATACGAAGCAAGAACAAGCCCCTCGCTTTACCTTCTGGTACCTGGGTCTGGGTGTGGCTCAGATCATCGGAGGAATCATCTCTTTTGGCTTCCAGCATGTCCATAACTCGTTCGAGGGCTGGAGGATCATGTTCCTGGTAATGGGTCTGATCACCGTGATTGTGGGTGTTGCCACTTTCTTCTTCATCCCCGACACCCCGATGAAGGCGAAGTTCCTATCGGACGACGAGAAGATCTCCATCCTCAAGCATGTCAGTGTCAACCAAACTGGCATCCACAACACCAAGTTCAACTACAAGCACATCATCGAATCCGTTTTCGACGTGCAGGTCTGGCTGTTGACTTTGCAGGTTGTTTTGGTAAGCTTCATCCCGTTTATCAAGACCCGTACACCTGCTAACACATCTTCCTCCTAGCAATCCGTTTCCAGCGGCGTAGTAACCACCTACTCATCCACCTTGATCGCCTCCTTCGGCTTCTCCGGCCCCGTTTCTGCTCTGCTTAATACCCCCTCGGGCATCGTCAGCATATTCTTCACCCTGCTCGTAGGCATCGGCATCCGCAAGGCCGCCAACCGATGGGCCTGGATCTTCCTCTGCTGCATCCCGGGCATCATCGGCGGCGGCCTCCTGTCCTTCCTGCCGAAGACCAACCGCGCCGGCGTGTTGATCGGCATCTACCTCGTTAACTCCATCGTCGCGCCCTTGCCCGTCATCTACCACTGGACGGCGGCCAACTGCGCCGGATACACCAAGCGCGCCTTCACCAGCGCCCTGGTGGCCGGTTCCTTTTCCATCGGTAACATCATCGGCCCTCAGACCTTCCAGGCCCGTGACGCCCCGGATTACCGGCCGGCTAAGATCGCAGTGCTTGCTACTCAGGCGGCCGCGGGTGTTCTGTCCGTCGTGCTGTGGCAGTACTACGTCTGGGAGAATAAGCGCAGGGATCGTGCTCAGGCCGGGCAGCAGGGAGGGGAGACGGTCGGGGATGAGACGGCTTGGGTTGGTCTTACTGACAAGGAGAATAAGAGTTTCCGCTATGTGTATTGATAGGCATGTTGGTAGTAGTCTCCTACTAGTTAGTTATTGGTAACAATTTGCAAGATAGTTACTTAACTGTGATACTTTGGCCTCTGACATACGAGTATTCAGCTCCTTCCTTACTGTCTAGATCTAGCAGGCATAGACGATCATAGAAGGAAGCCCCAAGCATCCAAATCGAACCGCTCCAGGATTCACAACTTCCCAGGAAGTAGATCCTCGGGAACCTGCGAATGTTGGTAAGATTAATTGAATAAAGTTAGACTATCCATTGCACCATTTGAAGGAACCCGAGGAACCCGAGCACGGATTCCGACTGAACCGGTTCCACATCGCCGTCAACTAAAGTAGGGAGTGTTTAGGGCAAGGAATGGGGGCCTCAGGATCAGAGCCCGGCCAGTGCCTGCCTGCCGGATCTAACCCTTATTAGTATTACGTATCCATTATTTTAATTCATGAGAATCCTCTTGGAGTAGTATGTACTTCGTAGTAAGGAGTTAATGTACATCCTTCAGCTTAGGTTACAGCACTACTGAGTGCTAGTGTCTCGGTGTACCTTTACCTAATTGATCTGATTACCTGGTATGTGTTCAACTCGAGGGAATTAAAGGGGAATCTTCATATATCCTGTGGGATTTCATATCGAAGTGGGCTTGGCTTTATGTAAAACAACAGTTTCCTGCTGCTGGGACGGAAGTGGATGTTCTGTAAGGTAGTTATACTCCGTAGCGCACGGTGGGCTCGTTGGAGGAAAGAGAATAAATAAATAAATAATTCAAATGCGTCGTTGTTGTTTATTCTACCATGCACAGAGTAAAATCATCTTGGATACGTCACTTATTTGTGGATCGAATTGTTGGGATTAAGTTATGGAGCAGATCTCTACGATCATACGATTCATTTGTTTATGAGATCCGAGGATAGAAGAATTATCTCCCTTCCGTAAATGGCCGGCCGAAAAGGAATCACGTCCATCAATGACATGGAAATATACATTTGGAAAGCGCGCAGGTCTACTTGTCGTCACTTCCTGCTGGCCCTAACATGCTCCTTACGCGATTGATTTCGCTTTCCAGCGCTCGCATCTCGAACGCCGTGCTTGTCAATTGTGGCACAGGGCTTTCTAACACATCGGTGAATGATTTCTGAGCGTTGCGGAGATGAGGAGAGACCAGGACGCCGAACCACCGGATAGGGTCCGAGGAGCAGGGTTTCTTTTTCACGGGTTCAGGCTTCGGTGCAGCTGTCGAGTCTGCATCGGTCTCTCCGGGCGATTCTGTGGACTCTGAATCCTCGACATTCGTGTCGGGCGCTTCTTTCGGACTGTCGTCTGGTTTCGTCTCAGAAAGGGTCTCGGAACTTTCGTTCGTAACTGGTTCAATTGTGAAGATGGTCTTCGATTCATCTTTTCCGGTCGGGTCTTCGCGATCGGTCACGGTGGCATCGTTTGTCGGGTCTAGAGGAGATTGCAGAGCTCTAAGAATGCAGCTTGGTTAACGTGTATTCCGACAGTGACCAAAGCGGCTGAACTAGTCTATTGATATACACTCACACTCTTCGAGTGGCCTTCATCCGCTCGTCATAGTAGTCGGCGCCATACCTCCGACCCGGGGGACAGGTATAGTTGGCCTGGGCGAGTGAGAAGAATCCCTAATATCCCCAACTCCTTTAGTGAGGGTTGCAGGATGATCGATTGAGATACATGTCCTTCATACCGAGGAGATGCGGGACGCCAACTGTGTCTGGAGTTTCTGGTGCTGGTCGAGAAGGTCGAGGTACTTTTCCAACAGCGAGTCGAGCGACTGCAGCAGGTCCGCGGGAGAGTCCGCGGAGGAGTCAGAGACCGGAGCTTCCTTGAGCTCGACCTCGGGGGCTTCTGAGCCTGGCCGGGATGCAGGCGGCGTGGGGATCTGTGCCATGGAGAGAGAATACTTGGGACGGTGACGCGAGAAATGCGATACGACCGAGACGAGCAGGCGGCGAGGAAGTTGGAGATGGAGATGGAGAAAGGCGAAGGTCGGCCGAGCAGCCCGATAACTCCGTCGATAAAAAGAATTTCCCGCGCAAACCGTCATCGCTTCCTCCCCCTTCTATCTTCTTGCATACCGTCCCCTCCCCATCAACAAGTGACTTCCTTTGATTTCATCTGTTCTATTTCTTGTACGATAGTCAAGATCTAGGAATCTGTTGCTCGGAGGTCTGCATTATTCAGCCTCCCCGCGCCCTTTCGTTAGCGCAGCTTCTCTCGGCTGGACGCCACTCGTGCTTTGCGACCTCGAATATTCCGATCCGGCGCTCTGTGAATATTTTCGCGGAAACCAGGAGTCGAAGCGATTACGAGACAGATCCGACCTTTTCGCTCGTCATATCTCACTGCGTTGCGACAACGCTGATCTAAAACCGGGAAAGTCGGAGGCAACGGAGTACTCTAGTCGGCCATCGGACTTCTGCCAGGCGATCGCTTTTCACCTTGCTACTTCCACCTTTTCCGACGATATATTCCTCTCCAATATACATCGTCTCCACCCCTCGTGCTTTTTCAATCCATCCATCATGTCGGTGCCCACATTACAGCGAGACACTGCCTTCCAGGTGCGATCTTTGGTATGTTCATGTCTCCTCTCGAAAGCTTCGACTCCCCACGCGTTCACGTCCACAGACAGACTAACTTCGGTCGCTCGTGCCCTTTCAATTATAGTTCCGATCGCTGCTGCGCCAATCGTCCCAATTCTCCAGCTTCAACTTTCGCGAGTACGCCCGTCGGAGGACGAAGGACGCTTTCCGGGAGCACCAGAACGAAACGGAGGCTAGGAAGGTCCAGGAGCAGATTCAGGATGGTCTGCAGAACTTGCGCATGATGAAGGTCGGTCTCCAATTTTCCCACCCTGCCGGACACGGATAGCGTTGGGAATAACTTGCAACTTGCAACATACAATTTCAATGGATTGCTGACGTCGGGATTAGAGGCAAACTATAATCAGTCAGTTCTACCAGTTTGACAAGCTTGTGGTCGAAGGCCAAAAGACGGTTAGTTGGCAATGATTCATGCACGACGCTTATATTAGAACCCTGGACTGACGACTGGCAATAGGGAAAGCAAACCGGCGGAGAAGGTGATATTGTCCGTCAGAAGGATACCGGGTGAGTTTCCCTCTGGCCCTCCGTTGATGTTTTCAACTATAGTACAGTTCTTCTAACGGGCTCTATAGCTGGGACTAAATTGTCGATCTACTGATACTGAGGGGGTGGGTGTTATTTTGGTATTGGCAAAAAGGAGTACGAGGAAGATAGCGCCACGTTCGGAGTGATTCGAATCTTTTAGACTTGGGGTGCTCTCTGTATTTTTAATGAACCCATTTACATTGTTGGTAGCACTGATCCTTATCCCTTGCAATGAAAATTCTTCGCTCATCTGGCGACTGCTGCCTGGTAGAACTGCTTGTAGCCCTGCTGTAGACCTGGAGAAGTTCCTCTGTTGGTGAGCAATCGCGGTGTTGGTCACGTGGCACCGCCGACGGAGCAGCCGCGCTTCGCATCGCAACGGCGACTCTCCGTCAACTCTCCGCCCAGTCAGGCTTGTCGGCCACTGCCTTCTTTCTCTTTTGCCGCTGCATTCGCGGGACTTTCACTGTCGCTGCGTTCGGCTCCATTAAATTCTCTATTTTCCCACGGTTCTTCTCGATGCCCCTAGAGGGACGACAGTAGCACCATGCCACCCACTGTACGTTCCTCCGCGCTCAGTCCATTCGCCAATATTCACCAATGCACTGCCCGCGACTGGACTTGTCAATGAACAAGTAGCTTTATTTGCATGGATCTGACTTGATTGACCCTCTACAGTTCCGATCGTCGCGCTCCGGCCGCCAATTCGGCGAGAATGCCAACCGTTCGAAGATCGATCACGACGTGTTCGAGGGCCTCCCCGTCCGACGATGGACGCGCCAATCCCAGACCATCTCGCAGGTGCCGAAGCTGGATGACGCCGATCCCCTTGTGCAAGGTCCCGGTGGAAAAACCTCACTACCCGAACACCCCATGCCTAGGGACAGTCACCTCTTGACCCCGATGAGTCGGGCTCTGCTCCGCGCCGCTCGCGCCGGCTGCGTCTACATCCGACCGGCCAACAAGGATTCCGAAGACGAGGAGAAGGAAGTCACCGACGTGGAGGAACAGCCGCTGATTCAGAGTGCCGAGCGCAGCTTTGTCGCTCGCAAGTGGGCGGCAGTCCCGAGGCATCTGGAGGCGGCGGAGGTCGAGTTCCTCGCTAAGCGACGCGCCGGCTTGCCTTCGCTATACGGTGCGACGGCCGCGGGCACTGATTCGACTAGCAATCCTACCCCGATGCGCAGGACCCGCTTCAGGAAGGTTGACTCCGCGAGTGGGAATATCTCGATCTACGAAGCCTGGGTCCCTGAAGGACATCGGATCGAAGGCGAAGTCACAGACGATACCCAGTTGGCGGTCGAAAATACCGAAGTCACGATTACCCCTGAAGCGCCCGCCCCGGGTACAGTTATCGAAGGCGTCGGTGTGGTCAATGCTGAAGGCGTGGTAGTTGCCGAGGCAGGCTCGGTGTCGGTCATGACTCCGCCGAAGAGACGCCCTCCTCCTCCTAAGCGCAAGGCCAAGGGTTTTGGAAAAGGTAGGAGGAAGAAGGTCATGTTTGCTCCTGGGGATGGGGCCGATGCCGCCACGGTGCACGGGGCCGAATCCGGTGCTGCGGGCGGTACTGCGCAGCCTGGTCGCAAGGAAGAGGACACAGACGCGTCTCGGGGCGAGCAGGCTGGTCAGGATGATGATGATGACGACGGTGATGAGGGTGATGACAGCGAGGATGGTGAGGGCGATGAGTCCATGCTCGATGCGAAGACTCCCGAAACCCCACTGCCGCAGACCAGCGCCGAACCTGAGCCCACGCCTGCTCCTGATTCCGAGCCTCCGGTCGCTGAACAGGTCCCCGCGCCTGTAGCAGCGCCTGCGGAATCAGATGCCGCTCCGCAGACGGTTACTGAAGTCCCAGCTGCTACTTCAGCGCCGTCCTCGGAGTTGCCTTCACAGTCCCCAGCCGAGCCTTCACTACCCCAGGCGCCCGAAGCTCACTCACAGTCGCATCCTGAATCGGCAACACCTGCTGCGCCTGAAAAGCTCACACACCAGACGGAACCCGCAGAGGATGTCGAGATGACCGACGATCAACCCGAACCCGCTTCAACAGATATGAGAACTACATCGGAACAACCTGCTACGGCACCACCTCAGGAAAATACCCAGGAGACTTTCCAGACTTCAGAGCCCATGCAACTTCCCGAGGGCCAAAACACTGAACAGCCTGCCGTCGCTGAAGCAAAGGAGCCCGAAGATGTAGTCATGGCCGATCAGAGTGACTCGGTGGCACAAGAGCCTGAACGGACTGAGCAGCAGACTACGGAGATCCCGACAGGCCCTACGCAAGCACCACAGCCCGAACGTGCCCAGGAGGAGTTTGTGCCAGAACAGACAGATGCCCAGCCGAGCGAGAAACAAGTAGACAGTGACATTGACCTTCTGGGCAGCTTAGAGGCCAGCCTAGGCAACTCCGCCGATCAAGGTCGAACGGATGAACCGAGCGAGTCGCAGCCTGAGAAGCAGGTCGAGGAGACCCCTGTCAAAGATGAGTCTGCTCAACCAGAAACCGCTGAAGTACTCAAATCAGAGGAACCTTCGGCTGAAAACAAGGACCAAACAACAGCGGTGGCACCTGAGGCACCAACGGCAGAGCCAATCTCTCAGGAGCAGCCCGAAAACCCCGCTGAAGAAACCGTTCAGCAACCCACCGAGATCCCGGCTACAGAATCATCCTCAGAGCAACTCACAGAGCCGAATACTCAAGACCCCAAGCCCCAGCCTACCGAGCCAGTCACGGAAAAGATCGAGGAACAGCTTGAACCTCCGACTGAGGAGCCATCCATTGAACAAGCACCGCAACCAGCCGCAGAGCCAGCACCAGCTGAGGCTTCTCCATCGGCAGAGGCTCTTTCCGCAGAGGAGCAGTCGGCAGAACCGTCAAAAGAAGAACCAACAACCGAATCGCAACCCGAGCAGCCCTCAGAACAACCATTACAGCCAGCAGAAGAACGGTCTGGTGTTCAGCCAGAGGAACTACCTCCCCAGTCTGATGTACCAGCAGACGCTCCACAGGAACCTGCCGCTACCGAAGCCCCCAAGACCTCTTCTCCACCTATCTCGGCAGCCGTCGAAGAAGCCGTCGAAGATACCAAGCCTGCTTCCACCGAGGCCAATGAGCCCGCACCCGCACCCGCACCCGCTGCTGCTGAAGCTACACCCAAGAACCCAACTCCAGAAGCCGTCCCGGAACAGGAGACGCAAAAGGAGGAGGAGCAGGAACAGAAGCAGGAACAGAAGCAGGAACCGAAATCTGAGCCCGAGGCTGAGGAACCAAAGCCCGAGACCAAGCAAGAAGAGAGCGAGACAACGGCAGCACCGGTCTCCGCTGCTACAGTTCCAGATCCCTCGGCTCCGTCTGCAAATGACGAGGCTTCTTAGAACCAGCTAGATCTAGATCTAGATGTATTTTTTCCTTTTTCCTTGTTCCTGATTCACTCATGTGTATTTATTCAAGTCAAGTACGACGAGCGATTATTGGATTTCTTACTTAGTTTCTATCTTTTCAAAAGAGACGGGCGCAGGTTTTGTTGGTTTGGTTTGATGCCATTTAGTTGGCTTGTGTTTGAAGGAAGGGCCTTTGAAATACATACATGCTTCATCTTATCCGTTCCTCTTCTTCTAGTCTGGTAACGTCATATTGTTCTTTCATTGTAAGTGAGCTGCCCCCGGCTACTACGGACCTGCCTACGGAGTCAATCCTTGAATTATGCGTGTATTGTCCGCCATTACTTGCCGTGGACTACCTGCACAATACTTTCCTAATATGGAAGAAGTCTATTTCATTCAAGATCATACGATATCTATAATGATATAAGGTAAACCGCCTTCTATTAAAGGCAAATGTGTGCAGGTAGTCCACTTCCCTCCCGCTTATCTAGCGGAAGGAGGGTCAACGACCTGTAGTATAGAGTATGGAGTTTAGTGCTTATATTTATGGCAGTATTGAAGCATAAAAAAGTGACATTGACTCGCAATACGAAGTGGGGGTGACTTGCTGGTTAGTATTCAACTACGGAGTATACACACCGTACGGGGGTAGAGGGAGCCACTTCAAGTAGCCTTCTAGGTTGTATAAAAACCTACCCTAGATTCCTGTCAGTACTGACTAACCACATACTCCGCCCACCTAGTGAGTGTCCCCTGCCGTTGACGATGGCGACATCTCACTGCCATTCGATATCTCGCAATACCCCAAGCTATCCCTCGACCAAGTAGGCCACCTCCGCCACTTCTACAACCTCAGCTCTGTCCCTGATGGCGACTGGCCTCACACGAGCTCCCAGGAGCCCGCACAAGAGTTCCTCGACGCATACCGCCACCAACTAGCCACAATGACCTACGCCTCAGCCCTAACGCACTACCACCGCCTCCCTGCCCTTCGAGGCCTCTTCAAGCCATTACTCCGCCGTCTAGTGCACAAGATGCTCCACCGCGACATGTGGTCATACTGGTACCTCACCTCCCAGTCCGGGATCATGGTCGACCCGAGCCTGAAGGAGCTCCGCAGGCCGTGGGCGAATCCGGTCGTGAGGGAAAACATCATGTATAGTGGTCATCTGCTGCTCATGACGAGTCTCTATGCGATGCTGTTCGATGACGATGAATTTGAGAGGGCGGGGAGTTTGAGCTTTCGATGGAATACCCTGCTCTGGGGGATGGGGCCGAAGATGTTCGAGTATGATAATCGGAGTTTGCAAAAAGCTGTGCTGGAGGAGATGAAGCGGAATGAATGGGTGGGGGTGTGCTGTGAGCCGAATTTGGTGTTCGTGGCGTGTAATCAGTTTCCGGTATGTTTGTTTTGCCCTTGACTGAGTATATTTTCCCTGGTAGCGAAACTGATGATTGATAATGACAGATCATTGCTATCCGCATGAATGATGTGCGTGATGGTACGAACGTGTTGGACGAGGTTCTTGAGAAATATAAGTCCGCGTTAGAAAAGCACGGAATGATCTCTCGAAACGACCTCTACAAAGACTGGCTTATGTTGAAGCAGAGTCAAGTGGTGACTGCGAAAAGTGTGGGATTTACCGCGTGGTAAGAGGGGTGCATCCCGTTCCTAGATATCTTTCTAATGCACTCTAGGGCCGCTGCATTCATAAACTCCTGGAACCCCGAATTTGTTCGTGTCGGCTTCACCAACCACGCCACTGGATTCATTACGAACATTGACGGTCAAATCGAGCTCCAGAATCCCATGGTTGCCGGTGCCTACGGGGCCACTCTCGCTCGGGGGGGGACGGATCTCAAAGACCCGTCGCAGATTTTGCAGGACGCTCGGGAATTCTACAAAGCAAATCGCTCAAGAATCAAGTTCCCCTACAACGAGCCGACCTTCGGATATGTCGTCCAGTGGCTCTCGGAGTTGGGAAAACGGCGAACTGTACTATCCGCGCAATGATCAAGCAACGGACGACGAGGGTCGCTGGACACATATGGACCCTTTCTCAGGCAACGCTGCGATCGGCTACGCGCGATTGAACGTCTAGGACGGCCAGAAGAAATTGTTTGACGGCCCGTGGACGAAAGATATCCTGGCTGATTGGCCGTATGTGGATGGGCTTGATTTATCGCAAGGCGTCGACTGTTTGCGAGGTTTATGGGACCAGCAGCGTGGTGATTTGATCCTCACTGTCCGTGAGTGGACAGGTCGGGGGGCTGATATCGCCTTCGACGTTAAGAACCTTCCATCGGGCATCTGGACTGTGTTTACCTCCCGGGGACACTCCACAGAGCATGATTTTCCGGGAGGAGGTCAGATTTCCGTGAACACGACGGTCCACGGCAAGGAGGAAATTGATTTCGTAGTCTTCAGACGCGCGTAATTTATCAAGTTACCTCGGGATTATAATCGCCTTAATGAACATATCTCCAGATTATATCCGGAAGGAAGATATTATCCCTGGTTGCAATTTGACCGCTGGGAAATCCTCTTGTAATCAATAGCTAAAAAAAAACCCCCCTAGCGAGACACGTAGTAATTCGCTTCTCTTAGGCATAGACTGATCAAGCCCGCAGTCTTATCTTTCTACCTATAACCCCGAGAGTAATGAAGGCCTGATAGGCTGTTACCGTGCTGACGCCAGTCAGTTTGCCATGGCCCCGGGGGCTTCTTGACCAGTTTTGCAGTTCGGGGCTTGGTTGATAGTTATGATCTTGATCCAAAATAGATAAAGATTTAATTTCTATCTATTCTATATTGATATAATTGCAGGGGCTTTAGGATTGTAACGAGACAATCTTGACACATGTGCGTCATTTCTAGGCCACGCAGCTGTCCGACAGACTTGTTGAGCTAGGGTATTACTATATAGAGACCTTTCAACGTGCCTCGGATTGTGGAGAAAGATGCTTGAAGTACCACTACACGAAACCCACTGTGGGTCCTATACACGCTAAACCAGACCAGGCAGCCATTACACAAAAGTTTCAATGCAATTGCCAATGCTGTCGAAAGTAGAGATGATTGATCTGGCGTGGGCACTGGTGAAGGCGTCGCTCAGCGAGACGGGATACAAAGAATCTGCACTATCGTAGAAAAACAGGGTCCATATGTATCTATATTTTTTCACTCTTAAAAAAGACAACTAACTCTGATTGCTTGAAGGGGGAAAGAAGAGAAAGGGAAGGAAATAGACATTGTAAAAAGACAGGAACTATTCTCCAATGAATTAAGTAAGCTATCTCAAATAACTAACTAAATAATAACATGAAAAAGCAAGTCAAAAAAAAAATCATCAAACTTGATAAAGAAGAGGTCTCGTCACGTCAGCCCAGAGATAAAAGAAAGAAAAATCCTCAAACTAGTTTCGAAATCGTTTACGATCAGATCAAGATGTAATGGGAACAAAATAATAATAGGTAGAAAGGCCCATGAGATATCGATGCCAAGTCAAGTCAATCAAGTCACCTCGAGCCAAACTGGCTCTAGACAAGACACGAGACAGGACAGGACGGAATTGGGCCGAGAGAAGGAATATAGAATAAGGACAGGGGAAAGTTGAAGCAAAAAAGGGGGAAACAAAGAAGACGCCATCACAAGCCAGACCAATAATTCAATTCAATTCAGTTCACTGCAGCAAGCATCCAACGTTCAACATATGCCGAGGAAAACAGAAGAAAAGGGGGGATCGAATACAGAAACGGACGAGGTGTGAATAATCAATTGACTAGGACAGTCAGGGTGTGGAGGCTAGGGGAGACGAGGACACAAGAAGGATCAAGGGGGTTAGGTGGTAGGGGGTTCAGGGGATTAAAGCTCGGAGAGAAGTATAGGAGTTATAACGCCTTCAATATTGAAGACGCCTGTTAGTTAGTAATCGGCCGATCGCACAGACATCGGGTGGGTTGCTGTCGAGAGCTGAAACGAAACATCTGGTGTTAGTCGAAGCAGGTTGACGCTCATTTATTTCTTGTTGTTTGCCTTTCTGGCTGTGGTCGCCTTCGTCCGTGGACTTGCCTTACCAACTGCCTTGGTAGGAGATCCCTTGGTGACCTTTTTGGGGGATGCCTTGGTATTATTGTTGGTTTTCTGACTCGTGCGACTCCTTGCGTTTGTGCCTTTGGCTGCGGCAATGATCTTGGCTTTTGTCGCTTCCGATGGACGACTGAGTTTGGTTGTTGATGAAGCCTTTGCTTTGGTCTGAGCTTGTCTTGACCCTACTGGTTTCGTGACGCGAACCGCCGTCTTGGCCTTGGTCGTGGCTTTCACCTTGGGCAATTTGACATTCTTGGCAGACTTGGTTTCTTCTTTCTTGACGGGGCGCTTCCTGGGCAAGGGTGACTTGGAAGCATTCTTCGCCGTCTTTGACGTTGTCTTTGCAGGAGATCTCGAGGTCGCCTTGGAGACAGCCTTCTTGACACCCGCCTTGAGCGACTGGGAGCCTAGGAGCTTCCGCTTATTGAGGCGCGAGGTGGACCCTTCCAATGCCTTGCCAATTCTGCGTTTCGCGTTCGTAACTTTCTTGCTGGCTTTGCTCGTAGTCGAGCGGGATTTCTTCTGGGTTTCGGCCTTCGCGTCCCTTTCCTTCGAACGTTGATCCTTTTCTTTGGGACGCGGCCCGAGAATACCACGACAATTGGACGAGCCACATCGACACTGTTGAACGTTCTTTTGCGAATACGGGCTGTTTGGCATGTCAATATGGTGTTTCAAGAGACTGGTACTGGCAAAAACACTCACTCAAAATTGTAGTCGTAGGTCAGTTCCTGTCCCGTTGTGATCCCACGGTCGCCGGCAAAAAGCGCCATGCGCGGCTTTCCGGCGACAGTCCATTTTTCCATGCGGCAATTGGGCTCGCAGGAGTGATTCACGAATCGAGCGATGGAGCCTCGCGTGGCGTCGATGATCATGTTCTGGTCGAAGTACATCAAGTAATAACACTGTATCCGGTCAGTGCCTGAGAAGCAGAACCATGAAGAACACCGCAACATACCTCGTTATTCTTATAGACCGACCTCATCCGTTTCTCACACTCCGTTTGTGTGAGGATCTCTCCAGTGTATTCCACGATAATTTGATTCGGCTCGAAGGTGCGGTTGCTGCGGACGCCATATCCGCGATCCGTGGTCTTGATGACCTCGACACCAATGTTATACTTGCCCCCAGCTCTTGTTCGGTATTTGAGCTCGTCAAAGCTTCGATTACCACATTCCGGACCCAGCCCGCAGTTGCCTTCGTCGCATTCATAGAACATGTAGCGGTTTTGACAGTCGTCGTCGCAGCCCGTGTCTTCCGTGCAGAGACATTTAGAAAGTTCCTCTTCTTTGTTCGCTCTCCAGATACTGGAAGCCTCGCCGACGAAGACGTCTTTGATGCAAACATTAGCTTTTCGTGGTCGCAGATGCGCAAAGGTTCACACATACTCTTGTTGGTCTTCCGCCATTCATTAGGCTTAGGTTGACCGGGAGGCAGGGGCGAGAAAATATCGAATGGCAGCTGGAAGTCCCGTCCTTGCTGCAACAACCGATCTCCGGCAAACATAGGCATTGGCAGCAATTTTCGTTGGCCGGTGACTTGACTCCTCCTTCTCGCGGCTTTATTTCGGCCTTGCAAAGGACGAGCAGCATTCGTCTGTTCCTGCCCCGAGTACAATCCATGAGCCAGCCAGCGCTTGGTCCTGCGCGGAAGGGTCGTGACGGGCACTTCTTGCGCCGCATCTTCATTCTCCTCCGCCTTGGCCGGAAGGTCGCTCTCAGACACACGGCGCTTCTTCGCCGCAGGAGGCTCGGTTGGTTTCGAGATGGTAGGTTCCTCCTTGGGAATGGCAGGCTGTCTAGGCCGTAAACTGGCCCGTCGGCCCAGATCCTTCCCCTTTTCCATCACATCCCGCGACCGTTTCCCCAAGACGCTGCTGGCGCGGTCCATAAGACCCGACGCCTTCTCTAAGATACTCAAGCGGGACGAGCGTCTCCGTGGCTCCTGGGCCTGCGATTTTGTAGTTTCGGTATCCTTCCCTTTGCTTGTGGGTTGCTCCTCCGTCAACACCCGCTCGACCCGCTTCCGCAAAGTGCGCTGTTGTAGTGACGTGCTCATGTCGCCCGACTGCGGCTCCTGGGAAGACTTCGAAACCGGCGTATCCGGCGCCATTGGGTGATCATCAAGCTCCATAGTATTCAGCGCGAGGGCCGTCTCGCTCCACATAGACTGTTCCATGACCGCAATGCTGTGCCGGAGGTGCGAGACCTGGGATCGCTTAGTCTCCGCGACAGTCTTAACCAGGGCCGGCTCCTCGCCCGCCGCACCCAGCGCTAAGGATTCAATTTCAGATGCCGGAGACAGTATTTTAGACGAATCTCTCTCCAGGTCGACGGGGAGTTGTGCGGCGCCTCGCAAAGAGGCGCGTGCTGCACGTGTAGATCGGCGGCGGAGGATGGGCTTCTCCTCGGTCGACGCGTTTTCATTGTTGCTGGACGTCTCGGAGCGGCTGTTCTCGGGTGTGAGGAGTTGTTCGGGGTAGTCGAGGGCCATTGTGTCGTCGGCGGGGGCGAGCGTGTGCTTGGTGAGGTCTGAAAGGGTTGCGGGAGTTGCGGTCGACGCGCCGGAGAATCTAGTTCGGGTTTCCATCTCCTCGAAAGGATACCTCCGAGAAGGATTGCGGTGAGTTAAGAGAAAGAGGGTAAAAATCACGAGATAAGAGTCCTGGATCTCTTATTTTTCGATGCGTTTATGGTCGCACGTGGGGGAGAAGCACTGATCTGGAATGGGAACGGGGGGGTGGTTAGGCGCTCTTTCTCTCTCCCTCTCCTCTTATCAGGAGATCCAAGTGATCAGGGGGGGCCCTTGTAGGCAGCCGAGTCAGAAGCCGAGCGAAACGATCATAACGGCACGACAACGGACAGGAAGGAGGTGGCGAGAGGGACGAGATGGGGGCGGACGCGGTGATGGGGGAAAGGAATGGGAGAGAGGAAGAGGGTGCGGAGGTGGACGAGGGCAGTCCGTATCCTCCGCCAGGGACGGAATGCAGACCGAAAAACTGTAGCGAGATCGACTAGACTTCCAGTCCTCTTGGGCGCCCCACGTCCAGTCGCACCTTCGTTGCAGCTGCTCTTTGCTCCGGCTTTGTCTTTGCGCTCGCTCTTTTGCCCTTCGCATTCCATAACTACGTTTTTGTCTCTGGTCCTCTCGCTGCTTCACTCTACGGTCTTATATCTACACCCTCAACGCCACATTTGGGATTCACTCATGGTGATCCTCCCTTGTCTACTTTGTAAGTTCCGTCTGGAGTAGATTATTCATTGTCTATCGGTAGATTTGAGGCCAGATATCATACATGTGTTCCTCATGTTGCGTAAGGCTGAGATCGGACCAACGGTGTCAAACAGCGCCCGTTGGTAGGCAATCACGCTCGTGGAAACAAAGAAAAAGAAAAAGCTGGATCGTGAAGTGAACGTAAACAATGTCCGTTGGAAAATGAGTCAGTATGGAAGAAAAAAAAAGGGGGATGCATGTACATATGCGTCAGAAGAGAAGTTGTGAGCGAAAGCAGATTAAGGATGATAACTAAAGAATATGACCTTCAAAAGGACAAGGTATCTTGAGAAGTAGTAAGTAATGAGAGGACGACGCTTAGAATAAAAGAGTAAAACTATGTCAGTATAACACTTGATTATTATTGTTGGGCTTTTTTGGTTTTGAGAGATTTTTTTTTTTTTTTTTTTTTGATATGATACCTGCAACAGAACAACCCTCCACCAGCTGGCTAATTCTGCTGCTGGCTAGAAGGCACATGTTGCATTTCTATGTCGGCCTGAGCCTCCACGTCTCGAGGAAGATATTTCCGTTTCATGGTGCTCAGACGCTGGTCCCCTTCGGTATATGGTTTCTTGAACTGCATGTACGTGGGCGGACGAGGTCTAGCAAAGACCGCGATCCAATTGGCGAGGACGTTGCCTTGCGTGAAGGGCCGATGCCGGTCAGCTTTGGCGAATTTATGAGAATTGAGATACTCCCTCGTAGTCTCGCCACGACCAACCAGGAAGAAATGATAGGCCCAGAGAGAGGCCGGATACGGCGCAGCGACCGCCCCGTAAATGACCATTGCCCACGGAACCCTCAATTTGTTGATTGCTGAGCCAAAGGAGATGGCCTCCTGCGACCGGTAAACAAGGACATGGGCCAGACTAGCACCGAGCAAGAAGAGGGCAAGCAGCGTGGACGCGCTGACAAAAGTGAAGAAGTATCGGTAGTTCCGGCGACCGACACAGTTGTTGAGCCAGACGCAGTGATGGTCCAGAGTCTCGACACAGTTATCGCAAACACGGCAGTGGTAGCAACGAGGAGGACGCCAGATGCTGCAAGTTTTGCAGTATTTCACCGGGACGTCCATCGCCGCGACCTCGGACGTTGCCAGCTTAACCATCACCCAGTCGTTCGTCGGAGGACCTATCATCAACGGGTCATCCGACTCCGACGAAGGCATTGGCTGCAGGTTCCGCGGAACAATCTATCACATCGTTAGAGGTATGAACATGAGAAGTCGTGCTGATTCAAGAGGGATACTTACACCAGGATCAACGACGGAAGCGTGGATGAAGGACGAGAAGCACACGAAAAACAGATAAGCGAATAAGATAGGGATAGCCGGAGAAATGTGATGCCAAAGCCAAGGGGCCCTGCGCAGGGTTAGATTTGAGACGAGACACGACCAAAGCAGGAAAACACTCACGAAAATGCGAAGAACAGCGCTGAAGGCGCAACCACAAAAATGCCGGTTGCAATATTCACCGGTTTATCACGAGAATTCTGAAGTCTTCCACCACCGCAGAAGAGGGTGTTGCCGGTGAAATATTCGTAGTTCTTGCCCTGGCTGCCCTTGTTTACCGTTCGGTTCTGTTTGTCGAGAGACCCAGGCGACGAGCCAGCCGAAGACAGTCGTTCATGAGCTCGCCCATCACGATGCTCTGGCCTCAGGCTTCTGTTCTGCAAGGAGAGAAATGACAGGGAGGATCTGGGCGGAGTCTCATGGTTATTCGAATTGTTATAGTTGGCTGCTAGGTTTAGATTGAGATGTGCCGGAGTCGGCCGATTCGCTCGCTCTCGCTCATGCAGCAGTCTCGCACTCTCGCCCAGGCTCCTGGCGGTGGTATTGCCGGTCGGACTGGCATTGGACGTATTTCGGTCTGGAATGATGGGGTCGGTGAATTCAGTTCCTCGAGACGGCGGGGCCTCCTGCGGGATGGGGCTTTGCGGAATCGTGCTAGTAGACACCATACTCGTTCTATTCTGCGTTGCATCGTCGTCCCAGTCCCCTGCTGATGACTCCGTGGCACCTTTTGTGACAGGGCGACCTCGGTGGGCTTGAAGACGCTGGGAGGACATAGGTCGGAAAAAGCCCTGCGCAGCCAATGACGGGATATGGGTCCGGCTCAATCTGCTGCCGGAGCTTTCTGGTCGATTGGTGGTTGCCTGGCTGATCGACGTGATGACCGAGCTTCTCGCAGGGGGTGGTGCTCGTCGAGAGACAGACGGTAGCGAGCGAGGCGGTTGCGACGGTGCACCTCCGGTGTATGTCTGCGATCCCCCGGTCCAAGTCTGCGAGTTCTCTCCATCGTCCGACATATCCGTCACTCGGGACGAGATTCCACCGACAGAAGGAGGGCGAGGGATGCCGAGCGCATGTTGCGCGGAGGGAGGACTCGGCGCATCGCTATCAGGGGTTTGCGGAGGGTTCATGGTATCGACGGTATTGAGTGGGATATTCGTTGTTAAAAATATTCGCCAATTCTCATGTTGTGATCAGTCGACTATGAAGCGGTTTCAGGCGCGCTATAACCCAAGGAGTTGTGGGAAATAAACTGTCTGTATATCTATGCGCGGGTATCAAAATGGGAGAAACGGTCGATTCGGCGAGTCGAGTCCCGTCAAAGGAATGACAACGAAAGGGATAAATAAGAAAAGGAATACTGGAAAAAGCCGTGAAGTAGTAAGTCGACCAAGAATGAGCGACAGCAACCTAGGGAAAGGAGACACCGAGTTAGTGTTGTCTGAAAATCGAGTCAAGGGTCAAGGGTGTCGCACCCCTCCGCCAGGCACAAGGACGCAACCCCCCTGATGGAGGAAAGGGCATGGACCAACCTTGAAGGATCGTGAGTTGCGAAGGTTGTGAGTATAAATTAAAATGAGAATCACAAGGAATGGCCAGCAGGTCACATCACGGAGGAGGGACGCGGTGTTTAATCGACCATACTGCACTGCAACTGCAAAAGCAACAGCAAAAGAACGAAGCCCGGCGCTTGCAGGAGCAGAAAGAAGCGAACGTCCAGTGAGAGTCGAACGGCGCATCGAGTCGGGCAGGAGGAACTAGTCTACTTCGAGGGAGCGCTGAGTAATCACCCGACGGCTGCAGGGCCAAATCGGATGTCAGGTGATGATGCGCCGGCAACATCATCGTCCGACTCCCACGAATCCGCACCACTCGCCCCTCAAGATCATCCTCTTCTCCCCGTCCACCTTCACCACAAACCCGACCCATACCCAACATGTCGTCAATTGCCGCCATGGCCTCCCGCCGGGCCTTTGCCCGTCAGTCTCTTTTCCGCGCCCCCGCGCGCCGTGCCTACAGCTCCAAGGTCGAGGAGGCTGGTCTCGACAAGGCTCCTAAGCGTGACCCCGAGCTCTACGTACGGACCTCCCTCTCTCGCTCTTCTGTTCAAGCCAATTGAACATCCGCCAATGGGTTATATTTTTTTCTAACCGCCAAATAGGTTCTGCTCGGTGTCATGTCTGGTGCTTTCCTGATTGCTGGATGGTAAATACCCTCTACCCTTATCCTATACCGACTTATCTATCACCCGACCGACCGCGAGGAAGCGGGTAAAAAAAAATAAAAACGAAAAATATTCCCCCACGACAGCCAATTGCATATACTCTCAGATATCGAAACGAATGCTAATCGAAATCGTCTGATTTTTAGGTACTTCGGCAAGAAGCCCACCTCCGTCACCTCCGAGAGCAACGTGCGCATCCCTGACAGCTCCATGCCCTGGGAACGTGAGGACGACGGCAAGGTCTACAAGTACCAGTATCACCCTCACGGTGACAAGAGCCAGCCTCTGCGCAACGCCCCCAGCGCTCTGAACACCGTCATTGTTCCCAACGTCACCCTCCCCGAGGTATGTTTTCGTCATCCCTGGGGGCTTTGTAGCTCTCTTTGCTCGGTCGGGTCGGATCGTATGATCCGATCCATGCATGCAGCCGGATTACTGACTTGGCATTTCCATCTAGGACCTCCACGAGCGCTTCAACAAGTACGGCAAGGAGGAGTGGGACTACTAAATGTCTCTTATCTCGTGTCTCTACGCAGTACAGACTGGACTGTACACGCAGCCGAGAAGCAGGCCATCCGGAGTGGAGTTGAAGACCGCTGTATTCTAAAATTACCGAAGACTACTCTAGAAGTATGGGGGTGCGATTGTCGTTATAAGAGTTCTGTGCATAGTTTATATCTTTTTGGACAGGAATCAATTGAAGACTGTTTTATTGTTCTGCTATTATGACCAGGTTGCCAAACAACAAGTCAAAAACACGGGAGGCCGTTAACTCGAGCAAATGTATAGTCATGTACAAGTTCACATTTCGTTAGATCAGGGAAGAAAAGGTAAAGGATAAAAATAAAGTGTGGTAAACAAGATTATTGGTAGAAAGAGATACAGAAGAAGGTTAATCGGTCCAAAGATTGAAGGTATAGGAGAGATGCCAAAAAAGCACCATTGAAATATCTCCGCCCATTCTTAGAGTTTGGTAGCCTCTTGGCCCTCGCTGGCGGGCTTCGGCTCGGGGGAGTTTTGCTCCTCAACCGAGCTGCCCTCTCCAGCGGCCGAAGCAGGGCTCTCTTCAGCTTGCGCCTCCGGCTTGCCCTGCGTTTCGGGGTTTTGGCCCTCCACGTCCGGGTGCGGCGGAGCAACTTGACCGTCGACCATATCCATCTCGTGGCCGTTGGCCAAGCGAGTCCGGGTCTCATGGCGGGTCTCAAATGAAACCTTGCCCTCCTTTGCCAAGGAAGCGACCATATTCTCGTCCAACACGTTTCCGTCTTGGTCGCGGTACTCCACGCGGGCTTTCGAACGAGGCTTCTCGGGCTCCGCGGTCACATTTGCCTCTTGAGCTTCTTGACCCCCGGCCTCGGCCTCAGCCTCGCCTTGCTGAGCCTCCTGCTTCTCCTGGGGTGGCTGCGCCACGGGAATTTGAAGTTGCTCGTGCGGCAGAACGGCCTCCGTGGTGGGAACGGCAGAGCCTCGGTGCAGGAATTCGGTCACATATTGGCCAAGCTAGTGCCAGTCAGTCGTCATGATGCGGTGCGTTTCAATATCCTCGCCGCGGGGGCTGCCATTTTGGAACACTTACGTCGGTGTGGAAAGTGTTACAATCGAAATCCCAGGAATCCAAGAGCTTAACCTTGCGGCAGGCATCCTGCGTCCAGGGGTTGCCATAGACAAGAGGCGAGTAGAGAGTGAAAGCGAAGATGCTTGCGGCGAGGAAGATTCCAGCCAATCCTTTGCCGATAACCGGTCGAGACGGGAGGCCGAGACTCTGGATACGGCCTGTGAGGAAGTCAAACTCCTGGCAGAGAGCGATAAGGGCAAAGTAAAGAGCCGGGAAGTAGTGATGCAGGAACAGTTGGCGAGCCATGAGGTAGAAGGGGAAGTAGTGGAAAGCCCATCCCAGCACGCTGCTGCCAATTTCGTAGTCGAATCTCTTGAAGTTGACATTGCGATAGTCACCGCAGCTTCGCTGCCAGCGGAGAATAGACACACCCTTGAACAGGAGGTAGATACCGATCGCCACCGTCGAGGACCACCAAATGAATGGGTTTCCAAGGAGGTAGACCTGGCGGTGGTCTTTACCCCAGAAGTTGATACCGCGAAGCAGAGTGGGCCACGAAGGGGGGCGCGAATCCCAGGCATGGGACTCGGTCAAACCGGCGTTGGTCTTCCACATGACCTTCTGAAGTTCCCAGAATTTACCAAGGAATCCCGGGTGACGGTAGTTGACCTTCTCCGAATCCTCAGGCAACATAGGATGAGAATTGGCTTCGATGTACCAGACACTGTTGGGCAGAGTACCGCCTCGAGCGCATGTAACTTCCTGTTGGTCAAATCCCCAGTCAGGGAGCTTCACCTTGTGGGAAAACAAGACGCAGCCAGTCATGACATGGACCAAACGGAACTTGGATTGGATGGTTCGCAGGCGCTTCTTCGATTCTTCGCCGTCGGACATGGACTTGACAATCTCCACTCGGAAGAAATCGTTCGCATCGCCAGGAAAGCCCTCGTAGCCGTAAGCGGAGACCTCGAATTGCCAATCAACATCGGTCACAGGAGGTCGTTCATCGTGGGAGTGAATTCGTCTGTGCGTGATCAAATGGTTCAGCCGGACGACGGCGCCATCTTCGATGTAATCCGTAGTGATGTTGTCCCAGGCAAGAGGACCCTCCACTTCGCCGTGGGGACCCAGGGGCTGCGTCTGGTTTTCGAGGACGAAAATGTTGTTCTCATCCTTGTGAGGGTAGAGAGTGATCTGTTGCTGCTTGCTTCCGGTGGGGTACATGTGGTTGTGGGAGTGGAGATAGCCACCCTGGGTGTTAAAGTGACGAATGCTGACGCGAGAGCCAAATGCGACGTCGGCGGGCACATCCTGCATCGACTTCGAGTTCAATGTCGCCTGGAACTCCGAGGACATAAATCCGTCGCCTTCTCCGGGGTTGACCAAGCAGAGGAAATGGATAGCGAACATTCCACAGTAGAATCCCAGCGGGATGATGATAAGACAAAAGACTCTAGCGAAAAAGTGTTTGAACCACAGGCGCTACATAGCCAGATGTTAGCAATGATCAGTATCAGGTACGGCAGGGCAATCAGAAGGCCTGGAGGGGTCATACCGAGGTAACGGTCTTGCTGTCACCAAGCAGCACCCACAATTGGAGGATGGTCAGAGAGCCAACCCAGGCGACGGTGAACAGGCCAACCCATTTAACGCTGAGGGTGGCACCCAGAGAGAGACCGGTCGCCGCCAACCAAAACCACCAGGGCGCACGGAAGGCATGAGACGGTCCCAGCTCGTGCTGGTTCGTGAAACAGGTGAATGCCAGGGCTGTGAGCGCAGTGAAGAATACCAGCGGCGAATCCAAAAGGATCAAACGCGACTGAGTGATAAGTCCGTTTTCTGCAATCCGTCAGCTTTACGCGCTCTATATCCAGATAGCCATGGAACTATACCAAAGATCACCACGCCGGCTCCCAAGACAGCAGCCAGAGTGCGACATCCCGACGCCTTGAGAGTCAAGAACATCAGGGGAACCGTCAGGATACCCAGAACAGCAGGAAGCATACGCATCGCGACATAGGGGACCTTAGGCTCGAGATAATCCTTGCCAATGTCTTTGAAATCAAAATTGCCGTCGAATCCGGCCAGCCAGCCGGCGAGTGTAATAAGAAGCTTGGCGAGAGGAGGGTGGACGTCCATGAAAAAGCGGCCCTTGATGTATTTCGTCGCGAAGCCACCAAAGCTAGCAGGCAAAGATTATCAGTACACGCGCGTAATTCATTTAACGCGATCGACGGGGCACATACTGGACTTCATCAAAGACGACGCTGGAGGGCTGGTAGATCCGGAACAGGCGAACAGCCGCAGCGATCAGGGTGACCAGAACAAGGGTCTTGTAATCGGAGCCGGGAAGATTGAAGATATTGTTATCCGAAACGCCGTCCGATCCATAGTTCGAACTGTCCACCGGCGCCTTCTTGCGATTCTTCGGTTTGGGGGAGCGGCTAGGGGAGCGACCGGATTTGGAACGAGGCTGAACCTCTAGGGAGTCCTTGGATTTGGGCGACATGGTTGGAAAGGGGACTCAGTCCGAGTCAGGTCCCGAGATTATAAAGGAATGCGAGATAGTGATCAAGGAATTGGGATCAGAGAATCAGAAATAAAGAGATGAGGATTGATATCATAGAAAAATGTCGCGAGTATAGCGAGGACGCAGCCAAGGACAAGGTGGGAGAAGAAGAATGCCCCGACTCCGGAGGGAGCTCTTCAACGACCCAGAACAGCAAGGCCGATAGGAAATAGACTATAGGAAAAAAGATTTCAACGAGTGGAAGGGATTGAGACGAGAGGCGCCATGACAAAACCAAGAAGAGCTCAAAGGGGACACATCGACGACCAGGCAGTAAGACGGAGGCAAGACAAGACAAGACAACACGTGTGGGACGACTTTAGTTCCCAGGGTCTCCCTACGCAGTTAGCGTGCCCGCGGGAGTTGACTAAGCCGGTGTTTCCCATCTGTTACGGAGTAGTTACGGAGTATTCCATCTGCTTCATCAGTATACTTACTGAGATTAAGATAGTTCTCTCGGAACTATGGTAATATTGAATATTCCGGCTCTCTTGAATCTCAGGATCGGCAATCGAGTCTGTCGTGAACACTTCCCGCTTTCATCGCAACATGAGCGACTTCACTAACCCCTTTTCCATATCTCGAGGCCATGACGTTAGTCTTCCATGAAAAGCGACTAGAGAGGTACACGGACTCGGAACTGGCTGATCACATTGCGTCCTCGCCGATGTGCGCGAATACCTGGTGGGTATTCACCTCTCCCCAAATCTCATAGTCAAGCATTATATGTCTTCAGAGGTCGAAGATGCTTTGAAGGCTACCAAAGTAGCCAGCCAGCCTGGGATCCGAGGTCCTTCTAGGGATCAAAGGGATACTTGCATTATCATGGATCGGACCGAGGGAGCTAGGTTGGATGTCGTCTGGAAGGAACTGGGCTGGTTCATGACGGTTAAGCTTGGTCTGCAGCTTTGCCGCTTCGTGAAAATCCTCAGATCTGTTACCTCACCAACCGCTGGATCGCTTGCGACAGGCGAATGCAGGTCTTTCTTTCTAGAAGATCGTTACGGTCTTCCAGCGAATTCTGGTCCATCCGAAATCGCCCACTTCTTCCGATTCTGGACGAACTTTACGTCCATACGGCGAGCGATGCAAGCAGCAAAGCAACCTCAAGTACCAGACTCATCAGAAATCACTGTGGGGGTGCCAATGAGTATTGAGCAATTTGTCTTGACTCATCATGATCTTGCGCCACGCAACCTGATAGTTTCTCCTTCTGGTCAGCTTTCACTCCTTGACTGGGATTTGGCTGGCTTTTACCCTGTTACCTTCGAGTACGCATCCATGTACAATTTCATCATTCCTCAGGACTGGGGCTTAATGGCCCGTTTACGGTGGCATCTATTTGTCTGGATCGCAGCTGGCTATCATGAGGCTGACGCTCGCCTGCTACACACTATGCGTTTTAAATTCACATGATTCGCCGTCGGAAGGAGATACGAGCTTCTGGAAAAAGGCGGTCCTTCAAGATACCCTGTAACCTGATTCTGTAGGCTCCATGCAATGGGGTTTCGTATTCCCAAGATTCCTATAAAAATGAGCATTTACCGTTCGCCCTTAAAGTCCTCCGTACTCATAAACACATCCGGCTTCAACACAACAAAGCAACTTGACTTCGCGGGAAAGGGAGACACGCACGCCAGGATACAATACCAAAGATTGCAGCCGTTCTTGATCCTCAAAATGTTATTCTGGTATGTGGAACGCCAGCCAGTGGCAAAACGTTCCTGTCTGAACATAATGACTTCTCGTCGCAGCCGTGGCCGTTCCAGAGGAAGCGGAAGGCGTCCAGAGCCGCCCGCAACCGACAGACAAACTCGAAGCGCCACCAGAGGCCAGGAGCCCGACAGAGACAGATGTCAAATAAGACGGCCCAGCCACATCAGGGCCGAGTCCGGCGAGTCCGGTGTTTCAACGGTGTTACCGCAAGAACTTCAGGGCCAAATCAAAAATCGACCAGTGTTGTTACTCGACAGATGCATCGCCATCATTGAATCACGAAAGCGGAGACACCTGGACTACATTCGGCTTGCGCCTGAAACAGTTTTACCCTGAATTCGATGAGACATGGGAATCGGTTCCTGAAGGTACCGTGATACTTCTTGACGAGGCCCAGGCATCATACGGATGCAGTGGCTTCTGGAACACAGTAACAAACTCTCAACTTGACCCGGCCGCTTCTGTCGTTGTGTCCAGCAGACACGTGGGCGACATTCGAATAGGACGACAATAATTTCAGTCAGACGATGAATTGGGCTGGACACCGGTCAGCCTTAGCGCATGCGCCACGGGAGACTCATGAGTACCATATCAGCCATGAGCATGTCGTCGTTGGAGACGAAACCGGCGTCCAAGGACAATTCAACCAGATTCTCGAGCAAAGGCATGAAGAAATGCCTATTCTGTCCCTATGAAAGCCCTGCGATAGGAATCGAATATCTGGTGTCCACCTAGGCAATCGATCATATGAAGTTGTACAGGGGCGTTTCTTTGATTAATTTATTGAGATTCTCCTGAATGATGAGATGAAGCAGCTAGAGGTCAATTGGGGGTAACTGAAGTGAGCAAGATGGCGAAGATCGAAGATATATTATAGGTGTGGGAACAAGTTGAACGGCGCATTTGTATGGTTTATTCTCTGCTTCATTTAGTCCTGCCGCGGCGTACTAGCCATCAGTGACCTGAGTAGAGCCCATCAGGGAGCTGATATTTGGGTATATTGCAATCATCATCGTAATCATCAATGACTACTCCGGAGTGCCCCGTACAATAACAGTTCCAGTCTTTCCCTCTTCCGGTAAGTTGGTCTTCCCAGCTCCATTATGCGCGCGGCTGGAATTGCCGCCCGTAGCCGCCGCCAAGGATGAGGTAAGGCAGGCCAAAACGGGCAATGTGAGGATTGCCCGCCTAGACTTCGGATCAGCTTCCTCCCCCAGCATCTTTGCCCCAGCCCGTCGTTGCTCGGGTTTTGTGTCTCGACCATGGCATCTGTGAGCAATGCAAATACTCCCGCCCTGCCCGAGGAGGCGAATAAGCCCCCCGAGGGAGTGGTTTTGCCACCTAAGGACATCCGAGGTCAGTTTCTACACCTCCCGACAAAAAAGAGGAAAGAATGCGCTGACATGCTAGATAGCTATTGTGGAGAAAACGGCCGGTTATGTCGCTCGAAATGGTCACGTCTTTGAAGGTACGTAACAATTTCCCCCCTACTCTTTCGGTTTTGTTTGGTTGTTGACGATGGATGTGCAGATCGCGTCCGCGAAAAGGAACGCAACAACCCGAAGTTTTCTTTCCTCAACCCCGACGACCCTTACGGAACCTTCTACCAGTGGCGCCTGACGGAGATCAAGGAAGGGAGAGGCACCGCGGTGTCTGCAGGTCGACCGGGGGAACAAGCAGCGGAACCTGAGCCCGAAGTACCCCAGGGACCTGAGGAGCCTCCAGAGTTCCATTTCTCGGCACGCATGCCCATCATCAACGCGCAAGATCTGGAGGTCGTTAAGCTCACGGCTCTGTTCGTCGCCAAGAGGGGGAAAGCGTTCATGACGGCGCTATCGCAACGCGAGACTCGGAATTTCCAGTTCGACTTCCTGCGGCCACAACACAGTCTCTACCAGTTCTTCACGCGGCTGGTAGACCAATACACCATTCTCCTGCGAACGGAAGGAATCGACGACGCCACCACAGAGAAGAAGCGTCTGGCGGAGCTGGAATCGAACGTGAAGAACAAGTTCCATATCCTGGATCGGGCCAAGCAACGGGCCGAATGGGTCAAGTTCCAGGAACAGCAGAAGCAGAAGAAAGAGGTGGAGGACGAGCAGGAGAAGATCAACTACGCGCAAATCGACTGGCATGACTTCGTGGTCGTGGAGACCGTTCTCTTCAACGAAACCGACGACCAGTCCGACGAACTCCCCCCGCCCACCTCGCTTGGTGACCTCCAATCCGCCTCCCTGGAACAAAAGGCCGCCATGTCCCTCAACCCTCTCCGCATCGAAGAAGCCATGCCCACCGACGAGGAGATGCCCACCTACTACAACGCCTACCCAGCCCAGCCCGAACCCATGGCCCAACCCGCAGGACCATCCTACCCCCAGGGCCTACCTCCCCAGCCCATCCCCGCCGCCCCGCAAGCCGCATACTCCGCCGCCGCGCAGGAGGAAGAGCAACGCATCCGCGAACGCACCGAAGCCCGCGATCAAGCCGCCGCGGCGCAAGCCGCCGCACGAGCTGCGCCGGGCCAGCAACCGATGCGCATCCGGTCCGACTACGTCCCTCGCGCCCAGGCCCGCCGCCTCAACCAGACCGGCCCCACGGCTCTCTGCCCCAACTGCCACCAACAGATTCCCGTCGCAGAACTCGAGCAACACATGCGTATCGAGCTGCTCGATCCCCGCTGGAAGGAACAGCGCGCCAAGGCCGAATCCCGCAGCGCCACGACCAACCTGTCGACCGCCGACGTCGTCAACAACCTCAAGCGTCTCGCCAGCCAGCGCAGCGACGTCTTCGACTCCAGCGTCCTCCCCGGCGCTGGGGACCCCGAAGAAGAAGCCCGCAAGAAACGCATGGCCTACGATGCCTCTGCCGGGGGCGTCGGTCCCACGCCACCCATGGTCGGCCCTTCAGGTGGTCCGCTCAATCCTCAAAGTATGACGATCGAGGAACAAATCCGACACATTCGCGAACGGGCCAAGCAATGATCAAATCACGTCAAATCAAACCAAATCACGGACCTTCTTTTCTATGTCACAAAACTAAACCATTTCTTTTGCGGGTGGGGGTTGCAGCTGTTGCGCAAAATTCTATGCTTGTTTTTCTAACTCTGTTCACTTGTCATGGGCGTTGCTTTACCACTCATCTGGAGTTTATTTTTTAATTTTTCTTTACTTTTTACCAAACGGTCGTTGGAAACATTGATATCTTTATTTCTTTCCCCTTCATTCTGTCAGACGTATATCCGCTTCGGTTGTAAAATAACATAACAGCTTTCTTTATCACTCTTTACCTTGTTTTGGGGCTCTAGCTCTATGCTCTTTACGTATTAATTAATACCGGTATACCGAAGCGGGAGTTTTAAAGTAGACTGATACTACCTTTGAGCTATGAATGAACAACCTACCAAAGTCTACATTCTACTCTATGAACCAAGCAAGATAGTAAGTCTGATAAATCATAAATTAGCAGTATATCTATGAGAAAAACGCAAGAAAAACCATAGCCATGAATATAAAACCTGCGCCAGCATCATTCAGTAAATACATTAAAATCCGATGTTGCCGACACGTATCTCGCATAGGATCGAGGCAACAATAAAGCAATATGGCAGAGATCCATAGATCAAACAAGCAAGATGAAACGCCAGCAAGCAATTTTGGGAGCGTAAGAAAGCAAGCGAGTAGGAAGACACGCTGATGTCTCCACATGCAGTAGGAAAGCGATGCCCATGGGTGAGATGAGACACCATCTGTACAAAAATGGGGGGAAAGCCAGGGTGACCGGATTGCGCTCAAAGAATTGCAGATGACCAAACAAAAAGCATGACAACAACGGTAAATGTACATGAAGAACATATTATAAGCGACGATATTAATATAGGGTTGCAGGCTGCTTGGTGAATAAAAAAGGATGCAGTGATAAGAAAGATATGAGAAAAAAAGATGATAAAGAGGAGTAAAGAGAAGAGAAGAATATTAGTCTGGCAGCCATGCAAGAAGGTAATTAAATATGATATAGCAATGGTAACAGGGAAGAGAAGACGTTATTGACTCAATGATCGAGCCGGTGCCGCTCGCGGCTGTCGGCTTTAGTTTCGTTCAAACTCCTTGTCGCCGCTTTTGACCGTAGTCTCAGCGGTGGAATCCTCAATGTGCACTGGAGTTTTCGATGCATCTCTCTCGTCCACGGTAGTAGGCTTATCGACAGGAGGCTCCAGAGTAATGCTCACACCACCGACAGTCTTCTCGGAGGTCTCATCGTGCTCGCTGATGTCCACCTTAGAATTGTTGACATCTAACGGGGAAACAGCTGTACTGCTGACAGGCGATTCCGAAGGAGCGGAGACAAATGGATCTTCGCTCAGAGACAATCTATGGCGCTCGCCATCGTTGTCCTGCTGGTGATCGTCAACCGAATACTGGCTTTGCGCATCGGTGCTCTCGGATGGCTGATATTCCAGCCCTGGGTGGTTCTCGATGGTTTCGATAATGGTGGCATCTGCGATAGCCTCCTGTGCCTCCGGGCTGAAATCCTGCGCACCGGCGGTGGTCTGGGTGAATATCGGGAGAATTCCGGCACCCACTCGGGACCAGAACATTCTTTCCCTCAGACGGATGGTTTCTTCCCAGAACTCCTTCTCCTCTTCGGCATCACCGGCACGAATATGTCCGTCCAGAATGAGGCGAAGATATCCGGTAATTTCGCAGGCAGAGCGTACTTTCTCCAGACAGAGAGCGCACAGGGGATACCGCTGCGCAGTCTCACTATCCGACGTTCGGAAACGATGGGTTCGCTCATTGACATCCCCAGGACGGCGCTCGCCACAAAGTGAACAGGGAAACTCGTACTTCCTCGTCGCTGGCGGCATTGGTTCCACCAGGAGGCTTCCTTCACAGATGCCACTCAAGACCGAGCGTCGCGTCAACCAAGAAATCCCGGGGGCTGCATCAAGCCTTAACGTCGGTTCGATATCTTCGTTGAGAACGCGCTTGTAAAATCGGGTCTCCTTGAGAGGAATGTGAGAAACGGAAGGCTGCGGCGAGGATAGACTTCCGTTTGGGGAGTGGGTTTGCGATTTGGCAGGCGAAGAGACCGACGATCCAAATGCTCCACCACCAAAACTGGCCAAGCTCATGACATTTAAGCCAGTGTAAGACCCACTAGTTGCCCGACTCGGCGGTTTGGAAGCAGCTGTGGATAATTGGAACAGATCCCGAAAGTCTTCGAACGCCGGTACATCAGTCCGGCATACAGATTTGATAAACTGCGGGAAACTAGTAGAAGGCCCAGGAAGTAATTCCTCGTGGCAAGTCAGTTCCGGGAGGGCGGACGCTTCCGCGTGGTTTTTGGTAATCTCCAGCGGCTGCTGGGGGCCAGTGGGAGAAGACGGAGCCGTTGACATGATTGTGCGAGCATCAATATCGTCCTTGGTGATATTCATCCCCTGCAGAACAGACTTGAGCTCGGCCAATTGTTCTTGATGCGAGGCAAGGAGTGATTCGGTATCCTTCACTTGGGAGCGAAGTTGTTCGTTTTTTTTCTCCACCGCCTCGCGCTCGAGTTTAGCCGCAGCCACCATCTAAGAAAATGAGAATTAGTCAATTACAATTGTTCCATCCCATGTCCGGCGAGAACCCACCTTGTTCGCTTCTTCGAAAAGGGCCGCCGTCAGAGTCTCGAGCTCTTGTTCAATGCCCTTCTTTTCTTTCTCAACTAGCGCACGCTGCGCCTTTTCGTCGGCCAAGGCGGCCTTGAGACGTAAAATCTCGTAATCCACATCGGATTTCTTGATGACGACCTCCTGGTCGATATCTCGTTTATATTTTTCATTTTCGGACTCGAGGGTACGGACCCGAGTTTGGGCCTGTTCTAATTCTTGGCGGGTGGCGACTAAATTATCGTCGAGGGTGGTTTGGTTGTTGATGGCTTGAACCAGTTTGACACTCAAAGCAGCGACCTCATTACTGAGGTCCGGATGATGCGACGGTGACGGTGACTCTTCCGAGACCTCTGGTGTGCCTCCGAGACGGGGGTCCTTCAAGGTGCTGAAGCCACTCTCGGGGAGATTCCCGACGCTGGTCGAGCGGGTGGCCGGGGGTTTATCGGTCCCGACGATAGCGAGATCATTTGCGGACCGAGCCTTGGTGAGAGTTCGATCGGGGGAGAGAGATCGATTTTCGGACGAGAGGGAGCGCTTGTGACTGCTGGGTCGCGGAATCATGGTGGACGGCGAAAGAAGGCTATGCCGAGAATAGTAGGAATGGAATGCGATTAAACTGCCCAAGAAGATCAGTACGTGTTGCGAGGGAAGGGAATATTCCGGAAAGGAGGAACGCACTCGGCCATGATGACGAAAGAAGGCTGATAACGAAGTTCAGCAAGTATGGAACGCGCGGTGACCAACGGTGGGTATCACAACCACGTATATAGTCTTCGCATGCGACAATTGCGGCGAGTAAAAAGAGCGTTGGAGGGTAGATGCATGCAGCAGCGAAAGTAGGGGGCAAAGTATTGCACCGTCCCCGCCAGTGCGCCGACTGGGAGAAGTGACTAGCCGGGCGGGATGCGAAGCATTGAAGAATGAATCGGGGCTAGGATCGGGCGGAAGGCGGAACGAGAGCGAGCGGAGATAAATCAGAAGGGGGGGATAAAGGAGGGAATGGGAAGTTGAAAAGATAGACGGAAGGGGGAGGGAAAGGGAGCGGGAGAGAGAGGGAGTTGATGAAGAGAGAGAAGAGAGGTGACGAAAGAAGGGGAGAGAGACGGAGGAGCCCCTCTTTCGTTGCAGGATGGCGAGTAAGGCAAGCAGGCAGGCGCTTAAGGAATCGGGGATCGCGGGTGGGAGAGAGAGAGCCAGAGAGGAAAGGCAGGAGATTAGGTCCCGTTAGTCTACGGAGTAGTCCTACTGTCCTGGTAGTCTACTGGAAGACTCTGTTAGAGGAAGAGGCTGGGAGGCAAGGTGCCTTAGTCAGCCCTGCTTTGGGACACGCCAGTCACGGGTGTATCCCGTGATAGTCCCTCGGTTCCTGGTGTTAAGTGTTTACTCCGTACAGAGAAGAGGAGTAGCTTCTCGCTACGGCCAACTAGGAAGATCACCCTTTGAATCTGAGACGGCCGGCTGATGGTCCTCTGAAATCTTCGCACACCAATTGTTGGTCGAAACCCTTCAAATGGAGAATATGATCCGTTCGCTTGGATCTAGGAACCCCAATGCCAATGGCAAATTTCGTCAATAAGTGGTACTACTAATAATAATCAATTTGGAAACAACGGAAGACCGTGCGATCGGCTCACTGCCACCCCCCGACGCTGCCGGGTCGGAAGTTAGACCATCTCAAAATAGTTGCGGAGTGGAGGAGGACGACTCATGGCTTGGCACCCGATGACGACACTCGCAGCAAACAAGGGATTATCGATTGGTTTCTGAGACATCGCGACGGCCCTTTGGGGCGAGCTGCCTTATCTATCTGCGGCCGGGTGCCACCGCGATTCCGTCGGTCGGCGCGTCCCCAGTAATTGCGGTGTATTGCTGTCTGCCTGCTCTGCTGTTCCCGGTTGCACCGTCGTTGCCATAGGTGTCCAGTCTCCGGGGTGATATTCCGTTGTGTTACCGTTGTGTTACTTGGTCGTGGGAAGTGGGAAGTGAAGCTACCAGAGTTCTCGGGAATGACGATCAGGACAGCTTCCTGCGCACTGGGCACAGGCTGGTGGGAAGTCAGCTGATCGTTCGTTTCTCCACATCTCACGTGATTGATAGCAGAATGGATCTCTTCTGGGAAAGGCGGTCGGCCGTATCCAGACCTACCCGATTCGGGTAGATCGATGCCTCATGGCGCCCCACCGTTATTACGGCCTTAGTGCCTCAGGCAACCTTGAAGTGGGGTTTGAAACTTCCTCGAGATCAAATGGCATCACTCCATCCTCATCGTTGATCCCCCGCGTCACCATCAATTTTTGGCTTCTTCATCACGCCTGAGGGCTAGCAAAGCATCGATTCTCGCTTCCTACCTGATTCTCTCATCAAATCCGCATATTCCATCCATTGAACACGCCATCCACTCACCATGGCCGACGCTGAATTGGAGGAGGTTAGTCTATACCGTTGAAATCTTGCTCGCTCTTTTCCTCTGGCCACGCCTTTTGTCTTCTCCTGCGCGAAATCTCAACCATATCATTCTACTTGTCCGCCACATCTTGAACGAAAATACTGACTCGCAAAATAAACAGATCAGACGCGCCCGTCTCGCGCAGCTCCAGCAACAACAGGGCGCCCCACGAGGAGGGGGTCCCGACAACCAGGAGGAACAGAGAAAGTAAGTTCAATAGTTTAACTAGTACTGACCCTCATAGAAAAAATATGCTAACAACCACCCTCAAGGCAAGCTGAAAGTAAGCCGCGATAATCATCCCCCTACCACAGCCCGCGTTACTCACCATCCCGTTCCCCTTAGCCGAGCGTCGCTCCGCTATCCTAAGCCAGATCCTCGAGCCCGATGCTGCCGATCGTCTCGGCCGGATTCGTCTCGTCAAGGAGTCGCGCGCCATGGATATCGAAAACCGACTCATCATGTTGGCGCAAACGGGCCAGCTCCGCCAGAAGGTCAACGAGGATCAGCTCAAGCAGTTGCTGAACGCCGTTGCAGAGAACCAAAGGAAGGACGAAGAGGAACACAAGATTGTGATCAGCCGGCGCAAAGGCGGATGGGACGATGACGATGATGATCTTTTGGATCTGTGAAAGGAAAAGAAGAATATCAATCGTGATCTATGTGTGAAAATGATTTAGCTCGGTATTTTGGCTTTTTTTTTTGGCAAATTCGCCGTCTTGATTCCTGATACCACCGGCTTCTTCCTGCTCCTAGGGAGAGTCCTATGCCTTTACGACTGATTATGGGGCAGTTGATTTCTTGACCTGCACAGCACCTCTGCTTCCATAATAATGTGACCCGATCGAGAGAGTATGTTTCCTGTTATTGGGAGCTTGATCGCCTCTGTCAATCTAATTACGACACGCTGCAGCTGCAGTCCAGTCCTTGCTCCGGAGCTTCTAGCAGGGCGCAAAAATATACACTCTATTTTGCTCATGATCATAACCAGACCACCGCAAGGGAATTAAGAAAAAAAAAAAGATACTATACATAAATCTTGTACACGGCCATACAGCCCCACCCTACGCAGCCTACTACTGCTCCAACTTCTGCTTCTCCCTCTTCTTCTGCTCTCTAATCATGCGCCGAATCTCCCTCATATCCGGCGGTCTCTCGATACCCAACTCCCCACGCAACTCATCAACATCCTTCTCCAAAATCTTCTCCCAGTAGACATTAATCAACTCCTTACTCGACAGTCCACTCCGCACCGCCCACGGCAACCACAACGACACCAACCGCTCCCTCTCCGCGGGCTTCAACCGCACCGCCGCAGCCATACTCAACCCCGTCATGGGAATCAACGTATTCAAAAACTCCAGCGCCTTCAGCGCCAACTCGCCCTCCACGAACGTCGGCAGGCCCGTCAGCGCGTGGTAGAAGTCGTGACACTCGCGGTACCGCTGCATCACGTACGCGCACTCCTCGTCGTCGATGTACTGTACGTTGTCGCGCGTATCGGGGGACACGCCTTCGCGGTCCAGCCAGACGGCGTAGGTCCGGCCGACGGAGTTCTCGGGGAGAGAGCGCAGGTAGGGCAGTGGGAGGGTCGTGGAGGTCATGCGGGGTCGTTCGCGGAGGATTTGTCGCCCCGTTGGGTCCGAGAGCATGGCGTCGCGTAGCCGGTAGATGAAATATGGGGTTGCGGTGGCTTCGCCGCAGGCTGCGATGAGGTCTGTTGTATGGAAGTGTTAGCAGGACTGCCTTTTTTCATGATTTTGTGTAGATTCTGTAGCGCATAGGAGTGAGAAATGGAAGATAGTGGGGTTGCATACCCGCTCGACGAGGGTTCATCAGCGCCCCGAACGCAGAGCCAAAGGCGAGAGCTCCGCGCTCGAGAACGTTCAACGGCACATGGCCGGGATACTGCGGCGACGGGCGACTGAAGAGCGAGAAGTGTCGCGTGCGACAGGATACCGAGATGGGGGGGAGGAAACTTGACTCGTGCGCAACGAGTGTCACGGTGCGCCTCCTTAGGACCGACATGTTGAGTCCGATGGGCATCGGGCCAGTGTGAACATGACCGGAGCGAAGAAAGTCGATGGAGAGTAGATCGGGTGGTACGACGTCGGTTCGGGGAGGATCTCCGGGCGGCGCGAGTGGCGGGAATGCCCTCCCGTACTGATAAGCGGTCGATAAGCTTAGTTGGTTATCGGACTTATCGCGCTTTTTCTTGTAGATCCTCTTCTTCTCGTCCAGGTGCCGTTGCGCATGATGTTTGAGATTCAGCAATTTGGTGACCGCTGCTAGGTTCATGGGGCTGTGACATCTATCTCCATTTCCGGGGCTAGTCTACACACATCGTCAACCAACACATCCCCCGCCATCAACCAATCTGGAAAAAATGAAGCCAGACTGGTGGCCCGGAGAGGACCATGAACAGTTCACTGACTGGGCCATTGCTCAAGGGATCCTCGTAAATGGGGTCTATCCAGCTCGATTTCCAGGCCGCGGCTTAGGCATGATAGCCATGCGGAGTATCGAAGTACACAGCCCTATAAATGCCCCCGTCATGCTCTAATCCACATCCACTAACATACAACAGGAAGGCGAAGCAATTGTCACAGTGCCATTGACAGCAATGTTCACCCCCAATTCAATCCCCTCTTCATTCACCAACAAGTTCCCAGACGAAGCACCCGTCCACGCACTATACGCCGCATTCTTCACCAACGGGGACCCCTCAGACCTACAGTCCTACGAACCCTGGCGAAAGACCTGGCCCACCCGTCAAGACTTCGAAGACGGCATGCCACTTCTCTGGCCCTCATCTCTCCGCGGACCCTCCAAGCAAGACAACTCCCCTGCCGCAAGATCCTTCCTCCCGCCATCAATATCCGGCTCGTGGACCAGCATCGCCAAAGGAAAACATGAATGCGACTACGAAACCACGCACCAGAACCTGCTTGTTCAGCAGGAATCACGACTCCAGAACGCCTGGGACGTCGTGGTGTCTGTCTTCCCTGAAACCGACTGGGAGAGATTCTCGTATCACTGGCTGATTGTCAACACGAGGAGCTTTTTCTTTCTCATGCCGGGCGACGAGGCGCCTGAGGATCGGAACGATGCGATGGCGTTGCTTCCGTTTGCGGATTATTTTAATCATTCGGATGTGGCTGTATGTCTTCCTTTTGATGTGGTTGTCTTTTGGGTTGAAATTGGGGTTTGGTGTTGGGGATCTAAGTTGACGTGGCTCTGCAGTGCAATGTAAAATTCGATGGCCGGAACTATGTCTTCCGTGCGGCGAAGCATTATGGTGAGTTTAGTTGTTCTTGCAGATTAGATCGAGTCGAGCGAGGACAGGGCTGATGACGAGTTACAGATGAAGGAGAGGAGATATACATGAGTTACGGGCCTCATCCGAGTGATTTTCTACTGACAGAATGTGAGACCCTTGAGAAACTATCTCATGGACTATGCTGACTGCAATAGACGGTTTCTTTCTTGACCATAATGACTCCGAAACACTGTATCTGGACGATATCATATTCCGAGACCTTGACAAGACGCTGCAGGAGGAATTGGAATTTCAACAATACTACGGGTAGGTTTATCTACAACTAATGAGATGCAGGACTGCGCTGATCAATAGCTAGAAATTACCAATTAACCGCAGATGGTGTATGCTATCGTACCGAAATCGCTGCTTGTATGAAATACATGGCGGTTGAGGACTGGCGCAACTATTCCCTTGGCTACTCTACCAAGGGCTTTGATGCTCAAAAGTCAGAGGTTATAATCCGAGACTGGATCAAGACGTATGCTCACGAGGCAGACACGACGATCACATCATTGGAGAACGTAAGGGTAGACCTCAAGGATCAAGAAAAGGTCAAACTACTGCTGAAGCGGTGGAAACAAATCCAAATCCTCTGTGGCCAAGCCCTCGAGACAGTTTCGTGTTAGAAAGAGGAAACTCCTGGGTATAATTTCTGGAAGATATCATCCGGTCAATTCGAATGGCCGAGTGGATGAGCGATATAATACAAAACGGTTCCAATTAGATGGGCGCATCGATCAAGTCCACCGGAATATTACGTTCCTCTTTCAGCTTGTTGAGTTCCTTCTTGCCTATCACTAAATGCTTCATCATATAATTCACCACGCACTTCACGCCCTGCTCTTCCCCCTTGCGCACAATATACCCGTTCAGGTACTCAATCTCGGTCGTCTTCCTGCCCCGGACATCTTGTAGCATGGAGCTGTTGTTCTTAGCCGTTTGGTCGGCCAGCTGCGTCACCAGCCGGCGCAGCCGTTCGGGGGAGAACCGATTTTCAGCCCCGGGGATGCCCTGCACTTCCGGCAGCGCGCAGATCACGCCGGAGATCTCCATGAGAAGCAGACGCATGATACGGGTCATACTGTAGTTGTAGAGAATATCGCCGTTTGGGCAGCCCATAATAGCCGTGAGGGGGTTGATCACCGAGTTCATGGCAAGCTTCTCGAGTTGGTAGAGCATGAGCGCGGACGGGGTTTCGGCGATCGCAACAAGCGGCGGCGTCAGGGTCAGCGTGCGGAGAAGATATTTGGTACTTGGTGCCCAGTCCGCGTCGGCCGCCTTGGAGAGAGGCATGGTACCAGCCGGCGGCACCACGCCCAAGACGGTTGTGCCAACGCCGGTATGCGCGACTGAGAAACGAGACGGGGTTAGTCGCGCCAGGCCGTGAGAAATGATACCCTGCATGTAGTGAGGCCGAGTGTGTGGGTCCGGAAAGACCGTCTCGTTGATCTCGTCGATGACGCCCATGCCGTTCTGGAGAAACAGGATCGTGGACTCGGGCGTCAGACGGTGACGGACAGGCTCCAGGGCCCGTGTGGTCATCTGGGCCTTGACAGCGACGATTAAACATTCGATAGGGCCGTCATCCTCGGCATCTTTCTCCTCGCCTTTGATGCTCTCGTTCGGCGTACCGTCCTCCTTCCAGTAGGGTATGGAAAGCCAGGACTTTTCCCCTAGAACGTTGATGTCGAAGCCCGTTTTCACATCGTCGAGTCCGTTGGAGTTAAGTGACAGGCACTTCTTCCTCTTCACCCAGGTCCGATAGAGCCCTAGATTGTGCAGCAGGAGTGTAATGGGTGGCGGAGACGGTCGACTCGCCAAAGAGTGAGCAACGAATGTGCCGACATTGCCGAGTCCGAGGATATGTATGCGACCGGATAGTCGACGTTTCCCGCTGTCCAGAGACGCTTCATCTGCATCCTGCATCCACGTCGACATCATGCGACGGTAAGAGTCCCATTGAGCGTTACTGCGCGTACAGCGACACAAGTCCGAAATGCCGGCCCGCAGAAGCGGACGGCGTCCTAGTATGTACAACACTTTGAAAGAGTGGTGCGAGGCACAGCCGCAGCCGGTAGGCAAGAGAGAAAGAAGGCAGTCGAATCGACAGTCAGGGAAGTCGTCAATTCCGCATTCTGACACGGAACTTATAAGTAGGAAGGGTCACGAGAAATCATACGACTCGACCAAGTCCAAGATTTGGAGGTCGCGAACTCGCAACAATCGCCGGGCGGAGAAGAAAGAGTGCCGTTCAAAGCTCCCCACCGCCTGTCTCACCGCCCGGAGATAAAAAATCGACATTATTTCTCTTTTCCCATCGCTCGACTGTCTCTTTGTCTGCATTCTCGACTCACTTGCTCATCATGGACCCCGTCGATTTGTTGCCGCTGGTCGACCAGCTGGATGATAATGTTGATGATTTGGAAGAGGCGCTTGCGCCGCTCCTGAACACCGCCGTCACCGAGACCTCGAAGAAACTGCCTGTTATGGATAAGGCGAAATACCATGTCTTGGTCACGTACGCTTTGGAATCACTTCTTTTCTGTACGTCTGACATCGTTGAATCTAGTCTGATATTTCGCTCTTCTTGCTAATAGGTGATAGCTTACTTGCGCCTTCACGGCGTCAACGCCAAAGACCACCCGGTCTTCCGCGAACTGACCCGCGTCAAACAATACTTCGCCAAGATCAAGGCGCTCGAGACAGAGCCAGAGCAGCGCACCATGACCCTGGACAAGGAGGCTGCGGGTCGATTCATCAAGCACGGTCTTGTATGTTCCTCCCCTCTTCCTAGGACAAAATTTACAGGATCACTAATTGTTACCAGGCCGGGAACGATAAATACGACATGGAGCGCAAGGAAAGAGAGGCCAAGGAAAAGGCGCGCGCGCAATTCAAGGCATCGCTACTGGCTAAGAAGGAGGCTGGCGCGGGCGAGAAAGCATCTAAGGACCCTACGCATGCCTCGGATTCCGAGTCCGACTCCGGCGCAGACGACGAACCGAAAGCCGAAACTACTACCAAGCAGTCGACGAAAACCACCAAGTCCGCTGGACACGAGAAGAAGAAGAAGAGCAAGAAGGGGAAGGGTGACGGCGAGAAGAAATCTAAAAAGAAGGACAAGCGCAGCAAAGAAGGACGAACCGAAGAGAAGAAAGAGCGGAGACAGAAGAAGAAGGAAACTCGGAAGGCAAGGCAGTCATAGAGAAGCGACAAGAGGGTCAAACTAAGCAACACTTCTCTCTAGGACTAGCGAGGGTAAATCTCGCGAGCTTGGTCGACTGGATCCGATCGTCAGACTTGACGTTAGTCTGATCTGTTCTAGTCTTGTTTATTGCATCAAGAGGATACATTCAGGCAGCGGGATGCGATGGCCAAGACGGCAATTGCATACGTTCGCTCTCAACAGATTGCTGTTCTTCAGTTCATGTTGGACTTCTGCGTTGCAGCGCCGGCTGGAGTGCGCATGAAGATTTGGATACCTAACAGCAGTCGCATCACTAACGCAGGAACACCGGGAGGAGTTTGAGGTCACCATCACCACTGGATACAGTACTTTACAGGCGCAATGCCTCGCCACGCATTAATGCGGTGTATAGTCATCGGGTTTGTCCTGGCGACGAGGCCGAAGTGGCGACTCTTAACTCCGGTCCATTTTTAGGGCATTGAGAGCCTTCTGTCAGCCGAGTGATGTGGATCGGGATGAAGTGAGTCATTACTGGGCAGCATATAGAGGCATTGGCCATAACAATACATACTAGATTTTATGACGCATAGAGATATATTGTAAGCAAAGGTGATGTAGTATAAACAGAAGGCATCACTGTCTACCTCGTTATCTATGTAGTAGGTAGGGTATACTACATCGACACCTCAGACCACGTGGGGTATGATACGTGACGATACCGCATGGAGACGGACTTTGGCGGGCAGATAGCCCCAAATACGGCAGAACATGTAATTCCCGGTCACCGCCCTCTTGCTGACCTCATCAGGCACCCTCCACCAATCAGCGCCCGTAAATTAACCAGCTGCCGTCGGAGTTTTCGCTCTTCTCCGCCGACATTCTGTTTCTTTCTATATAACCGACCGTTTTCCCCGATCTCATCTCCCATCTTTCCCCGTCAAGCCACAACACCCATCTTCAACCTTTCAACCAACCTTCAACTTCCACATCCCATCAAAATGCCTCGTCAACGCCGTGGTGCCGCTCCCGCCCCTACCCCTGCGCGCAGCGCCCCTACCAGACCTACCGCCGCTCCCGCCAGACCGGCCGCTGCTCCGCAAGCCCAGCACTCCCAGCCTCACTCAACCTCTGCCCACCAGCCCCAGCAGCAGCACGCTCCTCCCCCGGCCGCCGCTCCTGCCCCTGTGCAGCAGAGCCAGGGACCGGGTCTCTTCGGCCAGATGGCCTCGACCGCTGCGTAAGTCAAGCCTTGAACCCTTCCCGCGGAAACCGGGGCCCAAACAACAAAACACCGCCCGTACTAATCAACTGTCGTAAACAGTGGTGTCGCAGTCGGATCCTCCATCGGCCACGCCATCGGTGGTTTCTTCGGCGGCGGTTCCAGCGCCCCCGCTGAGTCTCAGCCGGCCGCTCCTCCTGCCGATGCCCAGCCCATGGACAACGGTCTGTGGCAGAGCAGCGCCGCCAACACCTCGTGGGAGAACCCCGCCTGTGCCACGGACGTGAAGAACTTCCGGAGCTGCATGGATGAGAACAAGGGTGATTTGACTATCTGTGGATGGTATTTGGATCAGCTGGTATGTTTTCTCCTTATCTTCCCTGCTTTGCTTTCTATCCCTTGTGGATTGGGGAGATCTTGACATGGCGATATGATAAAAAGTGGATGGATTGATACTGACTACTTCTATAGAAAGCTTGCCAGGCCGCTGCTAAGCCTTACTAAATGCTTTTAATTCCCCTTTACCGATCTACCCCCTATCTACAAAGTATCTGATCTAGGTACTGTTTCTTAATGTATCGTTATGTGTGTTCTCTTGTTCTCTCTATCTTTTGATCTACGGGAAAATACACGGCCTCGTGCGGGCTCAGTTTACCCACCTACTTAGCTATGTAGGTGGACGGACTTCTGTACCCCCGTCGTCGTGGATTGTGTTTGCATAGCGGCGTATCTTCCTCCCTATACCTACCTACCTACCTACTTTCTCATTACTGTATAACACCTACCACCTTGAATTACCTACTCCATTCAAGCAGATCAGATCGGCCGGTCTACGCTGGAGCTGGTTTTTCTAACTTGTTTCTAAATTCTGGATATCTCTTCTCCCATGTTACAACATCTATAGATCTATCTATCTTCAGATTTATCTATACTGTATGGATGATGAATGGGTTGAGGAACGGAACAGAACAGAACGATATCAAACTCAAACAAGAAAAGGAAAAAAAAAAAAGAAATATTCCACTCTTCAGTTCAACTTCAGAATTGGCTTATCTTGGGATGGGACTGATGGCGTACATGTTAGAGTACATTTCGTATACATGATTGATAGAATATAGATTGAGGAAGACAGAAGAACACTTCGGTGATACCAACAACTTTAGATCATCATACTGGAAGAGAAACGAGGATCACATAATAGATGCTATCGCTATTGAAAAGAACACAACCAGACAGATCGAGCAGACAATAATAAAGAATTCACGGTAGAAGATACTAGAACAGAACAAAACAGAACGAACGGATGCCTGCGAGTAGCAATCAATCAATGGATAAAGAAGTAGGATCCTCAGCCAATCGAATCCTGAACGCCACAACAAGTAAAGGTAAGCAAGGAGGTAGGTAAAGCTAGGTAAGTCCTTATTCGTATTCGAATCAAGTACAGTTATTGCAAGGGTCGTCCGTTTTCATCCCGTCGAGGCTGGAAATTAAGCTATACGATATTAGTCCGTGCAATGGAGCAACCATACCGATTGGTCCCTAGGGAAGACGTACCTGATTCCCGTTGTACAACTGGCTGTCATCCCGCTCGTCACGCTGGTCGTGTAATGTCCGGATATTAAGCCCCCCGGACCCGGTTGGGCGCGGTCTCGCTGCGCCTGTCGGGGTCGAAGTCCCGGGCTGAGCAGATCCGGTCGACGGCGCCGTCTGAGGTGCTGGTGTTGGCTGGCCGTAGCCAAGCAAGGATCCGACGAGGCCTGTGGCGGTCCCGACAACAGATGACACAAGCCCGTAGGCGGACGAGACGGCGCGGACAGGGAGACTAGCCCCGGAGGTTGAATACGCTTCCGTGTATGTGTTGATCGGAACCATGACGAGATTCGCTGTCGAGCCAAGACCCAGTTCCGCGAGCGTTTGCTCCTCTTCGGCGATGGTGAGGGTTCGGTTTGGGAGAGGGGTGAGGATGTGTTTGAGGTTGTAGGGGCGTTTCTCCTCCAGCTGGCTGTCGACCCAGGGGCGTACGTCTCCGCGAATGGTCTGCGAAGGAGTGAAGCTTGAGCGCACGGAACTTCCGTCGAAGAGTCGGACTTGGAGACGGTACTGTCGTGGGGGCGTTGGCTGGGGTTTAGGTGCGGGCTCTTGCTCCGTCTCTGGCTTTGGGGGAGGAGAGGTTGGCATGTCGACGCTTAGGCTTTGTGAGGATGTTGTGGGTTTGTCATGCTTCTTGACAGTGATCTTGGGAGCGGGTGCAGATTCCTTCTTCTGGGGTAGAGGTACAGGTTTCTTTGTCCTTTTTGTCGAAGGTGATTGAGACGGCTCTTGTTTCTGCGTCTTGTTTCCCGCCGTTGCCTCGTCTCCCTTCTGCTGGGGCGATTTTGGTGACTCGACGGGTTGAGGCCGAGGTGCCGCTGACACCGGAGCAGGAGAGACAGGCGCCGATGTAGATGCCGTCATCGGTTCGGATTCAGGAACCGGCGCAGCCGTATGTGTCGTTGCCGCAGAACTACTCTGTCCTATCGACTGCGCCGGCGCCGGCGCCTGAGGCTGAGCATCCTCAATCGCAACCCTCAACCGCCCCTGAAAGCCCTCTTTCTCTATATCCGGAATGATATACTCTCGCAGGGTTCCATGCCTACGCAGAACGTCAGTCAACAACCCCCTAACTTAAACCGTATCCAACCCATCCATCCCCAAGATCGCGGGTATCGATGATGACATACTTGATGACCACGACAGCGGGAAACTTCGTAACGGGGCAGAAAGAAGTCAAGAAGCCCGCTTCCTGACTATCCTTTGTGAGTTGCAACAGGACAGATTTCGATTCGAGGAGTTGCAGGAACTGTAGATAATGAACATGTTGGCGGAGGTTCCAGGCTGATCAAGAGGATTGTTTGATTACCTCGCTATCCGTGAAATAGTCATTCTCCCACGTTGAGCTCGTCTCGCTGTCATCTATCGAATGAGATTGTCAGCCCGTGTCTGCGTATGATAACAAGTAGGTCCAGCAATGCCAAACGGAGAAGGGTGGAGCTGGGCTGGCGGCTGGCGCATAGGCACAGCTCCAGCTAATACGAAGGCAAATGGGAAGAGAAAATACCTCGAACAAAGCAAACCACGGCTTTCGCCTGGCCAACAGCCTCAGCAATACCCTCCTGCAAACTTCCAGAATAAAACATGATGGCGATGGACTCGGGAAGGCCGGATGGGAAGTAGATACGGTGACAGACAGGAAAGCTGGGGTCGGAGGGATCGGGGAAAGCATGGAACCCGCCGATCACGAGAGCCCCTCGGGAATCCGTCCGACCAAAGATTTCCGTTGCCGTCGCTGCGTCACCTCCCCAGGACTTACCTATCACCAACAACCGCGACTTCCTGCCCATGAACTGATTGCAATTGCCTGGAACGAAACATCCCCGATTTCGATACCGACATAGCCCATGAGGTCCGTATTTGAGGTCCTCCAACGGACCGCAACGACGGCCTGGAAGCAGCCCCCGATCGCCTCCGCCCTCCGCGGTCCTCGCGCGACGTTCAAGCTCGACTCGATCTGCGCGAGATGTCGGCGCCAGCAAGTTCGATTTAACAGCCAGGGGCGGCAATTGGGCGATGATCCGCGCTGGTTATCGGTGGTGGATAATCCGGCGCAGATTGTGCGGACGGGGAATAAGCATGGACCGGGGTTGATTATCTTAGGTATTTACGTCCTTCTCTGTCTCTCTTCTCTTTTTGTTCTATCGATTGAAAGGGGAAGATGTGGGTGGATATATAAGAACGGGTATTGACATTTGATCCTCTCTAGCTTTGATCCCGATCATTTCCTTCGCCCTCGGAACCTGGCAGATCCAGCGTCTAGACTGGAAGACCAAAATCATCGCCAAATATGAAGACCGTCTCGTGAAAGCGCCGCTTCCGCTGCCACCACAGATCGATCCCGAAGCTATCTCGGAGTTTGATTATCGGAGAGTCTACGCTACAGGTCGCCTGCGACACGACCAGGAGATGCTGATCGGGCCGCGCATGAGGGAAGGCGAGGATGGATACATTGTGGTGACGCCGTTGGAGCGCGGCGAGGGACAAAGCACCGTGCTGGTCAACCGGGGCTGGATCTCCAAGAAGATGAAGAATCAAAAGGATCGGGCCGGCGGGCTGCCTCAGGAGGAGGTGGTCGTGGAGGGGTTGCTCCGCGAGCCGTGGCAGAAGAATATGTTTACGCCGGAGAATAAGCCGGAGAAGGGAGAGTTCTACTTTCCGGATGTGGAGCAGATGGCGGAATTGACTGGCAGTCAGCCGGTGTGGATTGAACAGACGATGGGTGAGTCTAAGCTAAGCTATATGCATATTCTATGTGACGTGCGGTGTGTACTGACGTGAATGAACCTGACAGTTCAGGATATGGTGGAATTCTATGATCGGACGGCCAAGGGTATTCCTATCGGTCGTGCGGCGGAGGTGAACCTGAGAAACAACCACAGCCAGTACATCTTCACATGGTGGGTTCTTCAGAACGCTAGTACTCTAGCAACCCCTGACTGACTCTCGCAGGTACGGTCTGTCTCTGGCAACGTCGATCATGCTGGGAATGATTATCCGGAAGAGACCCAACGAGGCCGCACGTCGGGTGCGCGCAAACCGGAACTGGTAAACTCCTTTTCTCAGATTCGTGGTCGTTGCGGGCGTTCGGGTTCGTTAGCTAGGAAAGATTCTGTATAACATGTATATTTCACGGCGGCATCGACAGCCTCATGTCTTGCAAGAGCTCCTTGGGTAGATGCTTTTGTGCCAGCGAGAACATAGTAGTCGCATTGTTCGTATGACGTTGTCTAGAATGATCAGCTTTGGTCCGACAAGATACGATAGGGAAAGACTCAAATCTCACCTTCTGATGAGAGCGGCTACATCACTTTCGTCGATCGTCTTCCGTCCCGCATGTTTTGAGTAGGCAGCCAGATCTTCGCTCACTTGCTCGAAGTACCACGAAGAGGCCTGCTCGATTGCCGCCAAGGTGGCCTTGTTGATCTTGGTTTTGGACCCAGCCCGTGCCGGCGCAAACCGTGTAGCCAGCTTCTTGATGACTCCGGCGGGCATGTTGGGAACGGGGATGCCATGGCGGGAGAGCTTCTTCTGCTTGGAGCCCTGAATGATCGTGTCTTCTTCACGCAGTCCTCCCCCAACCACCCCGGGGCTTTCACTCATCGGTGCCGGGGACCAGCGAGGCGAGGGATTCGCGTCCATGCCGAAGTCAGCAAGAGGCTCGTTGCCATCATCACTGTCCGACGGAAATCCTGTATCTTCCGGTAAACCCACGGCCGGAAGCTCGAACCCGTCGTCATCGTTCATGGCCGGATCCGGATCCAAGTCAACCGGGACGGGCGACGGGAAGTTAAAGTCGAGGTTGAACTTTCCCAGGTCTTCCGTCTCTCCGCTATAGGTGCACATTAGCTTGGGTTTATACAAAGACCAAGATTGTAGACTTACCCCCTATCAAAAGCCCCTTGGCTGATGACCGTCTCGTCAGGGTTTTCATCGTCATCCGCAATCCCCGTATCATCGCCATCCTCATCTTCGCTCTCCAACCCAGCCTCGCCGAAGTTCTCACTCAGCCGAGACCCACCAAAACTCATCATCGATAGTCGACCTTTATCATGAGCCCGACGCGGATACTCAACCGTGATATCTTCCTCCTCGAACGCCAGCGAAAGCCTCGGCGGACGCGGCGGGGGGCTGGCATCATCTTCACCGTCCTCCTCCGCTGCATCTTCTAACGGCAAAGAAAGACGCGGCCGTTCCACCTCCGGCTCGTTATCTAGCTCCTCGATCTCATCGATCTCCGGCTCCGGCACCGGCTCCGGTACATGCGGTGATGATTGAATAGGCTGAGATACAGGCGCCAGAGCTAATTAATGGTTAGCGATAACCATTATTCCACATACCTGCAGGAAGAATGCAATAGCATAAGGAGAAAATGCTGAGATGATAAACTCACCCCGTCCCAGATTCCGCAAAATATCAAACGTCGTCTCTCGCTGCACCTTCACGCTCTTGCGTCGATCCCGGGCCGGCGTGTTCGCCGCCCGGCGCTGCATCGCACGCAGTCCATGCGGTGTTGACGGAGCCCCTGCGCCTCTGTTTCGCGGCGTCCGACGCGACACGGAGCGATTGCCTGAGGGAGTTGTCGATGTCGCGAGACGGCTGGGGGTGATGGGGTTACGGGAGTGGAGGGGTAGACGTTGAAGCTGATTTATCCCACGTTAGCAATTGACATGTACCCAAAGGGCAAATTATATCGAAGAATATCCAGGGGGAGGGGGAGGCGGGTACATACCCCCGTTAGCGTGGTGTCTCTGTCTCCGACGGGGGTGGATTCCGCGGCGGGCGACCCGCGACTGCGCGGGTTGGGGGTTGTAGACATTGACAATTGTGTCTATTCAGGTATCAAATGACTGAGTACGCATGTGCACCAGACTAGAGATAATACAATCAAACAATCAGGACCAATAAATTGGACGGAGGGAATGGCACTCTCCCGACGATAGTTGAAGGAGAGACGAAGCGGGCGCGTCGGGGAAGTTGAGCGGCGGTGGATCACGCACCGCACCCGGGACCCTCTTATCGATAAGGATCCGCTGACTCAGCATAAAAAGTTGTCACGGCGAAGACTCCGAGTCCGATGCGACGAATGCGACAAGCTCTCATTTCCTGTCCCTCGCAGTTTGTGTTCCCTATATCCCATTGATCGTGATATATCCGATCTCCGAAACTATGTCTGCAGAGCCAACCACCCCCAACCCCTCCGGCCTCGCCGCCAAGGTCGACAAGAAGCGCAAGCGCCAGGCCGAGGACTCTTCCTCGAAGGAGAACAAGGCGGAGTCTGCGCCCACTGAGAAAGCCGATGGACCGAGCAAGAAGAAGCCTAAGAATGACAAGAAGAAGGGCAAAGGAAAGGGCAAGAAAGACAACAAGTCCAAGAGCGATGACCAAGAGACCGACAAGCCCAAGCCCAAGCCTAACCCCAATTCGAAGGAAACCGAGGTGAAGGGCAGCGTGGACGAGGCCATTGGCAAAATGGATGGCCGGCTACTGGCGGACCATTTCATTCAGAAGGCCAAGAGACATAATAAGGAGCTTACGGCGGTGGAGTTGAGCGATCTGAGTGTTCCGGGTATGTTATTCATTCGTTTGCCTCAGAGAATATAGCTAGATGGGACCTATGCTAATTCAGACATTAGATACCGCATTCCTGGATACGTCTTCGTTTGGCGGAGCTCGAGAGCTCAGTCAATTACCCGCCTTTATCAAGGCATTCAACCCGACCAAGGGCTCGGATCCGTCCAAAGCATCGGAGGAGAAGGGCACGCCGCACACCCTGGTGATTTCGTCAGCGGCACTTCGAGCTGCTGATGTAGTGAGGTATGCTCTACTATATCCTGCACAGAAAAGTCTCAAACAATTGAATAACTAAACGGTTTATCCAGAGCTCTTCGCACATTCCAAACCAAAGAATCGCCCATTGGCAAGCTCTTCGCCAAACACATCAAGCTTGAAGAAGCCAAGCAGTTTCTTCAGCGTGCTCGGTATGATGTCCACCCCAACAACCGACACATCTATAGTGCATCTAGCTAACCGTACCGAACAGAGTGGCCATCGGCGCCGGTACCCCAGCCCGTATATCCGACCTAATCGATTCCGGTACCACCCCCCTCAACCCTTACTCTCTCAGTATCAACCCAACTAACCAAGCAAAAGGATCTTTGAAACTCGACGAGCTCAAAACCATCATCATCGACGGATCCTACGTGGACCAAAAACAGCGCGGTATCTTCGACATGAAGGAGACCCATCTGCCTCTGCTGCAATTACTCACGAAACCTGAGCTGCGGGAACGGTACGGTGCCAAGCAGAAGGGGATCCAGCTGCTGGTGTTCTGATTGCATTCTTATTTTTATGTTAGAGTAAAAGTTTTTGTATTGGCGTTGGGAGGTTCGTAGCTATTATAGTACCCATATACATACGTACTTGATTTTCTCGCCAGGTCGAAGGCTTTCCCTTTCCGTTTTAGTGCTCACCCCTCGCCGCTTTTTGCTCACTGAGTAGACTTGAGCACGCCCTGAGCAGCCTGAGGCAATCACTAAACACGAGATAAACGGAAAACTGAGTGCCCTAAATGAGTAATCTCAATAAACTGTATCCTAACTAGCGATCTTTCCTTTGCCCGTTTTTTCATTCTAAGTTCACTTTTGTTTGTTACATTCTCTGAAAAACTCAGCACTGCCATCACAAAATAACGAATCAGAGAAGCTATTTTTTCTTCTGATACCTACGGCCTTTTTTTCAGGAGGAAATGCTGTACTATTGCGTTACATCAATATAGTTAACATTTGTCCGGGTTTTTCCTGTCGAAAGACAGTACAAGCTTAGATATTTATAAGAGCGGCCCTAGATATCCTAAAAGTCAAGAAATTCTCGGAATACCAATTAGTATTAGTCTATTATAGATATTCTCTGGATTTGGATCCTGATTACTTATGCGGTAGAATGACATGCCAATGTTCCCCTATTAAAATGTATAATACTGAAGATTTATAATACTGATTAAAAGAATAAAATTCAAAGAATAGGACGTTGTGTTGATTTTCTGTAGGTATCCTGATCTGATATCTATAGTATAAAGTTATAACAGATTCATTCTAATCGAATTAAATTCCATATATAGGGCCCTATTCTTTTCTGTCTAAGCAATCTGTAGATATTGCTGGCATAATAATCTATATGTAGTACATGTGTCAGTAGATGTTATACCAAAAATTCGCACGGAAAGCACTGAATGTTATTATAGCTTACATATGGTACTATAGAGGAATCGTAGATCTTAGAAAACCCAAACTGGCTCTTGGGATCCTTGTTAGTCTCTAGAACCTCGAACTCCCTGAACAGAACTTACTGATTTGTAAACAAAACCTCTGAAATAGAAAGATAATGCATTGAGACTATTTAAACTCGCAAAGGGCACTCTAATCTAGCATTCTCGATCAGTCCCTCTCAAATGAAAAGTTCCAGTTACTTTCAAAATTTTTATCAATGGCCTGTCGGAAGAGAAATCTTTTGGAATATGTTAGAATATAATTAGCAGTTCGATATACTTTACTGTACTTGATTATCGCTTCTAGTGCCAGTTCCGGGCCTTTATTTTAGACAAACCTTTAGTGTTTATTGCGTATGGTGTAACGAACGGCTACGCAAACGATAGGGAATCGCAAGAATGTAGGATAGGCATTTAACGAAGAAACTAAGCTAGGTTGTGAAGCTATTCAGGAGCTGATCACGATATGTGTGGGACAGCTCTGACGCTAGTCCCGATCAGATAGTTAGGTCATAGGGCATCGCGAAGGGACGTCTTCGGAGGCAGGTCACGGTTCGTGACATATGGTAAGTGTATTCGGTATAAACGCAGTAAATCTTTATTTTGTTTGTTTCATTCATTCTTACAGAATTTATAGACGGTACGGGAGAATGCCCGGTATATCCGTGGCTCCAAGTTGGGAGCTGTATTCTGAATCAAAAAGGTTACTTTAACAGATACCTGTGACCGCTTATATCATTATAACCCTAATTAGTTGGTAGCTTGCCTGAATTAATGCGCTGACGTGTTATATCTAACGGCAATATTCAGGTATCTACTATCGCTATATCGGTTTTCTAGATCTTACATGTACCACTTCACTAGGGCCAACTTTGAGCCTCGGAAAGGCTAATGAAAACATTTGTGCCTGGATTCGTTTCCTAGCCATTCCTTTGCCCGGCGGCTGCAAAAACTTAGCTGATGTTGCTGCGCTATGCTATATAGCTCTGTTAGCGTTCCGTTGATAAGAGCTATTACGCTTTTTCTCTTCCCTGAATGGTACTTGCTATCTAGCTGCGTTCGTGGTATAACTATAGTAAGCTTGCAAATGAGACAGGCACCACTTGTCTATATATAATCATTCGCTTATTCTCGTTATGAAAGTAAGCTAGGAAAGCAATAGACGCACCATCTTTCTATGGAACTACTAACTTACGGAGTATGGTATTAATGAATACGACCCTGGAAGCCTTAATAGTTTGGCGGCATTATATTTATATTAGTTGCAGGAAAAAAGTGGCAATACGTTGCATTCAATTGTTTTAGCGCTACGCCATACTATTCGGCTCGCAACGAAAATTTGCCCCGGAGCTAGTTCAGGAAATATGCCCATTTAAAGCCAATAAACATCCTTATAGCCAGAATGCCAAGATGCTAAGCCTAGAAGCTAAGATCGATTACCCACTTGATTAGAAAAATAAGAAGCGTGATCTTAAAAGTAAAACTATCTCTCCGTTACGTGCCTTATTTGTCTGTTCTTACTGCCCTGCTAATTTCCAATAATTTGTCCATGAAAGCTACAATGGAAGAAATGAAACAGGACCCAAATCTTAACCAATATGGTCCTATATCCTTGTCTATATCTCGCCCGAGCCCTGGCCGTCCAGAACAAAACCCAATTCGACAATGCTGCACCGGCATTCTCAGATTCGTTACGCGCTGGACCATTTTTGTGCATCCAATTAAGTAATTTTATCGATACAGAGATCCCAAAGTTACCTGTATTAATTGCTAACGATTAGATTTGTGCTCTCTTCTCTCGCCTTGAGCATATTTTACTACCATTTATGCAGTTACCTTTCTCTGCATCAGAAATGCTGGAATATTTCGTTTTACTGGTTTTGTGGGATTGTTTTCTTGGTCAACTTTGTCGGTTATGCAGTTAAGGATTTTAGGGTCTGGTATGCTCGTCAGGTGAGGGTCACACAGGGAGGCGAGAGTAGCTAGGAAACGATATATTTGACCTTAGCGAGGGGTTTGGCTGAGCAGCGAAACGATGTAATTTCTATTTTGCTGTCTGTACTCTAAATGTATATGCCTTACGTTTTATATTTTTTCCCTCTGTATTTTGTTTTATTAGTTTGCTCTTCTTTTATATCCTATGCTGATAAAGAAATTTAACTTCACTGAAAGTAATGATTCTTTAGCATACTTCGGAGGAAAGACTCGGTTTTGACTTGAAAGAGCAGTTAGCTGTTAAACTATATATATCCTACATATTGTTAAGTCGTTAACCACCAGTAAAGAAATTAGAATACAGTCGAAAACAGTTGGCATATCAGATCATTCCACTTTACTAGAAACCCTAAACATTTCCACCCACAACGACCTCTTAACCCAAAAATCTCAAATCATCTGGTCATCCCACCGCTCAAAATTAACCAAGGACAAATCAAACCGAAATAACAGTCTTACAGTAACCATGCGCATTTCCGCCCATGCCAGGTTTTTCCCTAGACAATTCTTCGGCCCAAACGAAAACGGCTGAAAAGTATCCCGACAGTCAGTCTTATACTCAATCGGCCTCCCGAATAACTATCGCTCAGGAACAAAGTTATCCGGACGAAAGAAATTACAGGGGTCACGATATGTCGAGAAATGGTTGACCCCGACGGAAGTACCTGGCGGAAAGAATCGGCCATCAATGAAGACGCCCGCACAAGGAACTACACGAGGAAGGGTAATCGCGACTGGGAGATGCATGCGGAAGACTTCAGTAAAGACGGCATTAAAATACGAAAGGTAATTAACAGTACTCATTCCAATCTGGCCCTTATCCTCAAACCTGCTTCGAATCTCTGCCACAAGAATCCGATATATGCGCGGATGAATGCAAATGTAAAACACGAATACGGCAAGCGCGGTAGCTGTAGCCTCTGACCTGGCAATACTGAACGAGAACGCGTTCACGTTGATTTCGTCGCGAGTCATGCCTTTATCGCCCTGCATGGCTGCAAGAATATAATTTAGGAAATCCTTGCGATTTATACGGCGCTCGATGCGTCTGGTAACGGTATCTACTACTCGGCTGATATTTCGGGCGCACGCACCGGAAACGGGTCGCGGCATGAAGAAACGATATAGCCAGGTGAAATTGTAGTACTTGAGCATTTGGAATAAAATGAGCTCTTTGGATATCGCGGGCAGCGAAGAGACGAACGTATCTGGTATGCCAGTTTCCGTGCACCTGCAGGGTTTGCCGAAGGAGAGGTCCCGGATTACGTCGTATGCTGTATAGCCTTAATGGACCTGGGGCTGGTTGGGTTGGCATGGAGTGAACGTACCAAAATAGGTAAACCATGCGGAGAGATTGATAGATTCTATATCTGCGAGACTTGAGAAATGCGCCATCAGCCGATTCATATAGCCTTCAATGATGTCGCTCTGCTCGCGGAAGGCCTTCTCGGAGAACGCGTACGAGAGGAGACGTCATTGTCTGGTATAGGTGGCTCGATCGGCTGTCAGTATATCTGAAGACAATTAAATCAGTCCTATAGTACTGCGCAGAAAAGAGAAAGAAGCTTACTTGGCGCACCGGTAGGTATTAGCAGAGAGAATATCGGGTCTTTGGATATCTCATCAAAGCGTGAGCCGTAGATAGCCTTCCAGGCAGCGGCAGTCGTGAATGACAATTCATTCGGGATAACTCGAATAGTCTGACTATATTGCCGGTACAAGTGAAGAAGCCTCTGGTTCAGGGTCCCGTGGAACTGGTACCAGTACCAGGGAAGACGACTAGCTGCCCAGAAGGCCGGACCGGGATACCCTCGCAGCGGGTAGAGGTATATGTTGTAGAGTCCTTAGAGCAGTAGAGCGCATGGCTGGAAGGTTAGCTACGTCTGACAAAGAGAAAGACACGTACTGTAGCGACAATGACTAGAGTCCACGGACAGAGGTCCATCTGGGCGATCTGCATATTGAGTGGATGGTAATTCCCCGGTAGCAAAAGGAAAGATATCGGCATAGGAGGATGTAGGGTTTAGAGCGCCGCGTGCTCGGAATCCGAGCCCCGAGTAAAATCAGACAACCACGAAAGATGGCAGATAAGGGCAGAATTGAGACAGACAGAGCTTGATTACCTTATCCAGACATGCGATTCAATATGGTCACAAATCCAGAAGTCCATGTACTAATCATTGGCGCCGGAATTACTGATCTAATTCTGGCACAATCACTCAGAAAGGTACGTTTCTCTGACATGGCGAGCCATACTAAGAAGCAATAGGCCGGAATCCGCTACTCCATCTTCGAGAAAGAAATCGCCCTGAACTATCGCAGCAATGAGTGGACCATGGCCATCCACTGGGCCCTGGATCGTCTGCAGGCCTTGCTCCCTGAGGAGGGGTATCGAGCTCTGAATGAGGTCTCCTGCAACCCTGCCATTCCCATCGACGCAGGCGGGCGATATCCAGTTATTCATGGAGAGACCGGGAGCATTCTGGCCGCCGTTCTCTACGAAAAAGAGCTGAGAGTTCCGCGCAGTAGAATGCGCGCACTATACGCAGAGGGCATACTAGTTCAATACGGGAAGAAATTGATCGACGTTGCATTTGCCGAGAGAGGTGGCATGATGGCCTTCTTTGAAGACGGCACAATAGAATCCGGAACGATTTTTATAGGCGCGGATGGACCTCGGTCGACGGTGCGCGAGTTCGCCATGAAAAGTGTAAAAAAGGCGGCCGTAAGCAGATTCCCTATCTTCTATACCAATATGACGGCATCTTTCGACGCCGATAAAGCACAGTTCTTACGGAAGCGGTTTCCGACGAGCTATTTAGCGTTAAGCGACCGGTCGTTTCACGCTTTTCAGTCTAGTATATCTCTTCGTGGCTTTTTGGCAATCGTCTAATGCAAGTAGTCTCGAGCATTCCCGATGGGCCGGATAGCCCTGCCTCGTAGGTCTTCCATTTCGCCATAGCCTGGTTTACCGATGTAGACGAACCGTCGTCCTACGCGGAAAGACTACATCTAATCCGTTAGAGAGCCCAGACTTTAGCCGAGCCTGCTCGGTCCGCATTCACTTGGCTTCCGGATGATACGCGAGCCAATAAAGCGGATATCAGTTTCTGGGTCAGCCAGCCGTGGGATAACAGAGATGGGAGAATAACGCTGGTTAGGGATGCGGCGCATCCAATGCCTCCTTGTAAGTCTCCCCATTGACCAGGCGTGCCAACCTGACAATGTAGACCGCGGACAGGGCTTGAATCACTGTATCTGTGACGTGTCGAATCTTTTAGAAGGTCTACAGAATGTAGTTGATGGCAAGTCGGTCTTCAGCCATGTGATCACCGCCTATGAGAAAGAAATGGTCCCACGGGGTAGGGAGGAGGTCACTTGCTCGGTTGAGAACGGGTACATGCTACATGATTGGAAGAAAGTGCGAGAGAGCGCGGTATTTACGAAAGGTTTCAAACCAATGGATGGACATGATTCTGGAAGACATGAGGGGACGCAGCCGGGGGATGCTACTGATGCTTAGATATAATGTAGCTTAGGAATACCTGTTGTATCTCATGTTTCATGCACATCAAGCCTGGATATTATTCGGTTTCTAGTAATATCTTTTAATGTTGTTCAACAGTAGAACGGAATTAGAACTCAGTAGATAACGATATAAGCACAATCACGGCTAAAAGAGAGCATGCGCTGAAAGATTCCATATAATCTCTGTGACGGTCTACAAAGGAGCTTGATATAAGACAAGTTTGTTTATGACTCGTAGTCAAGGAATTTTCCCATGGAGAGGAAAGGCTATCTAGGAGGGAGGATCTAGAGCCTCTATATACTGCCCGAGGCTTTGCCTCAGGCAGGAATGCCTGCAGAGCATCCAGGAAGGTTCCCGGATGCCTACCGGAGGGTCCCTCGATCCTATACTAACTAACCAGAACGTTCCTCCGGAACGTTCCTCCGCACCGGTAAACTCCCTGATTTCAGGAGGTCACAAGAATCTCATGACTGTCTCTCCACTCGTAGCCTACTTTTGCCCGCCACTCCCATCACAGAAATGACGAATAAACGTTAATCATGTTATGACCCCTCCAGAGGGATGAAATGCGATTACCCCTTCATTTTCCCCGTTCGGAAAATCCTGCGATGATCGCACATCACTGACTGGGTAAGTATCTACATGGGCGACACATAGTTCACAGGAACAACCCTGGGTATCGTAAGAGTAGGACCAGAAATCTTTAGAGCACAAAGTGAAACTAACGTTACCTATAATATCACTGTTCCGCTACAGTATGTTGACTAGATGGGGAAATGCCACTTAAAGTTGATTTTTATTGCTCGTTTCACTTTCGCATTCAGGAATATCAATTGGCAATAGAGAGAGGGCTGAGAAATAAACATGCTGTGCAGTGGTTAACTGGTACTCCTAATTAGGCTTGACAACTATAGCGTATACAAGGGAGCATTGAGTCTATCAGCATGAACTTCATATCAGAAGCTCTATTGGGCATTTGACCAGTCTTTCATTAGGGACAAGATAGTGAGTGGCCTGGAAACCTCTCGGGAATACGCAGCCTGCCAACCAATATGAACTACATGTATTGGAATAAGTGACATGTATGGAACGCCGAATATTGTGCAGGGTCTACTGACATTAAATCATACCTAGTCAGATATGTATAGATCTTAGGAAACTATAATTAGTTCTTGAGATAATTACCAGGAAGAGTGCTCACTGCTCATTGGCTGCAACTTTTTACCTCAGATATTGCGTGTTAGAGGCTAATATCCTTTTGACTATTTAAACGTAGAGATGTCTCTCCCACTGAGCCACAGCACCCTCCCCAGCCAGCCCCAGATATAATTGAGGATTTTGATAAAAAAGGGTTTAGTTCTGAAGACAAAAATCGGACGGCCTAATTAGATATCATTTCGCCCATCTACTCTAAAAATGCTCAATTTCAACGCATTGTTTTACAAGAACCACATAACTAATTAAGATTTTAACGAGACGGAGAAAATTACTGGTATCTATTGTACTAGCAATCAAATAACTATCTTCATAGGACACGGTGGTGTTGTTAGGTTATGTCGGTTTTCCCTCATGGTGTGTCGAGGAGGGGGGCGAAGCCGTGGACGAGATGGCGGGTGGTGTAAATGCCTGCGTGTAGGGCTTACTCTGTTGTGGTTATTTTGTGGCGGGGTACGGTTGTGTCAGAGGGGTTTATGGGCTTGCCGATGACGAGGTTGCCTAGGTGGTAGAGGGAGGTTTTGGTTGCTGTTATGGTCGTGGGTTGAATTGCGAGGTGCGATTGCCTGAACGATGAGAAGATGAAAGAACCGCAGGAGAACAAACAGTAAGGCTCTCAGGGCATTTTGTCTGAGGGTTAATTAATTTCAAATCGGCGAAAAGTGAGGAACAAAGGGATTAGATGAAGTTGGTTTGATGGCATCTCGGAGCAAAATGGACGCGTCCGTCCATCTCCCACAGCATATCTCCAGTCGCACAACCAATTACCGCGCCACCTCCTCGTAAACTTAGGGCAACAGTATATAATGCATACTGGCATCTACTTCTAAAGAGGCGTCAAACACAACTTCCCCTGCGGTGGCGACCACGATGCAGTCATATCATCCGAAACCACATTCACCCCGTCCGCAACGCCAACTGCCGCAGCCTTAATTAATGTGAGTATTAACAGCTTCATTTCTATTTTACCGAAGCGGTCAGTAAATTCCGTTACTGTCAAGGCCTACTTTACCCCTCCGTACGCAGTATATGTAAGATCACATACCTGCAACAGCCAGAAACCTCCCCGGACACGCCCACTTTCCCATTCCAAATACAAGGAACCCGGGACCCGTCGTAACGGCAGACCGCTTCCCACCGAACCAGCGATCAGCCCGGAATTCGTTGGGGAGCTCGCCGTTGTAGCTGGCGGAGAGATTGGAGAAGCGGACGCCAGGAAGGACGAGTTTGCCTTTTGGGATGATATACTGTCCCACCTGCACGTCCCTCGTCGTCATTCGGACTACGGAGAGGATGTCGCCTTTCATGCGGAGGACTTCGCGGACGAAGGAGTCGAGGTATGTGGATGGGTTGAGGATGTAGTTGATTGTTGCGTTTAAGTTATTCTTGTCATCTGAATCTGGGTTAAGATGTGGATGTGGGTCTAGGTTGATAGTCCGCAACGCCTCCGCGCGGATTTGCGCCTGGCTTTCAGGTTGCATTGCGAGGCCGTAGAGCATCCAGACCATTATTGCTCCGCTGGGGTTATTAAGAAGTCAGCGCTATTTGTTCATAATAATCAGTAGAGGTGGCGTACGTCTGATGGATCGCTGCAAAGAACATGCCAATTATGAGGATGATGATTCGGATCCGGGACCTGAATGATAGTGACAAATCACCGTTTTGGCTCTGGATTTGCTGGTGGACTAACCCGGAGAGGACGGTCCTTTTGTGTATCTAAGCGAAAGATTAGCCATATTCTTGCTCTGCGACGGGCGCAGAAATGCTTGCGTGGTAAGCGTGATGGTACATACATTCTTCTTATCCGGACGCTCCTGTAGCAGAGCAGACATCTCTCTCCACAGGTGAACGCCCAGCGTACTGCCAAACCCGAGTCCAATTCGAAACACGGCAACTTTAAACCTACATCAGAGTATGAACCCTGGTTAGCTAGACGCATAGTCAACTGCTGCGCAGATCTCAAGTTTGACTAGCTAGGTGTACGTACGAGACAACAACCCGCCAGAGCGCAGGACAAAGCCTCGCAAGGAACGGTGGCTCATTTACCAGACCCGTTAACTCAGCAATCGCCTCAACGGTGTTCATGACGGCTTCGTGGTTTGCATCGCTGAGGAACTCCTGTTCTCCCCCCAGGCCTTAGCTTGACACCCGGTTCGGTATAGATCGATAGATTTGGCAGAGTGCGCCGAGATCTCTTGTGTGGGGTGTACGTACCTCCCCAAGCATCACCGTAATTGCCGCATTGCATACTAATCGTCTAGTTATGGGCACTGGGTCTACCGGGGTGCCAGGCCCAGCGGAGATGAGGTTCTTTGCGTTTGCTTGGAACATTGGAGTTACTTCATACATGAGTAGATTTAGTTTGACAACCCATGCACAGATCTGGCCAGGGAGCCCGGGAGGGTAGGTAGGACTCACTCTTCCGCAAAACAGCCGGCAGGTCCCTGCTCATGAGCTGGGAAGTCGTCGTAGCAAGATCACGGAATACGCTCTCGCCGCAAATCATCGGGAGGAGGTAGAGGTTGAGGAGCTTCAAGTAAAAAGATAAATAGAGTGAGCTAAAGTACGGCGTAAATTTGAGGAAATGGGGTTGGGAGGTATGGTATGTACGTATGTAAGTCCCGCCTCGAAACTGAATGATGAACTTTCTTTCACGATCCGTTCGGTGTATTCGTTCGATGTTATATATTCTGTCTAGATATATTTTAGTCTTAAACCGTCTAAGGAGTAGGATAGGCGACAAGGCATGCATACCCTCCCCGCTCTAGTCGTGGCAATGACTCCCCCGTGGATCTCAAGACCATGCCGATACGCCTCCCATGGATCTTTTCGCATTTGCTCGTCCTATGACATGTCAGTCACTAGATTAAAGTCTCGTTCTTATCCAGGTGCTCACTGTGAATGCGACAAACTTTGGGAGTGCCGATTTGGGAATCTTATCGGTTAAGGTTAGCGGCTTCGGGAGCAGTTTTAGGGTGAGGACCCTCGTACAGTGGATGACTTGGAGCGACGGATATAAAATAGTCCCCCCGTGATAAACGAGATTAAAGCGAACAGCTGAAGGGTCGCGCTCATTCCGTAGCTGGGCAGGAAACCCGTTCCCATGTAGAGCGCCATCTCGCCGAACAGAGGTTGTCTGCAGAAAAAAATGAAGGGCAGTGGGTTATACGCCTCAAAATCTGCAAATCCAATTTCCCACAAACAATCGGACAAGCGATTCATACGCAAGCAACACTGACGCCCAGAGGAGATAAGGATATATATCACTTCTCATTACATCTTCGGCCGAACCACGGTGAGTATCTGCTTCTAAATAGAAACCCACTGGAAAAAGAAGAAACAAAATTTGAGTTCGATCTACGCGGCTATCAGCAAAGTTGCATAGTCCACATTCATTTTCCCGTTCATTGTACGATGGATCGTCCTACAAACTCCTTACTTCGTACGGCTAGGAGTCACCCCGCTAGTGTGTTCGACACCTTATTTTTAGCATATCAACTAGCACTATTGTTATTTAAGTTTGTTATTTACGTGACAGGATTTCTGTCATACATATATGACCGTCAGGAATGACTTTGCCTTGTCAGGATTGTCCTAATCCTATTCGTCATTTACCAGTGCTAGTTTCAACTGTCCCAAGAGTCGGGAACGCGAGATGATCTGCGGAAGACCTGCGGATGATCTGCGGATGATCTGCATGACCGGGTTGCCAGCTCACCTCACCTTAGTTTCTTTTTTTAGGGAGGGGCGAGTGACAGGTATGCTGGTTGCAGTCCCAAGTTACTCCGATCAGTCTAAGGGTGAACGAAAATGTCCTGGTCCGTCATGATATATATGCACCAACCACTAAATTACTTAGCTAGATCCCCAAGTGTTAGTTACGAACAGCCATTGCGGATAAGACATGCTCATCGTAGTTTGGGGTCTCCTGCCAGGACTGGCCTGGCTCCTCTACACACGACTCGTGTATCATCGAAAAAAACAGTTCGCTGCCTTCCCACAACTCCCACCAAGCCTTGTATGGGGTCATTTAAAAGCCCTTCACGAATTTGTGCTCCGTGGCAAGCGGGATAGACACATCGGTACGTTCCAATTTCGTCAGGAAATCCCCAGGGACTTATGCACACTCAGGAAGGCAGGGTAAAATTAACAAAGAATCAGACTCTGTTTTCAGTGATATCAACAAAGAGCTGAATCACCCGCCACTATTCCTGCTCGACACTCGCCCGGTACAATCGCCTGCTCTCTGCGTCGTCTGCCGGCACGACATCGCAGATCAGGTCGCGGGGGTATCCGCAAAATTTCCGTTCAGTACACCCAAGGCACCAGGCGCATCCCATGTTCTCCGGCCGTTGTTGGGTGCCACATCGATTGTTTCAGTCGAGGTACGTTGGCTACATGAGTAACCATGATCAGCGCGCCCGAACAGGTCTGGTTCGAGAAGTAATAAACAAATCGAATGCAAATTATAGTAGCTGATCTTATTCCTGTATGAATCTCCAGAGCAAACAATGGAAAACCCTCCGGCAGCGCTTCAACCCCGGGTTCTCGCACCGACACCTCGTGAGCCTCCTCCCGCGGATTCTGGGAAAGGTAGAGCAATTCCATCGCGCGTTGGATGGGTATGCGGTCTCTGGGGAGGAGTTTGCATTCGGTGATTTGTGCGTTAGTCTTACTCTTGATGTTATTGGTATTTGATTCTTTTTCTCTTTCCCCACCTTCTATGCTAGATCGACAGACAGGAGCTGATATTAGTCTAGGGGCGGTAACAATGGACGCGGACCTCCACGCACAGTCCAATCCAGACACACAAAGCGAAATCGTCAAAGCCTTCCGCGGGCTTATTCGTTCCTACCGCAGCGACGAGTATCACACCTGGGAGCTCTCGCGACTAACACGTTCGCACCGACGAGAGAGATTGTCCCGGAAGCTGGATACCTTATTAAAAGAGCATATCCAGCGAACATTCGCGGCCCAGCAGCAGACCCGCAAGATACCGACCTCGCCAGCTTCGTCGCGGAGTATCCTCGGCCTGAGCTTGCATGGCCTTGATAAATTAGACAACAACCTCCTCCAACAAACCAGCGACCAGCTTAAGACATTCCTCTTCGCAGGACACGATACAACGAGTACGGTGCTGCAGTGGGCCATCTACGAGCTGAGCCGCACACCACGGGCGCTTAGAGCTATCCGGGATGAGCTCAATAGTATCTTCGGGACCGAGTCTGATTCCGTGCATGAAAAGCTCCTTTCAGCCCACAGCGAGGAACTCATACGTAAAATGGTCTACACGTCGGCTGTAATCCGGGAGACGCTCCGCCTCTACCCGCCCTCGGGCACCGCGCGGTATACGCCCCCCGGCACGGGATTCTGCGTGCAGATGGACGACGGACAGAGCGTATGTCTCGACGGGCTAGTCATATATAATTGCGAAACAATCATCCATCGGGACTCGGCCGTTTACGGTCCCAGCAGCAACATATTTACCCCCGAGCGCTGGCTCGAAGGGACCGGGAACTCAACCTCGATCCCGGCGACTGCATGGCGCCCCTTCGAGCGCGGCCCGCGAAGCTGCATTGGGCAGGAACTCGCCAACCTGCAGATCCGGGTTATCCTTGCGTGTGTGGTGCGACGGTATGAGCTTTTCAAGGTGGGGCTTGGTGAGGTCGTGCGTGGTGAGGATAGGGAGGGTGTTTTGGGTGAACATGGACAGTTTAAGGTTAAGAGTGAGGTGTTTAATGTGAGTTACCTATCATGGTATTCAGGTTCTAAGAGGGATTTTCAACGACCTTGGAACGCTAATTCTTTGTTCGGGATAGATTATGCAGGTTACAGCGAAGCCGGTGGATGGGATGAGGATGACGGTTGCGTTTGCTAGGGATGGTTTAGTGTAAATGTGTTATGGTCAAAGTCTCCCGGTATAAGGCGTGGCCTATTCTTAACGAGTCTCTACAGCCCAGGGAGGTATCCAACAGGCTGGTATAAATTGGATGTTCGAAATATATATCAGGTAGAGTTGCCCACAGTGCTGGGCAAGCGGTGCATAATCTTGCCAATAATTTAGAAACACTAGGATACCAATAACGCAACATATTCATTACCGAGGTTGATTGCTTGTTTAAGGCCTCGAAATAATAAATTATAAACCGACAACGGACTCGCTGTCCCTGTACTGAAGTAGGGTTTCCTGGAATGGAGCTTGGAAACTACCTGACTCCTCGGCACTTGGCCGAATAGTTTCCCGACCGCTAGATCAAACCTTTATGGACTATAGGGTTATTGGGTATAAATAGGCGCTTTCTCATTGTAGCCTAGCTTGTTTGAACCCTCTCTTTTCTAGTCACATGGCCACTAACAGGGTTCACGACTGTCAGGAAATCACGCTGAGCGCGGGATGCAACCAATAGATCTGACTTACCTTACGAAGAGGTGAGATGACGACTGGTCACAGCATCATGATGGAGAAGGTTAATCCGCACGACATAGCGAACATAACGAACATAGCGGACATAGCGGACATAGCGGAAGCGATATGTTCGATATGTTTGGATCTAGTATTTGTGACGGTCTACAAAGGAGCTTGGTAAAAGACAAGTTTGTTTATGACTCGTAGTCAAGGAATTTTCCCATGGGGAAGAAAGGCTATCTAGAAGGGAGGATGTAGGGGCTCTATATACTGCCCGAGGCTCTGCCTCAGGCAGGAAGGCCTGCAGAGCATCCAGGAAGGTTCCTGGATGCCTACCGGAGGGTCCCTAGATCCTATACTAACTAACCGGAATGTTCCTCTGGAACGTTCCTCCACACCGGGAAGTTCCCTAACTTCAGGAGGTCACAGAAACTACCCTACGCGAGCGAATCAATGGTATACAACCACGATCGGAGACACGCGCCAATAGTCATAAATTAACAGTAATCGAAGAAGAAACT